TGACAAGGCTGCAACAATAGTCGTACTATCCCACCGATACGTGTAAGTGCCGGCCTCCTGCAGTGAAAATACTAGCAGAGCGCATGCTAATACAACTGTAATATTCCCGACGAAGTCGATTTTTCGAATCGAGCTCCATCCCCTCTGGTGTGCGATAAGTTCGGTTGGTGATGCCAGATATATAGCAACGAGAACCATCACGCCGGCCGGCACGCTATTGCGCATGTTAGCATTAATCTAAAGCTCAGGTAGTTGGCACGCACTTAATCCAAAATATGATAGTCCACTGGCTTGTCGACGAAATTACAGCTCCTAGAATAGGGCCTAACACATACGATATTGCTAATGTGATACCTACCAGTCCACCCATTAGGCTAGGCTTATCAGATGGGCCTACTTCGAAGAGTACAATCTGACTTAGGCTATACAAGCCCGCACCACCCATTCCTTGGAAGGCTCGACAGATAATCCTGTCGAGTATATTAGTTAATGCTCTTACATAGGAAATAGGAAGGGAAGTAGACGCACAACTGAGTCATGGTGGTTGAGCGAGCACACCCAATAGAGAAGCTGATGAAGAGGGCCCATGAGCAAAATAACATATCACGCCGCCCGAAAATATCGCTCAGCTTAGCAAATCCAATGGCGCAGCCAAGGTAGGCCAATAGATAGGAGAGAACGACCCAAGGGGCATCTAGGAAGTTCTGGAGATCAATGGATATAGTAACAAGAGAGGTTGAGACGATAGATGCGTCTAAGGCCGAGAACAGAAGTCCTACAAGTTGACTATCAAAGCTGTCAGCCCAGTACGGTCATAATTCAAATAGATTGGCGTTCCTTACGTTATAATCAGGGTTACCTGTTGCCAGCCGTGAATAGCATGATGATATGACATCGTAGCGATCGAGAAATGGCCGGGGCGAGAGCAGTTAGAGCAGCTATATCGAGCTAGAGACGAGGTTTTCGGTAGTGCTACGTCGGCAGCGCTGTTGGTAGGATTTAACTTAAGTTCAATTCACCCTTACGAGGACGAATATTTTGGTTCCCTTGGTTTCTTCTTCTTCTCTTTCTTGCAGTGCACAATAGGCAGACAATTATTCCTCCCCCAAAATAGGACGTTGACTGCTGGCGGGTAGGTAGCCACTTTCCAGCCTAAAGCAATATTTATTTACCTTCTGTAGGCATCTATGTTGTGTACTTTCTCGTAGTGCCTAACAGCTTCTGATGCCGAACCTCGCAAAGAAGGCTACTGCGTCTTTATTTTTTTTGCTTTTCTGTTGACCTTGCCGAGAAGCATTGATAATTACAGCAGGAACGGTGGGATATTCTCAACTTAAATTATATATGGGCATGCACGTATGCATCTGAATACTTAAAATAATATATATAGAATGCAGACCTTACCTAACCTTAGGTTTCCGTGCGGCCCCTTACGTACCCGGGTAACTCATAATCTATCTGTTTCTTGTCTCCTATTTCCTTCGATGAGACTGCCTAGTTGTACAGGGCTAGCTATATATGTACGACTCAGCCTCCGGGGTAGACCCAGAGTAAAACACTAGAATAAACCTGTAAGAATCCGAGTCAACACATCCCGTCACGACTACGCTAGGGACAGACAGGGACTCAAATACTCTCTATGGACTTTTGCTTGGTTCTGACTTGACGGGGATAGCTAGCAGTTTGACATTGTCTAGTTGTTAATACCTTGATATGTAACGGCAAATGACGGGTTGCTGTTGTGTGAGGTAGGACATGAGAAACGTCCACTAGGAGATCATGTATCTATTTACACGGAGCATGGTATTATAACATAATTAATTTTACTTATAGTATTATACTTAGCTCCTTAGGTAACTATATGTAGTTATTCAGATAGTTACTCCTATTACTGTTGTTCGTTTGGTATTTGTCTGGGATATGAACGAGACATAAATGGCACCATACAATATGGTCTCGAGTACGATGTTTGTGTCAACTCTCTCCCCTGACGCACTAATCTACTCCTCGTGGAGATGAAGTTTCCAACCGTATGGAATTGGGACAAGTAAGATCCATGCTGTACCTAGAGTTTTTGTACGTACCCCCCTAACTGCCGAGGTATCGACGTACACCGTACCCATGTCTGTTGTCAAAATTTATTTTCTACAGGGTATGCTATTTCTATGGCCCAATCCTAAAATAGTTGAGAATGCTGGGGTCCTGTGAAACGTGATGCGAACAACATGATGGGCTCAAAACTGGCACTAAGTAAACCTAGCCGGGAGTGACACCCCTAAGCGCCACAGAGACAGATCATGTCAAGTCCCGTTTGTGTAACTTCTGCTGTATCCTGGACTGAGAAACAGGATCGTCACACCCGCGGATGCTTCGTTCAACTTGTTTGTCTTGCCAATAGTGGCAATTTACTCGGCGGTCTGAAACGAGGAATGTGCTATTCATCTACACATGACAAACATGTTTAAACAGAATGAAGGAATTATATGGCGTCGAATTTAACTTCTGATTCCTCTTTTAACCGCTGCCCGACGACTTTAAGCTGGAGCCGCAATACATCTTGTTTTCATCAAGTTTGGCGGGGGCTTCTTCACAACGTACATTCGATCATCCGAGCTTAGCCTTGTTGATATATCACATGATAACATAAGCCACCCCCTAGAGGCGCGGCTAATTCCCAGGAACTTGGACAGTAAAATTCTGGCCCTAGGTAGTTCGCTTTTGTGCTACCTTGAACTTAATTAACAAATAACTTTAGGAACAATGTCCAAATATGGCATCTATCACATGGAGCTACATAGAGCTACATAGAGCTAGTTTCTTGGGATTTCTAGATAATAATAGTTCTATTGGGAGGGAGTGGATTCCGACTGGTCTATCGTCCCACTCATTACACTCCCCCCCTGATTGGAGTATCAAAGGAGATACATATTGACAATATTTCTTTGTCCATATAATTACATGCCGCGGTGTTTGCCTCGGCGAATAGTAGAGTTTATGTATTTGGCTAGTCGACGTTCGTAAAACCCTCGTATTGTCTTTTAAGAGAATGGGAGTTTAAAATATTGGCGCGAAACTCGGCTCTGATCCATAAATGTACTATACTATTTAGAGTATCTTATGATCTAATCCGAATTCTTGGGAGTTGAATTTGTGTTGACTCTAAAAAGGATTGAATGAAACCATGCGAGAGATCGGTTAATAAGCGCTTAAAGAAAAAGAAAAGCAGAGCCACGCAACAGTTGTTATTTCTTTTGTGCTGTCCATACATCTATATATACATATATTCTTAGATGATGTCCAAATACGATGTCTTAACAATAGAAGACGTTAGCGCTAACTTGTACACAGACCCTCTCTAGGGGTTATCAAAGGTTAACCTTTTGTGACAACTAGATAATTACAACTACCAGGCCGACTACTATTTTCATGGACCCCACGTGTTATGTACCTGGGCTTTGATGTTATCCAGCTCTCCACTTTCCATTAGTAACTAAGCAATTCGGTCTGTATTCCAATACGACGAGACTGCTTATTAGTTCCTACCAGTTAGGTAGAAGCTGGGGAAACGGACAAGGATATGACGGGTAAAGCTGTATTTAGTGAAGTTTGTAACATAAACAAACAAGTGGTAACACTCGACCCTTTAACTAGGTCTTGTAGGAACAACAAACAACTTGTTGTATTAGACTTTCCTTTAACGTATATTCAGAAACGCCCTCGGTGTATTTTTATCTCGTAGGGCTACGCCTATCCAATGACATGAATTCAATGTCACATGTCCCTTTGCTCTTTATTATTTAGCGTAATTACCCGGCGTCGGATCGGTCTACCCGAATGGTTATGTCCTAGGTGGCGCAGTTGGAATGCGGTCACAATTCGTTGTGATTCACTGCAGGGAATTAGCCACCTGGCAGCATGATGGGGATCCGTTGATGTTATGTTATGTTTTGTGTTGTGTTAAGTGAAATTAAACTTACAACTTTCCTTGTTGCAACCTCACAGCCTTATTGTAAGCCGAGTATCTCAAAACATACATGTATGTATCTCCCTAGGTAGGTACATATATAAAATAAGGTAGGTAAGACTAGTTACATTGTCCATGCAGGTACGTTATTATGTAAACCAATTGTGCTTGACCTAATGTTGCTTACATGTAGTTTTGGAAGCTAGCTACATGAGTACGTATAACAAAGTTGTTGGTTCTATTTTGGTAGAATAATACTCTAAGTCCATACCCTCTTAGGCCAGATCACTGCCCAAGAAATATTATAACAATCTTCTAGAATCCACGGACCCATATGGGTTTATAGACGGGGGCGGTGTCTAGGAAAGAATGAGTAATGAGGATGTGGGCGTACCTAGTATACTATGAGTACTTGGCCAGAAAAGAAAGAGGCTTCATCAGGCTAAGTTCTAGTTAAGCTCTGAGCTCGGAACAATTCTCTTAGCTCCTTGACTCACTGCGTGCAAAGATCTACGGGGTACTTTGGGCGTTGATGTATCCTCCCCCTTTTGTCTACCTAAAGACAAGCTCAGCCTAGACCATTTCCCTTCGGCTCGGAACGGACATGAGCATCTCGATTTATTACTAATTCCATCTCTCACCTTTAAATACTACAGGGGTTCAAACATGGGTTCAAACGTTTATACCTATATAACATTTTCGTTAATATTTCAGGTGTATACACTGATACTTTGTACCATTTCTTCCTGGATCAACTTAGTTACTAACTCTCTTCAACAAGCTAAACATAATAATTCCTTCATTTTTACTTCTACTACTTCCCCATCATTTCTTACAGAATTGTTTGCTTCCGTACATTTTTAAACTCGACGACAATTACCTTCTCGAATCCACCTTAGACAAGGTCCGGTTGTTCTTTATAGATCCAATTACTTATCCAGACGTCTAAATCGTCTGTGCTTGTACTATATAGACCCTAGTATTGCATCACAATACTTCCCTTTTGGTAACTAATAAAGGACTCTGGGCACCCCTGATGGCTAGCCCGATCCATGATGCAACGGAACCTATTGCTGTAGTAGGCATTGGGTGTCGTTTTCCTGGTAGCGCCACATCTCCTTCAGAGCTATGGCAGATGCTCTGCCGTGGGGAAAGTGCCTGGTCTGAAATCCCCATGGACCGTCTTAATGTCTCTAGTTACTTCCACCCAAGCGGAAACCGAGAAGGCAGTGTATGTACTCCTTTGGAATCTTGTAGTCTAATAGTGGCTAAACCTCTGGTCTAGATTCCTTTCACAGCCGGCCATTTCCTGATTCAGGATGTCGGCGCGTTTGACAGCTCGGTAAGCCTTAGCCTATACGATTCAAAGAACGGAACCTTGCTAATATTCGTAGTTCTTTTCTATCCCAGCCGATGAAGCTAAGGCGATAGATCCGCAACAACGAATGCTTCTCGAGGTTGCTATAGAAGCTCTAGACAGCGGTATGAATGCTAGCATCCCTTCCTATTTAATGCCATGTTAACATGTGCTTTTAGCCGGAGTTGACCGCACGGCTTTGAAGAAGAGTGATACAGGAGTTTGGGTTGGCTCCTTCGTGAAAGGTATGTATGCATGAGATAAAAATGGTCCGATATCTTTGACGCTTCGCTCTAATAGTATTGTAGATTATGAGCAGATTGTCTTGCGTGATCCCGATAACTCCCCCAAATATGGGGCGACCGGCAATGGAATAGCAATCATGTCGAACCGTATTTCGTTCTTCTTAGACATCAACGGTCCAAGCATGACCATCGACACAGGGTGCAGTGCTAGCTTAGTTTGTGTTCACAATGCTTGTCAAAGCCTTCGTAATGGAGAGATCGACGTTGTAAGTTTACACGACCGTAGCATGCCGACGAGAAACCACTCACGTCCGTCTCAGATACATGACATGTTATCCCGTACGAATACTTCAGACGAACTGCTAACGACCTTGCTAGGGGCTCGCTGGCGGTGCCGGGTTGATCCTGACGCCTAATACTATGATGCCTATGACGGCGCTAAACTTCTTGAGCCCGGATGGTAAATGTTACACGTTTGATGCGCGTGCAAATGGCTATGGCCGGGGTGAAGGAATCGGTATCGTGGTAATGAAGCGTCTCTCAGATGCCATACGGGACAACGACAATATCCGTGCCGTAATTCGAGGTTCTAATGTTAACCAAGACGGGCGCACACCTGGTACGTATACTATTGGGTCTAATAGGGGTACCGCTAATTTTATCATAAGGTATTACTTTACCGAGCGCGGAGGCTCAGCTTCGTAATATAAGAACGGCGTACAAGAGAGCTGGTCTCCCTGCCGACAACACGGCCTATGTCGAATGCCACGGCACCGGTACACAGGCTGGCGATTGGAGAGAGTTGAAAGCAATTTCAGACGCGTTTTGTGCAGATCGTAGTCGGTTCAGTCAAGACAAACATTGGTCACCTCGAAGGATGCGCCGGAATTGCCGGGCTAGTTAAAGGGATCCTCGCCATTGAGAATGGAATGATCCCGCAGCATCTCAACTTCGAGGCACCTGGAAATCCAGCTATTGACTTCAACGGCTGGAAAGTCAAGGCAAGGAAATATACCAAAGCACAGATACGTCCTTTACTAATATTATACTATACCAGGTTCCGGTCGGTAATACTCCCTGGCCGACTGAAGGACTCAGGCGTGCGAGCGTTAACTGTTTTGGCTTTGGTGGGACGTAAGTAACTTCAACACCTATAATATCAGTCCATTGTGATTTGGATGTTTTTGCTTCAGTGCCAAGTGCTTGCTGTTATTATCTTCTAAGCGCTGCCTGCTCTTCGGAATCTTCCATACTTAATTCCATAATAAAATGCTAACTTCAGTACCAGAAACGCACATGTCATCCTCGATGACGCTGCTCACTACCTGGCTCAAAGGGAGCTCTCGGCACACCATAATACCATACTTCGTGATTGCACTCGGAACCTGCCAACCCTCAGCACCACGACGCATGACTGGGTTAGATCAGTACAGGGGGTGCCAATTCCTACCCGCGATTCGAAGACACATCTCTTCATTTTTTCGGCGCATGAGCAGAAGGTATTAACTCGAATGCTCAAAGACTACGCGTCTTACGCCGGAAGGCAACTTGAATCATCGTCTGGAAATATCATGGAAGATCTTGCGTACACTCTCGGTTGCCGGCGGACACAATTACAATGGAGGGCATCAGTCGTTGCGCGATCACCCGAAGAGCTCGTTCGGAAATTAGTTGACTTACCAATTAGCGATCTCATTAGGGCATCGGAGGACAGAAGCTCTATCAGACCAGCCTTTGTATTTGGTGGCCAAGGAGCACAATGGTTTTCTATGGGCAGAGAGCTTCTCGGATTTGACGCCTTCTTGCAATCGATCGAAGACGCAAGCTTGTATCTGCAGACTAAGCTGAACGCTCCTTTCAACCTTCTTGCAGAGCTTCTTAAGGATGAAAGCCACTCCCTGGTCAACCAACCCGAGATTTCCCAGCCAGCAACTACAGCAATACAAGTGGCCCTTGTAGATCTATTGATGAAATATTTCGGAGTTAGCCCAAACCATGTCTGTGGTCATTCTTCTGGCGAGATTGCAGCAGCTTACACTCTGGGGGCTCTCTCACGGGAGGACGTCTGGGAATTGGCCTTTCACCGGGGACGCTGCGCTGGAGCTATGCTGGCTTCGAACGACGAAGAACCTTTAAAGGGTAGCATGCTTGCTGTTGGCCTGTCGGCTTCCGAAGTACGGAAATACGTGGACCTAATCGGCAACGATAAAGTGGTGGTGGCTTGCATCAATAGTCCAGCTTCTGTGACGTTGTCTGGTGACGAAAGTGCGATCCAAGAGCTTCAGGGAGCTTTCCAAGCCGCAGGTGTCTTCAATCGACTTCTCGTTGTAGACATCGCATACCATTCGCACCACATGAAGCGTTGCGAAAACGCATATCTCCAATCGATCGCGCACATCAAACCGAAGAAGCCGAGGAATGGGACGACTACGCATCCTCATAATTTAGGAGAACTCGTCACGCCTAGTGACATCCGAGTAGGAACTAACTCCGTGTCTCTCAGTAACGACATCCCCATCATGTATTCATCCGTTACTGGACACGCCATTAATTGGGAGGACCTTTCTCCAGAGTATTGGGTAAGGAATATGGTGTCTCCGGTCCTTTTTGCTGACGCTATGCATCGGATGATGAGCGTCAAAAGTAGTGAGAAGCCAAGCTTCATCCTAGAAGTTGGACCGCACTCATCACTCCAAGGTCCTATAAGGCAGATCCTCGACGCCGAGGAAAAGCTTAGGCAACGGCCGGTTTATTCATCTGTGCTTCACAGGGGCAAAGACGCGGCCACGACTCTACTGGAAGCCACTGGGAAGCTCTGGGGCAATGGGTTTGACGTCGCCATGCCCTGGGTGGTTATGAGGAATGTGCAGACTGAGAGACCTAGGCTACTCGTCGATCTGCCAAAGTACCCTTGGAATCACGACAAGGTATATTGGCACGAGTCACACTTGTCGCTAGCCAATCGTTTCCAGGTTCATGGAAGATATGATCTCATCGGGCGACCAACAGCTGATTCTATTCCATTTCAACCACGATGGCGTGGCTTCTTCCGCGTCTCAGAGAACCCGTGGATCTTAGATCATCAAGTGCAGAAGACAATAATCTATCCAGCCGCCGGTATGGCTACTATGGTATTCGAAGCTGCTAAGCAACTGGCTTCGGAACAGGCTTCGGGCTACCAGATTACCAAGTTCAAAATTCAGAAAGCCATGATAATTCCGAGCACTCCACATGGGTTGGAATATGCTTTGAACCTCAACAAAAGGGATAGTCAAATGGCTGTAGCTCCTATAGGGAATGCCGGGTTTCCCTCATTAGCCACACCTTCAGTCTCTTTCGAGTTCTCTATATACTCCAAACAACTTGACAAGCCTTGGGAGGAACACGGCAGCGGGTATGTGACAATTCATTACCACACAACCCCTAATGAGGTCAATAGGTATTACCAGGCGTACCTCGACGCAAAGAAGGAGTGCGTTAACCCGGTTAATCCAAGACAGCTTTATGAGAGCCTAGATGTTATTGGCATGAATTATGGTCGGCTGTTCCAGAATATCGAATCTCTCCATAGACGGGACGGTGTTTGTGTCGGCACTATTCGTATTCCGGACACAAAATCTGTCATGCCCGCAAATTTTGAATATCCGCACGTTATTCACCCGACGACACTGGATTCGGTCTTCCAAACCGCCTTAAGTTTTGGGAACGGCCCGATGGTTCCCTCTTTTCTTGGAAGTCTCTATATATCAGCTAACTCTCCCATGCTCTCAGGGACTGGCAAACAACTTGCTGCTCATACTTGCGCAAAACTTAATGGACGACTTAGTGCATCCGCATCCTTTGTTGTTTCGGACCAGTCCTGGTTGGAAACATCTAGTGCTAATCCACTCGTGATAATTGAGGACATGACTTTTACCGCCTTGGACCGAAGCGCGACACAAGAACTCGGTTTCCTCCCGAATTATCGTAGTCTCTGTTCCGAGATTACTTGGGAGGAATTAAACATTTCGGAAAACTCCAACGAGCAGCACATTGAGCTGACCGACAGCCTACTTATCCTTATTCCTGTAAACGCCAGTCCAGATATCAGTGGGCTCCAAGCTGAGCTCTCTAAGAACTTGAACTGCCGGTTCCGAACATTAAGTAGCATCAAGGAGAACGAGATACTTCCAAGATACTGCATCTCCCTCTTGGAATTTGATGGACAAGCACTACTTTGGAAATGGACAGAACAGGAATTTCTTGCATTCCAGAATGTAGTTTCCGCCATGAAAGGAATCTTCTGGATCACTCGTGCTTCACAGCTCGAGGCTAAGAACCCGCAATCTTGTTTGGCGCAGGCTTTGGGACGGACTATACAATCAGAGTATCCTAAGAAGAAGTTAGTCACATTTGATGTAGGCATCGATCTAAGCTTCGCCTCTACCATGATGGTATCATTCACTCAGACACTCTTAAGATTGGTCGCGCGATCTTTCTTTGGACCTAACGTTGTAGGGCCTATTGAGACGGAATATATTGAACGTAATGGGCAGATCATGGTTCCAAGGCTGGTTCCCGTGAACTCGCTGAATTCTATGATTGAGCGTGGCTCTGCACCAGCAGAGCCAGACCAGCAGACGATGCCCAATCCGCATGAAAGGCCCCTCAAGCTCGAGGTTGGACAGGTAGGCGACACGGGAAGCTTATACTGGGGCGATGACCCTGACGCCAACCTTCCTCTGTCTCCGGGTGATGTAAGAGTCCGAGTGATTACAACTACACTTGGCGACCTGGACCGCGAAATTATGCATGGGCGCGTGGAGAAGGGCGACCTGGGAACAGACGTATACGGTGTAGTTGATCAGACCGGAGAGAACGTTACGAATGTTTCTCCGGGTGACCACGTTGTGGGGATTGCCCGTGGATCTTTACGAGACTTCGTTACATGTCATCGCCGACTCCTATATAAAGTACCGAACTACCAACCCGAACCTCAACCTATCCATCTACCGACAAGCTTCTCTATCGCTAGATATGCGCTTGGTAAGCTCAAGGCTGGGAATACTATCCTGATCCATGCTGGCGCGGGAACATTTGGCCAAACTGCGATTCAGCTTGCTAAATCTGCAGGAGCCGTGGTTTTCGCTAGCGCAGAGACTGACCATGAGCGTGGCCTTCTTAGCCATGTTTGGGGACTCCGGGAGGACTACATCCTCGACGCTAGAGTAGAAGCTTTTGCCGACACGATAATGCGTTTGACGGATAATGAAGGCGTAGACTTGATTTATGACCCAGTTGCAAGAAGCCGAGATTCGAATATCAGATGTGTTAAAGAAGGTGGGTTCTCTTAGTAAAATAGACGGCAAAGGAGATATATTTGCTAATGCTTTTATAGATGGCCGTGTGATCGGTTTCGCTGACAAACCTGATCGTATCGACATGACGACGTGCGAAACTGATGTTATCGGCAAGACATTTGGCTGCACTATCATAAATGTATCACATCTCATTAAATACCAACCGGACCGCCTTGGTGATGCTTTGACATCCATTTACCCCAAACTCTTATCCTGGCAGTTTAGGAGCTGGAGCCAAGCTCCGCAAGATGTATACGACTACTCCGACCTGGCGGCTGCTTTCGCAGCATTGGATTCAGACACAGTTGGCGCCCATATCTATTGCCGGCGACCCACATCGAAACCTATTCCAATCCTCCCACGAACTCCTCCTTCCATGAGCTCCTACTTACGCGGAGATGCCACCTATGTCCTGTCTGGTGGACTCGGCGGGCTCGGCATAGAGGTTGCTAAGTTGTTGGTGGCCAATGGTGCTGAGAACATCGCGTTCTTAGGACGATCCGGCGCGACGAACGACTTGGCTAAATCTTGCGTTAACCTTCTCCGCACGAAGCGGGTCAATGTGGGAGTTTTCAAGGTGGACGTCTGTAACATCGAAGCCCTTAGAAAGACTGTAAGCGAGATCCAGCAATCTATGCCTCCCGTGAAAGGTGTATTCCAATGTGCGGCAGTACTGCGCGACTCGGTCTTCGAAAATATGAAGTACGAAGACTGGCAATTGGCAACAAAGCCTAAGACAGTAGGTTCCTGGAACCTCCACCAGGCCTTTGGCAATGATCTAGACTTTTTCATCTTCCTGTCTAGCTCAGCCGGTGTTATCGGGAATCGCGGACAAGCGAACTACGCAACGGGCAATGCGTTCCAGGATTCGCTTGCCAGACATATCAAGACAATAAGTGAGGGCAAAGTGAACGCGGTATCGATTGATCTAGGCCCAGTCCTTGAAGCAGGAATGCTTGCTGATGACCCTGAGAGGCTGGATATGCTTAAAGCCAGCGGCTTCTTTGGAATCAGACTCGAGGATATCAAACGCATCATCGAGCGAGCGATCACCGGTTACATGGAAGACGGCCAGAGGATACCGGTGCAAGTTGTTACAGGAGTTGGAACTGGCGGGTTGATTCTGCAGAACAACCCGGTGGATCCTTACTGGACACGCACGGCTATGTTCACCCATCTTAACCAGGTAGACATGCCAGAAGGTTCGGAAGAGACTTCGGAAGAAGCTTCAGGCTCGCGGGAGGTAATGCAGAGACTATTAGCGCAGGCAACAGATGCAGAGGAGGCACAATGCATTGTTAGTAAGGGTCTTAGGGAGATGCTCTCGAAGAGCATGAATATGGACTCGGCAGACGTGGACGAGTCCAGACCTCCCAGCGCTTATGGTGTTGACTCGTTGGTGGCAGTAGGAGTTCGCAACTGGGTCTCTCGAGAGTGTGAGGCTGATGTGAGCATCTTTGAGGTGCTCAGCGAGACCAGCATCGGTGATCTCAGCGCCACAATTGTGCAACGGCGAGAAAAGGAGTAACAGAGGCTGAAGTGAGTGGTTGTGTGGTAGTACAGTTGCGTAATGAGGGGTCGATTGTGATTTTGCTTCAACGTGTTCATACTTTGCTACATCGTATATAATACCTCATCCGTATATAATGATACTATACTTCTCATCTACGAAGTTGCTGTTGTTAACGAGAAGCCTACCTGTTTGAGGTATATAGGTAGGTACCTATGTATCTCAGATGGATAGCACATGTCGGAATATGGGAGATGCCGGTGTCAGACGGGAGTTTATTCGCGGATGAAGGCGGTGACGTATAAATGGGTGACGACGCGATGCTGCAAGATAGATGCGCGTATGGTAACAATACATAGGGAATGGATGGCAAGGATATTACGTATATTGCTTAGCGGGGGATGACGAAGTACCTTTCTTACATATGTACCTCTGTACACTGTATATGAGGTACTTAAGGTACATATACCTTAGGTATATTCAGGTGGTACCTCTTTCTACGGAATACGACTGCGCGCATCGGATATAACACATAAGGCAGGCGCCCCTAATCAAGACCGTACCTACTTGGCCAAGACTTCCAAGCTTCTCGCTTACGGCTTCCTATTAGACTTTTGAATGGACCTTCTCACTTAGCAGTAGCGTTAAAAGGCCAGGTAAAGTTTAATAAAAGGCCAACCTATCCACTTTGCACGTGATGTAGCCATTATAAGCCATTAAAAGCCACCACGTACGGCCATGCAAAAAATGGCCCGTTCGTTCCACCTTATATAAATGTTCCACTTATATTATAACCATATAATTTTTATTAAAATAATAAAATAAAATAAAATAAAATAAAAATTTACATAAATTTATTATATTTTTTTAACTTTTTATAACGTTTAAATATATTTTATAAAATTATAAAAATTAAATTTAAAATTATATTTTTAATTACATTTAAATAAATATTTACTTAAATTACGTTATTAATATGTAAAGTACGGGTGGTAATGTATATTTAAAAAAAAATAAAACATAAATGAAATTATTACGATAATTATTATTATATTAATGTAAAAATTACAAATTATGTATGTAAATGTTATTTAAAAAAAATTACTTTTTATATAAAAAATAATTACGTGTTATTACGTGATTATTTTTACGTAATAATATTTTATTATATATATAATTTAAACTTAAATTTTTATCATTTTTTTATTTAAATAATAATATTTTTTAAAAAAAAATTAATTAAAATTTCGTAAAGTTATATTAATATATAAACTTTACCCGACTTTTAAAAAAGTTATTATATTAGGCCAAATTAAGGATATTTCTTAATTAAGCAACTCGTTTGTGCACCCACTAGTGCCTTTTAGTTTATGGGTCCCAGGTATTGTAATAGGCTAAAATATGGGGCTAAGGTTTTAGCTGCATAACTAGTGTTAAGCTAGTTTCAATTTGGAAATTTTAAGTGGTACGTACCTTTGATAAGAGATAAGACCTTTGATAAGCCGATAAGAGGATAAGGGTGGCCTGTGCACGAGGTTTAGGCTAAAGGTTTAACCAATCACATTAGGTGGCCATATGCCAATACAAGGCCACATACAGGTCACATGTTCTTAGTGCAAAACTAAACCATTTCGGGACAACACCACATGACTTAAGTCTACAGGAAGCCGGGTTCGAATCCCACACGTTCCTTTTTTTCTTATTTTAACAAAAGATAGACGATAATACAATACATAGCCAGAGACATAGCCAGAGCATCGTGCCACCGCCGGGCCGCGCGAGGGAAGGCGCGAGGGGGGCGCGAGGCGCGCGTCAGCGCGCCGAGCGCCCCCCGAGCGCCCCCGAGCGCGGTCTGGCGTGGTGGCACGTGACCCTGTGGGATGAGCGGCTAAATTTCGGAAAAAACGATATAAGGGGATGGGATGACATAAGGGGGGATGACATAAGGGGATGACATACGGGATGACATAAGCATGAGCTTCGCTAAAAGTCGGGCTCTTGTGGTCCCCACAGGGGGGGCCCTCGGTTTTTAAAAATAAAAATATATGGTTATAATATAAATATAGTGGCTATGCGTTGGCTGTGGTGGCTTACATCACGTACAAAGTGGATGGGTTGGCCTTTTATTAAACTTTACCTGGTCTTTTAACGTTACTGCTCACTTAGGCTCACTTAGGTGGGTTTAATACTACTTCTTGACCCAAGTTCATTAAACATCAGTCCGATTAAGTCTGATTACACATTAACAACAAAAAGCCCATAGGCGATGTGAATTCGCTTGGTGGCTCATCAACAACTCGTGATGAATCTCTTTAATTCATCCGCTCCTTTCTTTTTGGTTCCTTTTGTCTTTTTATTCCTCGTCGCCTCTCCCAGTCTTCTATTTGTACCTATTAACAATAGAGGCAGAGAGAAGTAGAGTGTACCGGCAAGTTGATTGTTCGAGACCTTCGTTATCTCCTCTCTTGACGTTTGACGATTAGCGGCACGTCACTCAACCATACTTGAATATCTGATTGCGTACGCAATATACTTGTACCGACCTATCGGATATCAATTCCCCCTTTCTTCTCTGTATTACTTAGTTCTTCTGCGTCTGTGTGTACCTATCTCGTCAACTTATCGACTTGTTAGCCGTCAATTGACTTGAACCGGATCATCGGCGCGTGGCGACCAGTCATAAAACTAGGCCCCGGCTAGCTTCTTACCTAGATCAGCTTGGTGGATCGTACCCTTGGACCGGGTTGCCTGGGATCTGCCTAGGACCTGTCTGGATCTGCCTACCTCTCTGCCTTGATAATAGTGTAGGTATCTTGCGTCTAACGTCTATTCCTTCTCACCTCCTAAGCCGGTGTTTTCTTTGCTTCGAGTAGTTGTCGTGTCCGTTCGCTATGAGGTTCCTTTCAGCTCTCGCTACCGCGTCCATCGCGTCTATCGCGGTGGCTACCGACAATACAAATTCCCCAAAAGTCATCCCCGTCAGCTTTGGCAGATCGACGAACAGACAGCCCGCGCTCCATAGACGTGCCGGTACCTATTCGCAAGAACTGAACAACAACTTAACCGGTGGTGGTTACTACGCTCAAGTCACCGTGGGAACACCTCCTCAAACTGTCGACTTAGTTGTCGATACTGGGAGTAGCGATGTCTGGATATTAGATAGCCGCGCGAACCTCTGTCGTTCCAAGACAATGCAGAACTACTACGGATACTGTTTATCCACGTATGATCCTTCTAAGAGTTCGACCTACTCTATCGTTTCTCAAGACGAATTCAGCATTCGCTATGTCGACGGTTCAGGGGCCGAAGGCGACTACATTCGGGACACCTTCAGCATTGGTGGAGCTGACATCAAAAAATTACAGATGGGCCTAGCCGAGAATTCCACCATTAACTCAGGCCTTTTGGGTATAGGGTTCGCTGCTAACGTTGCCTCCCGGACGCCGTATCCAAACATTATGAGTTTGTTTGAAGATCAAGATCTGATTGCTATCCAAGCTTATAGCTTGTATCTGGTATGTGGTTCCCCCTTAATTCCCAAGTACGCCAACGGCTTGTGTCGGGTGGTTTAAAGACTGCTCTAGTAGACTAATCATCATTATAGGATGATCTATACGCCGAGACTGGAACAATCCTATTTGGCGGCTTAGATACTCAGAAATTTATCGGCAAGCTTAAGATCGTCGATATTGAACCGGACCGCACCGGCAATTACTCCTCCTTCACCGTCCCGCTCTCATCTTTGACCACGACCGCCGACAATGGCACAATAACTAACTACACCCGATCTACCGTCTCGGTCATCCTCGATTCAGGTACTACTCTGACTTATGTTCCCTACACTATGGCGAACCGCATCTTTCGCGCCTTTGGTGCCGTAGACGACACCTCTGGAACAGGACTTGTCTACATTAACTGCGAACATCTGGACAACAAGAATTTCACTTTTGATTTCCAGTTCGGCGGCAATGACGGCCCTATCATCCAGGTCCCCATTGATGAGATGGTCTTGGATAATGTAAAGCAATACATCGAACTGGGACTAGATGTACCGTCTCTACCTTTCGATAATGTCTGCAGTTTTGGTCTGCAGGGGAGTTCGGACTATTATCTGCTAGGTGATACGTTCTTACGTTCTGCCTACGTAGTCTACGACCTTACCAACAAGAAGATCGGTCTCGCTCAGGCCAATCTTAATAGCACTGAGAGTAAAATTGTGGAGATCACCAAGTCTGGTATTCCCGACGCTAGTGGTGTCGCTTCCCAGGTCATCGCAACACAGACAGCTGGGAGTGGTAATTCGTCTTCCGGGACCTCTTCAGACACGCCTGGTAGTGAGACCAGTGAGGGAGCCAGTTCTAGAGTTGTGCCTGCACCCAGCTGGGAGGTTCTAGTTATGGTCAGTATGGCAAGTCTGAGCGGCTTAATGGGTGCTGGGCTAGTCATGTTATAGACGGGATAATTAATTACCACAACACGGCAAAACATACTTTATCTACCTAGGTATAGAGATTTGCTTAGAGGAACAGAGGCTTGATGAGCGTTGAACCTAGCAGAAGTCATGATACCCCAGAGATGTGTAGAAACAGACGGGTTCACGTTGTACTATAGACTTTCTTACATAGGTACTCTTAAACGAGTATCTTTATTTTTGCCCTTAACAGTGTTGACGCCGAGATGGTGACTTCCTGTATATACATAATAATAGGTTGAGCGATGAAATATATATTAATTGACCAGAGCTGTAATGAGGCTCATACTCCATTCCCATGACTATAAGTGTATACACGTGTTAATAGGTATCCCCCAAAGGATAAATTCTCTAGTTATCAGGAACCTAGGTAGGCATGTATAGAACTTTTCATTCCGTAAACAATAGGCAACATTGAACGTAAAATAAACTTGTTGATGTCAACATCAAGCAACACGTAGCGGACAATCGGGAGCAATGGCGTCTATTGATATAGCCATTAATGTCCTTAAAATGAGCTGATACGCTCGACCTAAAAACTGCTCGAGATCAACCTTAATACTTAGTAATACATAGTAACGCACTGAAGGGAAGACCCAACAGCACAGAAACAGAATGCGCTAATTCATCTTTTCGTAGCGCTCTCTTGCTTTGTCCTTGGCCTTCGAGACAAAGTCCGAGTAATCATTTTTCGTAGCTCGAGCAGCCTCTTCGGCAGCATCTCCAAGCTTGCCGCCCTCGGCTCCAAGACCCACCCCAGGAGTATAGGCCGTGGTTTCGATGATAGCGGTTCGCCCACCCCCTTCGGCTCCGAGACCTTCGCCGGTGCTCCATCCCATTTTGGCCAGCAATCCCGCACCTTTGGATACCGCAGGCTTCGCGGGCGGTGCTTCCGCAGCTGGTCCTGCGTCTTTGGTTGTCTGGGGCTGCTTTCTGGGAAGGTGAGGCTTCGGTTTGCTAGGTTGATTGTGCGCCATTCGCCGCTCCTTAGCTCGATCCCGGTAGCTAGATACTGGCTCTTTACCGAGCACCTTCAAATCTGTAGTTGCCTTAGTAATTGCTGCATCATTGTCGAGATTAGCTTTATGCATGTCGCTCATTTGCTCATGTCGGCGGAGCGAAGGCTCGTTCTTGAACTTCCGTCTACAGAGCAGACAACACATTTGATCAAGATCAGCATACGACACGAAGGCCGTTGATGTTGAGGCCGGAGTGCTCAGAATTGCAGGGCCAATAGCATTAGAACCAGTCACGGGCGCCTTAACTTCGACAGGCTCCGCACCATTGCTCGACTCCTTCGGTCCGTGAAGCTCGGCATGCTTGTTTGCCCACATCTGTAGTTGAGGAGCCATCGCAATGACTTTCTTCCCATTGGGCGCGGCAAGGTCCTTCTCTGCTTTTCTCTTCTTGGAGTCCTTGCCTGGTGCTCGATCGGCGTCATCCTTAAGTTGCTCTATGCCAGACGGCTTGTCCTCATATAGAGTTTCGTTGAAGATCGTAAGCTCGTTAGCATACACCGACGGGTTCCAATATACCAATCTTAGAGACTGGTTATGGGTTGCCGCGAAAGTGAACTTGCGATCCTCGCCTTGTATCGGATGTAGAACGGGTATAAAGACGCCGGAATGGATGAACGCGATAGAAGCAGGCTTCGAGGCAATCGTAAACTGAGGGGAAGCATTGTACTTGGCCATAGCGGCTCGAGCATCGTCCAGGGTTGAGAATTCGGCAAACCCATAATTACAACTGATATCCGAGTATTTGTCCCGTATCATAAAGACGCGTACCAGCGAGCCAGGCTTGGCTCCCAACCCGCTAGTATTGCCAATTGGAGCTGTACTTTTGAGTTTGTTAGGGGCGCTGGATGATTGCTTAGGCTCTTCATCCTTAGTCACATAGAGCTTCTTAATGTCATTGGCCAAAGTAGTCTCAGCGACAGAAGAAGCCAATTCGCGAATGACGATGAATTGGGATGGTGTTTGTTGTGGACATTCATCGCTTTTACCATCGAGTTTCATATCGGCGGTATTCTCCGCTGATGCCAATAGTTAGCTTTATCGAGGGCATGGCAATGCTCTTGTAAGTGTGGCTTACATGTCCTGGGTGCTTTGCATTGTTTGCAAGTTGCTCGGCGGGAAAAGTTCTCGAAATGACACTGCCCACCCGAAGTTAGGTAAATTGGGGGGACGGCATGAGCGGGGATTTGGGATTTACCATTGTGCATTTCCAATCGTCCGGATTTGCGATATGCCGCCGTTCTCGACTATATTCTATAGGTATACGAATAGAGGAACCGTGAGGGTTGGCGATATCAAGAGCAGGGTAGTTTCTCTCGTAGAAGCCGATAGCATCGTCTTCGGACCTAAACTCGGCGAATGCGTACAATCGACGATTGCCTATTGCGTTTAGTGGCGGTTCAGTATTTAGAAACAACGAAACCATACCGCTTCTATCATCTGACTTGATACGGATTTCAACAAGGCCGGTAGCTCCCATATCCCGCATGGTAGAATCGATCTACTAAGGATTTAGTATGCCGAAGAAATGGACGAGATGCAGCAGGAATACCTCTTTTGTGCTCATCCTGTCAGGGATATCATCCAACTTCAGAGTATGGTAGGGCCGTCCAGATCTAGGCCGGCGGCTATCGTGGTAATAACTATCATCACCAGAATCAAAAGGCGAGGAACCGCCTGAGTTGGCGCGTCGGGGACTTCGATTATAACGTCCTCGGGGATCGTCGTGATCTGTGTAATGTCGACCCCGACCGCGGTCGTACGGGGGCGAGTATTCGGGTTCGCGGTCGTAGGGCTCGCCGCTAGCTTTCACGGCGCGATCCAAGTAATTATTGCGGTATTCAGGAGAGGTATCTCGTCGATGAGGTGAATTGTGTCTTCGTCCGACAGGAGAGCGCCGGGTACGGTAGGATTCCTCCCCTCTTGGTCCCTTTGGAGGCGTCCTTCTAGGCGATCTAGAGGATTCTTTTCCTCACAGGGAAGTCAGCGCAAGCTCATTATTCATCTCTACAAGCGATCTTCCAGGCTATATCATTTTACCATGCCGCGAACGATAGTGGTGGTCCCTAGGAGCGGGCGATCTACGTCTGTGGTAGTCTCGCTCGTCGCGAGGCCGATGGTCGTAGTCGTCATACATGTCGATGTCGATATCGGCGTTATGCGCCCATTAGACTCAATAATGCGAAGGAAGGTTGGTTATACGCTGAACACGCGCGATTCATAAAACTAGATACTAATGAGATAAGAGGTTGAACGGTTGTAACCTTGCTGTTGAAGGTAAAGGGTAAAAGAGGTACCTAAAGGTCAGATGGTTGTGTTACGTAAGTGCCTAAGGTTACGCGCAGACGGTTCATTTTTTCGGCACGCAATAGAAGTTAAATCTTATCTTGCTTATCTAAACAACCCCAGATTCTAGAACAGATTTCTGGATTACGCAGTAGGTAGCTACTAAAATAGTAAGAAAATAGTAAAAGTATCAACGCAGGTTCAAGTCGATAAACCTCGAAATGCACGTAAGTACAGTAGATACTTAGATATTTATATTACAGTCCTTCGGTAAATATCTGGCACATCAGTCTTCCTTTCACTAGTTTCAATCTTCCTTGATTTAATATCTTTTCCCTTTCCTTGTCGCCAACCCTCGACTACCTATACGAAGAAGATGGACCTCGAAACAACTGAACTCAAAGAAGATGCCTGCTACGTCGCACTTACCCACGACTATCTCAACGTGAATAGTGTGATGGATAGGGTTCGTAGCCCTCAAGCAGGTGCAATAGTCATGTTTGCGGGTCAGTCAGTCACACTACACCGTCTTACCATCTCGCAAGGTAATCATTATTAATACTTTGAGCCTATATCCTCATGCTTTTGTAGGCACTACTCGTGATAATTTTGGCGGAAAGCCGGTGAAGGAGCTCCGATACTCTGCTTACAACCCGCTGGCCTTGCGCACTATGCTGTCCATATGCAAAGAAATCCATACCGAGTATGGCCTCATAGCAATAGCCATGGTTCATCGGCTTGGAACCGTACCCATCGGGGAGGAGAGTATACTCATAGCAGTATCTGCCCCGCATAGACAGGCTGCGTGGCGAGCTGGTGAACGAGCCCTTGAAGACTGCAAAGAACGTGTTGAAGTCTGGAAGAGGGAAGAGTTTGAAGGCGAAGACGGCGTTTGGAGAGCCAATAGGGACGGCGCAAAAGGAACATTTACATCTTGATTCGCTATCCTACGTCTGCTTACACGGTTACACCAACATCGAACCTAACAACCTGAGGTTTATGGAACCTATCTACAGGGATACCCTAGGATGGTGTCTTATCTGTCTGCTGAGAACTTAGTATCGAAACGCATTCAATTCGACTTACACCCTATGATCCACTACTCAACCCAAAGCCACATATACATAGTATGTGTGTGCGGCATACCGGATATTATATATTAGGTACCTAAGGCCCCTATTTCAAGCCCTATATTGATTATTTCCCTAGAACGATGCTTTAAAAAATATCGTACCATTGTTACTAACTGAGCACATCGAGATTGCCGGTTCTAAATGGGACGAAAATAACAATAAGTTGACCCGTTCATTAACCGGTTAAATGGCTGTTGTTGAGCCAAGGAGTAGCAAGGGGGCCTCGATTTTTGTATATAATCGAGATGGTGTGTTCAGGAGACACTAGAGTGTTATTTTCGTATCTGTCATCTTATGCGGATCTTTTCTGCTTTTTCTCGTTATCTGGACAGAATAAGAAAAAAAATCTATTACCTGACTACATACAACCTGCGTTGTATCACGAGACTACATGTAGACGGGCGTTTGGTCTGTTGCGGTTTAGATTAATGCAGGTGTGTATGTGACCGGGAACGGAGCATAGAACATCGCGAATCTGCCAAGCCATAAGGTACATCCATATGTTACTGAGGTGCATCATGTAAGCAGTACCTAGGTACCTACTTACATGCAGGTGTAAGTCTGCATGGTACTCTTATCTCTTTCAATGGCAACTCTGATTGGACTTCTAAAACTGCAACTCTTCAACTCAAGGTTGCATGCAGAGTCTCAATACAATACAATCGGTGAAGATTGGCTTTACGATGTACATACCTAAGGAGTGATCAACCATGGACCATAGTGCAGCACTCCCCAGTCTAGAGCTTTCTGCTGTTGAATACCTATTCTGTCGACTATTCTATCTAGCCTTCATATAATACCGCCATGGGAAACATATCAATCGGCTCGGCCTAGATGTTACGGCAATGGCAATGCATACAAGCTACTTAGCTGCACGTTCCAACGCCATGTAGAAATGAGCCTCGCACCCTTTCAGCCCTTTTCTGGGGTTGGTCTTGGCGCAATCCACCCATGAATTCAAGCTGCTATGTACCTCACGACGAGTCTATAGAGACACGTCATATCTCTACAGCTTCCTAATTCCACTACGCTAGGTACATGTAGGGTATCGGCCGTAGTATATACGGCATATCTAGCGCCTTCGCCTATCTTGCTATTCCCGTTGGTATGGGCAATGCCCCAAGCACTCGGTCGGGTACGGCTGTTTGTGGCGTTTTCGATACCTACCTCTCTTCCTCGAGCGATTAATGGCTTATAGTCCAAGGTGGCGTATCTTGTGCGACACCGACTAACTTCCTTCGACGTTAAAGATAAGAATATGAAACATGGATTTCTCGTTGAAGTTATCTCCCACATTATGCCGATTGGGCACCTCGCTTGTTGGTTATCACCTACCTATCATAATTAAGAAAACTTTCCTTGCTTGCTTACGTCACATTTTTTCGGAGGAAAGTTTTCGCTTCTAAATTCGAACCGGGGGGGGGAGGGCTCGAAATTCAGAAGCACGGACCAGTACGCAGTAAAACTGATAAGATAAAAATTTGACCAATCAGGTCGTTTGGTTAATTGGGCTGAAAGGATGCACCCAATCAAATCACTTAGTTTTAAGCACTGACCAGTACGCAGTTTAATTGATTAGATAACGGATAAGATAGCTGATAAGATAAGACATTTAGCCAATAGGCGTTTGCCCGTAGCAAAAAGATGGGGTGGTGGCGAGGCTAGATTTCGAGAAAACACGCTAGCAAGGCAAAAAAGGTCAAGCAACCAATCAGACAAAGGGCACGCACCTTGCCGGAAGCCTCGGATTCACGGCTTGGTAGGCAAGCCAATTAAATCAATTGCAACCCCAATTTGGTGTTACCCACACTCTTAAGCTTTAACTTACATAATCGCTTTTGATTGGCTAGCAATAGCTCATACACAACACCTCCCTTTTACCTGAGATTCGCCCTTTTTTTACCTTTTACACCTTTTTACCCAACCTACTTCAACACCATACATATATCGCTTGCCTATTAATATTACGATATCGTGAGCTTCACTTTTGGTTGCTATCGCTGGCGCTTTTGCCAGGTATGTATTGACATTATTACCCTTTTTTCAACTGTTTCAACACCATACACGTATCGCTAACCTATTAACATCACAGTATCGTAAGCTTCACTTTCGCTACTATTGCTAGCGTCATTTTCAGGTACGTATTGATTTTTTACATTTTTTTCAACACCATACACGTATCGCTTACCTATTAATATCACGATATCGTGAGCTTCATTTTTGCTAATTTAATCCCCAGCTAACTCATTTGCTAATTTAATCTCTTAGCAGCTTATATATACAATAACCACCTTTTTAACATTCGGCCTCTTTTTCCTTTTATATCTTTTTACTCACCACCACACACACATCGTTTGCCTGCTAATATCACAATATCGTGAGCTTCACTTTTACTAATTTAACCCCTAGCTAATTCGTGTGCTAATCCAATCATTAGCTGACTCGTCTACTAATCTAATCTCTTACCACCATACACACATCGCTTAGCTACCAATATTACAATATCGTGAGCTTCACTTTTGCTGATTTAATCCCCAGTGGACTGATTTGCTAATCTACTAATCCAATCATCAGCTGACTGATTAATCTAATCAGTAGCTTATATATAATAACCTTCTTTTTAGCATTCAACCTCTTTTTCCTTCCTTTTACATCTTTCTACTCACCACCACACATATATCGCTTGCCTACTAATATCACGGTATCGTGAGCCTCACTTTTGCCTGCCGTTGCAAGGCCTCGCACGAGGTTATTGAGAAGCAATTTTCAGGTATGCGCTGCCAGCTTAGCCCTATATCACGTGACTAGCTTGCTTATCTTATCTCTTACAGTTGACTAAATACGACGTTTCCGTTCATCTCGCTACTCGACACTCCTCTACTCCTACATCCTTTTTTCTAGCCTCTCAACACCACGAATCCCCTGTTCCGCTATTCAGAAGGCAGTATCGTGAGCCTCACTTTTGCTTCAATAAGGTCCCTCTGAGATGCCTGGTAAGCTAGCTGAACGCGTGCTGTAGATTGTAAGATAGAGGCCTGCCGCAGGCAATAGCCCGCTGCTAAGCGCCCCCCGGGAGGGCCGCCGGAGGCAACGGGGGGTACAGGGGGGTGTCCCCCTATATTAGAAATATTAATTTTATATATAGGGTAGCTACCCTCTACATATGTTGCTATCCTGTAGATCCTATTGGCCACATGCATAGTTACGGGATATGGCCACGTAGCCTTTTTATTATTACATATGTAGTATAGCTAAATATATTGCCTTTTTTACATGCACATATTGAATCTAAAATTGTAACGAAGTTATGATTTTCAAGTTATGACGAAAGAGTTTTCGTCCCTAAAATAGTGCTTGCTCGATTTTCACATTGTCTAGTTTCTTATAATACCTGATAACTAGTGAGTATCTTAGTATCCCTCCCTCTCAATACAAAGCATCTTCTAAGTACACACGCAGGGCTTAAAGGGGTAAGGTCTACGGACGGAAACCCGTCTTCTCAATTCTACTTCTACGGATGGCCCCACTCAGGATAATATGTAATGGCTAAGTATACCACCATGGTACAGCTCGTTGCGTTGCGGTTATCCATCCACTTGGAGTTATCCAATTTAGGCAGGTTACCCATGACTAGGGTATATGTATGCATACCCGTCTCCCATAACATCCAATCTCGAAAGGAGCAAAAAACTAGTTCCCCACGCCGGGGCTACCACTCGCCAGGTATCACAGCTCGTGGTCTCACCCAGCCCGGCTTCGACGACAGGTGGGAGAAACGATATTACCTAGGGTCCCACTCAAGTTCTGCTGAGAACATTGGTGACACATACCTACTCTCGCTTTTGAGCTGATCTACACCGGTATAAAGTAACATGCGACCCCTATTAGTCTCGGGTCTAGGCTCTGCCCTCTGCTCACTTCCCTCTTCTGTTGTGCTACGGTCAGGCCAAATATGAGCATTGGTTTCTGACATCATTATAACTCTTCCCCGGGCGTCGACATGGTTTTCAACTTTCGTAAGCGCGCTGTCGCCGAGGAGATTACTCCGGCCAGCACCTCTTCTAGCGAGGTCATAGAGGTCACTGGTGTTGAGGCACTAAATACTCTCAAGGGCTTCGAAGAACAGCACAAGCTTGATCCTAATTTACCTATTGAAGAGCTCAACGAGGTCGATACGGCTCTTGCTTCTGGCGATACCGAGAAGGGCGTCGAGATCGAGACGGCCCTGCTCGAAGAAAATAGTCCTTACCCCGAGGTAGGTCTTTACCCTGGCCGCCTACGACCTGCTAAGATATCTAAACGAGTGAAAAGGTGCGCGCCGCAGTAAGGAATTACGATGTCGACTTACCAGCTAATACAATTCGTGCCTGGGTAATCGGCTTGATTTTGTGCACCGTAGGCTCGGCCGTAAATATGCTCTTTTCCTTGAAGAATCCTACTATACAAATCACCACGTACGTCATCCAGTTGGTCGCGTACCCTATTGGGCTAGGATGGGACTTGATATTCCCCGACCGACAGTTTAATATATGGGGGATAAAGTTCAACTTCAAGCCGGGAAAGTTCAATTTCAAGGAGCATGTCATTATCGTCGCCATGTCGAATGTGAGTCTTAAAAATAAGTTTGAGTGGATGGAAGCTGAACCATGACTAGGCCGCTTATGGTGGAGGCTTTCTGTATGCCACCGACGTCCTGATCGCTCAGCAGGTCTTCTGTGAGTTGTGCCTCGAAGTACTGGCTCTACAACATAACTAATACTCAGAGAAAAGATAAGCAACACTTCGGCTGGGGCTTCCAAATCCTATTCGGCATCACTACGCTTTGCACTGGATACGGTCTGGCCGGATTAGCTAGACGCTTCCTCGTCTGGCCGGCTGCGATGATATGGCCTTCCGACCTCGTTAACGCTTCGTTGTTCTATGCTCTCCACGATCATTCTCCTTCCGATCCTGCTGAGACGAATGGCTGGAGAATCAGCCGGTATCGATGGTTCTTATACGTAATGATAGGCGGGTTCGTATGGTATTGGTTTCCAGGCTGGATTTTTCAAGGGTTATCTTACTTCACGTTCGTATGCTGGGCTGCCCCCAAGAACGTTGTTGTCAACAAGATCTTTGGGGGGTTGCACGGATATGGTCTCCTACCGACAACTCTAGACTGGACTGTCATTTCTGGCTATGCGCTATCTCCACTCATTCCGCCTTTCCACGCCGTAGCCAACGCCGTAGCGGGTGTGGTCATCTTCTGCATTTTTGTTTCTATGGGCCTGCATTTCTCTGGCACATGGTACGCCGACTACTTTGTTGTCCAGTCGTCCAGTGCCTTTGACAATACCGGTGCCGTCTACAACGTCTCGAGAATCTTGAACGACGATTTGACCTTCAATGAACAGAAGTACCACGATTATTCCCCCTTATTCCTCTCTACTCAGTTTGCCCTTACCTATGGGATGTCCTTCGCTGCCGTCGCCGCCGTAGTCGTTCATGTTGTTCTATATCACGGGAAGCAAGTCGTCTCGCAATTCAAGCTTGCCCGTAGGCAGGAGGATGACATCCACATGAAGCTAATGAGAAAGTACAAGGACGCCGAGGATTGGTGGTACCTTGCTCTCTTTGCTATAATGATTGGGTTGTCATTTGTTGTGTGCTGTGCTTGGCCTACAGGGTTTCCTGCCTGGGCTTATGTCGTCTGCATCTTAATCCCATTGGTATGGACAATCCCGATAGGCATCATTCAGGCCATCACAAATATTCAGCTCGGGCTGAACGTCTTAACCGAATTTGTCATTGGCTACATGTTGCCCGGTCATCCTCTAGCCATGATGATGTTTAAAAACTATGGTTATATCTGCATGCAACAAGCCCTTGTTAGTAGTATACTTCCTAAGTTTATTTTCGACTCACTTGACTACGTCTAGTAAATTCCAAATGCTAACTCTAGGCTATAGTACTTTGCACAGGATCTCAAGCTCGGTCACTATATGAAAGTGCCTCCCCGCGCTATGTTCTGGTCACAGCTGGCAGCTTCCCTATGGTCGGCCGTCGTCCAGATCGCTGTCATGAATTGGGCTCTGGCAACTATCCCGGATATATGCTCTGACGACCAGCCCGATAACTATGTCTGTCCGAATGGCAGAGTTTTCTATACGGCATCGATTATATGGGGTGCTATCGGCCCTGCGCGAAGTAAGTAAATTTCAACATCGCACAATTCTCTAAACATCCAGCCGTCATCGTCCTACGAGCAAGAATATTAATGCGTCCTAAAGTGTTTAGTGGTGATGCCATTTACTCATCGCTGCAGTGGTTCTGGCTCGTTGGCGCCGTTACTCCTATAATTACCTGGTTCTTAGCCCGTCGCGCTCCTAAGTCAATATTCCGCTTTATAAATATGCCGCTTATTTTCGGAGGTTCCGGTTGGATTCCACCTGCCACGGCATACACGTATCTCTGCTGGGGTACAGTCGGCTTCATATTCAATTACTACATTAAGCGAAGGTGGAATGGCTGGTGGATGCAGTATAATTATATCACGTCGGCAGGTTTAGACGTGGGCCTAGCGGTTTCGACTATTATCATCTTCTTCACGCTCTATCTCACCTCTGCTAAGTTACCTAAGTGGTACGGGAATTATGATGTGTTTGATACACTTGACCAGACTGGGTTGGCAATCAAGAGCTTTGTTGCCGATGGAGAAACATTTGGGCCAGAGACCTGGGCCTAACCCATACGTATTAGTATCTAACTAGCGTATTTATATGATGATAATTGATTTAATGATGACCAGATCTTTCAGGTTTCTTAGAACCGAAATCTGATGAAGTCGCCGTGAGGTGGAACCCCTGAACATAAGGGGCTAATGATATAAAACCCAACTCTGGTCAGTATATGGTGGCATAAGAAATCTGCATTCAGGGACTATGGAGATATTATCATAAACTTATTTAATCCATGAGGTATATGAGCAAGCGCAAAGCTCAAAGTCTAAGGACTGTAAATGTGGGAAGTCCGCTTCACGTTATCAGCATCCCGTCAACCCCGACAACACTGCCATTCATATATCTAGCCTCGTCACTCATCAAGAAGGCGACAACCTAAATGATCTACTGTTAGATTTCGCACAGTAACGTAGCCCTTTAGAATGGTAGTAGTATAATATCAAATACTTACGCCTGCAATATCCTCCGGCGTGCCCATCCTTCCCAGAGCATTACCCTGCTCCATACGCCGTCTTGCCTCGGGCGTTCCCCTAACTATTCCCGCATTGGTCGGGGTGTTAATGTATCCCGGCGCGACAATATTCACCCGGATGCCTTTTGGACCTAGTTCAAGCGCCATGCACTTACTGAAGCCGATGACGCCGAACTTGGTCGCGCAGTACACGGCTGTTCCCGCGTCGGGATTCCATCCGGAGATAGAACTTACGTTGACGTAGCTGCCACCCGGAGCTATCATGTGCGGGATAGTGGCTTTGGTCACGTTGAACATGCCCTTTAGGTTGACGCTGACGAGTTTGTCGAAATATGCCTCGCTTGTTTCTGTCAGGGACATGGCGGTTGGGTTGACGCCGGCGCAGTTGAATACGTGGTCGATGTGCCCGTACTTAGTCACGACTTGGGCTACGCGTTCTTCTACATCGGCGGAGTTGGATACATCAAGAGTATGAGCAGTGTGATGCTCTGAATTGCTACCGCCTGAACAGAGCGTAAGGGTCTCAGCTAGTGCAGGCTCATTGACATCCGTGATAGCGAGAATAGCACCCAGGCTATTTAATTTAATTGCTGTGCCTCGTCTAAAGAACGAATGTAAATGCGTGAGCTATAGAATGGCCGCTTGGCAGAGTCTAGGTGAGAGATAGATATAGTACAACTTACCCAATACCGCTCGCCGCGCCGGTGAGGAGGATCACTTTACCGGAAAGATTCGAAGACATGGTGAGAATGTAGTATTGAATATAACACGCTATTTCGAAGATGAACTTTAATGTATCTATTTTCTAAAGACTTACAAGTCTACTACACTATAACACTCCCCCACTTATGTACTGCTCCCCACCCGAGCTCGGAGGACGTCTGCTTCTCGGTGCTATGATACGGAGGACTTCTGTTTATTAGATAGGGGGGTCATTGGTATCCTACGCTCCGATGATAAAGGAGAGTCGGACTAAAGAATTATGTATAATGCTTGTATTTAAGCCTAGTGGCGAGCAAAAGCGAATAGAATTTATTTAATTCCCGTTAGCTCAAAATCTTATCTCGACGTTACAAACACATTGCCAAGAGTGGGAGGTGGGAGTCAAGCCACACAACTAAAAAAAAAGAAAAAAAAAGACATTTTCATGGGGAAGTAGAGTTATTGTATTGTTCCCTAGGACCTCTCATACATATGTTATCCGACCATATTCCCTTCGCGGCCCGAAATGAGCCTGCGAAACCGAAACCGAAACCGAAACCGAAACCTCTCCCTATCCATCACATACACATGATTGTAGATTTATTCCCCTGGCCTTGTTTCAACTCCATAAGCCTGTCGGATACCGATAGAAAAGCAAAAAGTCTATAGGCTCGAGGGCTCATTCTGCGTAGATGGGTACGAGTAAAACTGACGCCAGGGTATAATATAAGCTGAAAAATGCACCGAACTCCATGCCCGTTTTTAAAGCCAAAAATCGCCAAAGAAGGAGAGAAGCGTCACTGAAGCGCAGCCTCTTTATTCGTAAAATCGTTCGTCCCATTCGTGTTCCAGTACCTCGAGCGGAAGAGGCCACCAGGACATCAAGGGACCCTCAATGTTGGAGACGTGCTGATGTTGCGACGTCTTCTTAGGGGCCTTGTATTCGACCGCCTCCTCCTCGATCCATTCGTGCTCCATGAGCTCCTCCGAGGCGGGCCACCATGACATCAGCGGCCCCGAGATGTTGGAGATGTGGTGTTCCTCCGGTGTAGCTATGCGGACCTGCTTCGGCCGGGTGTCTAGTTCGGACACGAGCGCCGCGGCATGCGACGTCTCCTCCTCCTGCCTGCCGAGAAAAACGGGAAATTGGAAGCCGTCTTCAAATCTTAGTGGACTCTTCCGGGAATAAGGATCCAGTGAGGATGGTAAGTACACACCTTCGTCGAAGTCGGACTCGCAGTCGCTGAGGACCGGGGTTTCGTTGGTCTCTGATTCGGGCGTCTGTGTACCCGATGGCAGGGACCCCAATGGTGTTGTGTAGCCATCACGGTAGACGTGGTTGACAATAACCTTGTCCTTGTGGCCGTTGCGGTGTAGGTGGTTCATATAGAGTAGATGTGAAAGGTCGTCCTCATTATAGATGGCGACCTGAGGGTCGGTCTTAGTGTCTTGTGGGACAGTGCTGGGTTCGACGTGAGCGACGACCTGAGTGGCAGCCATTTGCTCAAGCTGAAAGATATCACCCTGCATGATTGATGATTGTTTTGTAGATGCTTTGATCTGATTGATTGATCTGATAGATAGTAGTCGTTGATCTTGGATCTGATGTAGATTGATGGATGTGTAGCTAGATTATCTCCCAGGCTGATGTCCTATTTTATATACAGAGGCCAAGACTATATTATACACACATGCCACGATGAGTCGAGTGAAAAAAAAAAAACCAATTACAACCTATACGACCGTGATACTAGAACCATACTCGAACTATTAGATCCGAAGTATTCTCGTCTCATCAGGCCAAGCCTGACAGCTTGGACAGTTCCGTTACGCCTAGGCGGGTAACTCCCTCTGGCGAAAAATGAAAAGAAGGAGAAAAAAGCGGGTTTGCAGTGGCGTGTTCTTGAATCACTATGCTATTGATAATCGTATGACCAGGGGTCAGCCAGTCGAGCCAGCTGAGCCCTGCTACCTGTTGGAATGTTACGGGGTGGCCGTTAAGCGCCATCAAACCAAACTTGCGACCCGGCTTCACCCGACCAAGAAGAATTTCCAGGCCAGCCTGATCCACCGCCCAGGTCTTAGTAGAGAATTTTCTGAAGCTACGGGATGAATCCCGGTTTTACTTTAGACGACAGAAAATAATAGAGAGAATATTATAATTTTTTTTCTTTCTCAACTACCCTAACTACCAAGATGATGAATGGCCTTTAATTCTTACTATCCACATATTTCTACCACAACTGTAAAAAAAAAAAAAAAAATTCTTCTTGTTTTACCCGACCAGCAAAACCCGTCAGAGCTTAAGATTTTATAAATCCAGATCGCGTTTCGCCGTCTTCAGTTGCACATGTCATAGACAGAGCTCCGGGTACTCATCTCATCTACCCACTTCTCTATTACCTCTTATACCTATCGCATTGGTATTATTATTCTTTTAAGCATGCCTTTTTTAGTCATACAAGAAGTTCTGTTTATAAACGTATTAAAAATGTGTTCTCGGTTTTGCATTAATACGATACCGTAAACTTACCCGAATTTCCTGAAGAACTTCCTCCCGTACAACCTCGAAGTCCCTGTTAGCATCCACTCTAGTTATCTGCATGCCCGACTCTTCAAGGGCGACGAGCATTGCTTCGCTCTCCGCAATGGAACGCGTAATTCTCTCCCGCGCTCTCACCTCATTTGCGTCGTCCGGCCGCCCTGATGTCGAGGCCCGTCCAAGCACACGTACGAGCGAGACCTCGGGGGGACAGGTTAAGTAGAGTATGCAACGAGCCCGCGGCATCTGCGCTACCCATTCCGTTACATGCTGTTCTCGGCGCGGAAAGCCGTCCACGAGCCAAGCCAACTGCCCGTTCCGCACTACTCCGTCTTCGATCGTATTCCGGAGCAGTGTGACCGCGGAACGGGCAGGGATATTCGGTCTTTCGGTCCCTTCGCGCCGCGGGAAACTACTAACCCAAGAGCCAGGGATTCTATCCTCGTAACGAATCAAGTCACCATAGGATAGGTGAGTCAGACTAGAAAATGTCGTATTAAGGAATTTTGAAAGTGTACCTTTCCCTGTACCAGGTGCTCCCAATATGAATATGATAAGCGGTTGAGTAGAAGAACGTGATTTGTATAAGCCCGTTGATGCTTCCTGCACTACACTCGGGAATCGGTGGCTTATTACACCCCTTCTACTACCCCAACCAACTAAGTGGAAAGATAGAATGCTGCCGAGGTTGATTCTTGAAAGCAAGCGTCGAATCGCTGTAGCAAAGGCTTTGAACATTTTGATTACCTTCAAACGAAGTTATTAACCTATACCATATCGAGAGGACGTGCCAGGGGCCAGCCATTGTCTACATTCATACAGGCAACAATTGCCTTGGTGATTAAAAAGAACTTACTGTTATTTGAAAAGGTCGCTATTTGAAAATATTGTGTTATTCGAGAACGATAGTTATGAGTCGGATTGCCGAGTATAGTCTTGTGTCAAGTGCTTGAGGTGAAATCCAGGGGTTTTATACTTATTCTATAGAGCTGTGCTACCTGTGCGCCATACTCGTAGAATGTATGGATGTTTCTTGACTCGGATAGCTCGAAGTCGTCTCTCTATGCTTCATTTCTGTCTCACAAGCCAGTCCCCGACATGAAAAATCGCGAGGCTTCGCCCGCAGCCACCTACGCACGCGAACAAGTCCCGTAGCTGCTTGAATAAATCAAACGGCCCCCCTGAACTGAATGGAATTGCCCGTCTTAGTAATTCTACCAAAACAAACGGCTCACATTTTCGATTTTTTTTCACATTGGTTAGAGTGAGGCTGTCGAGCTTATCCATACACTCACTCATTTTGCTACTATTTGGGGGGTGATTCGCAGCAAACGCTCGAGAGCATGCTAGCAGCCGATACAATACTAGCCGGCTTACCCGTATTTATCCCGTCATTTGCTAGCTACTGTTATTTTCTGACTGATCATGTTATGGGTATCACCAAACATAGATTTAGAGGGAGAGTGACCGTGATTCCAAGATGATGAAGTTCTCTCTATGCTACCTGATTCCAAGGCACTCTCTTATAGGAAATATTATCCAAGTACCTAACGCTCTAGGTATGCTCTTACTAGGTACCTGCATTTTAATTCGCCTGCAAGTATGCGTGCTACCTGATTTGCTGAATGTGGCTCTACCCCTATTTACAGTCTCGTCTTTCTGTTACTTAGCCTGCCAGCCTCCTGCCTTCGCTGGCACTTTCGAAAATTGGTCCGAATCTGCCATACCGGAGACCTCCACGCCTCCTTGGCAACGTCCAGAAGCCTGTAAGTACACCGGCTCCCTCGGGAACCTGAAAAACTTTCGTCCGAGCGATTCTAGGTTGACCAGGACAAGATCGATCAAGGATATACACGGTCCGATTAACTACGCGCTTATTGATATTTTCAACACTCAGCCGCGACAAGTCTATTTTCCGGCCGGAGGCTGTCAAGAACTGGAAAATAGGTAATCATTAACGACCCCTGATTCGCGGTTAGAGTAAGTCAAGGGGTGGTCAGCTCACATTGATATACAGGATATGGTTCTGTCGGGTGCCTCCTATCTCCACTTGTGCTAACTTCTCGTCGGAAGGAATAGCTATTCTTCTTGCCCCTTTTACTCCGATACCGAGCGTCAGAAACTTTTCATCTTCGTAGATAAAGCTAATACCACAAATCTCGTTGGTAACCTGCCTAAAAGTGACTTCAATAGCTATGGCAGGATTTGGGCCACCATCTTCACGCGTCTCTTGTATAAACGCCCTCTGCACGACTGACCATGAAGGGAGTAGGTAGTCAGCTGAACCTATGAGTAGTTGTGTGTTAGGTACTTCTGTCTTTGGTGTATAGAAGATGCGAACATGGTCCCACTGTAGGAAAAATATGTTAGTATAATTTATACTAGTTAGAGAATAAAACGCCGTCTTAGGGGCGGCTAGGTTGCATGAGCTCCCAAAGAGCAACTTATGTGCATATAAGAAGAAGAAGCCCAGGAGTAGGTGTAGGGGAAATAACATCAGAAACACGTACTTCATGATTATAACCCCAGAGGATGCCGCTCTTTACTTTCTAGTTAGTCACACACGTCGCCTCTAGGTAGTATTTACAGTTAAACTAACCAGAGTTTCATACGGGTTCTCTCGATACTCTAGACATATTTCCCCGCCATTATGGTGTTCTAGAAATTCCTTGCTGACACCACGGGCGGTTACTATTCTCAGCCTCCTGAGCGGGCCATATTTGACTCGATTATAGTGATTTGTGTAATCGTGCCATGTTATCACTTCCGATATCCGGTCACCTGGAGTGATGTCAATGGTACCTAACTCGTTTACCCATTGTCCCACGATGACTGGTATAGTAGAATTATAGTATTCGAGCCAGAGACCTGTGATATGTCTTGGCGAACTTATTTCCTTTATATTGCCCACTGAAACACGGATTCTCCGAAGGCGTGAAAAGTCTGCGGTGGTGATGGCAAAACCTCCGGGATATGCTAACATGTCCTGAGCTGAATCTAATGTCTCTGCGGTGATAGGAATGGAGTGTGGAATGCCCGAATGCTCTAGTAGAGGTGGTTGCGAGTCCGTATTTATAATCTGACATCGTGCAGAGAAATCTAGGAAGTGTCCCAAGGGTGACTTGAGGTGACGCGTTTAGTTAGGGGCAAGCAATACAATTTAGTGGCGCATCTCTTACATGGATCTTTGCATAGAATGCCGTGAAATGCATCCCAGGTTCAGCTTGTAGCACATAGCTCTTCTCTTCGGTTTCTTCTCTGGATTCTTTACCGTAGAGGTGAAACTGATTCTCTCTTCCTAGGTTGGTGGTAACCTAATACAAAGATAAGTTCGTAAGTAATTTCCCAATTCTTTAGCGAGCACTACCGTTGTACGTCTTCCATCTGGAAAGAATAGAGAGGGGAAATGGGTGGATCATACCGTGATGGCCTGGATGGTGTACGGAAAATAGTAGGCGGTGATCTTGGTTATAACCTCACCGCCCGGGCCGTCAATTGGGAAGCATTGTCGAATTGCTGGCGTGTCAATTATTTCGTCTACACTATTCCTGAAGTTCTTGCGTCCATAGAAGCGCTCACTCCCATCACTATAAATGAATGAAATACCTGTGAATACTGAGGGGTATTTCCCTATTAATACATCGATCCTGACCAGTGATTGTAGTAGCTTTCCATCAGTTCCACCGAAGTCCATGTTGAGACATAAGTTGAAGTGTTGTGTAATGAAGGCAGCAGGAAAATGCCACGTTGGATGGATGGTCGGAATGCTTGGATTCCATATTTCTCCGGGGCGCCAATCCCAGTCTGCAACTGGCATTTTTCTTCTGTCAACAAAAGCCCGTGACGCTGAGGCTGGCTGTTCTATAAGTGAGATAGAGATAATTTTGCAGGCCTGTAATGAGAATTAGCTCTCTCGTGCATTATTTTAATCTCGTTTAACCCACGTCAAGCGCAAAGTGAAAGCCGACACACTGCATATTGTCTCCTGGTGTTAGTCTACATATCCCTCTCTGAGGGTCTGTAAGTTCCATGTCCCCTATCGAGACGGAATATGAGTTTTGAAACCCTCGAGTACGAAGACGTAATCCGACTAGACCTTTCGTCTCCATAACGGCCTCAATATACTCTACAGGATTCTGAGGCTCCAAAACTATTTCGTGTCCTTTACGCGGATTAATAAATCCGACCCAATACGGGGCAGGGTCTCCAGGCCAAGTAGCTAAGAACTGGAAACCGCTGATATATGTCTTTGCATTCGAGTAAATAAATGAAGCTCGTAGCCTTTGGGGTGCGCAATCTAGTGAAGGGGGCCATAGGAGGTCTTTGCGCCTAAAGAGCCTACAACTCAAAGATAGTGGTTTCGTTGTGTTTGCCCAACCTTGATAAAAGAATGCCTCTGCAAACACTGATCTTCGGGGGAACCACTCCTTGTTCCAATACGAGAGATTGTCTGCGCACGGGTCATTTGCCAGACGTACGTATAAGGCGTCAGTCATATGTTGAAATATATGCCAAATACGATATCGGTTTCTCAGGCCATGGAACAGTTCCGATTTTAATGCTCCTTTCTACGTATCAAAGTATCGTTAGGTAATTGACGCAGTGGGAAGAGTGAAGGTAGAAGAAGACGTAAGATGATGCGATCGATTTCAGAAGAAAGTAGGGTGGCTCTTATAGGGATATTTTACACGTACGGCTTTGAGGTACAGCGTCCGCCAGTCTGCGGGCTCAGTAGGCCTTGAGTTGGAAAGGCCAACAAAGACGAAGCCCATTTCAAAATCCGGGCCGAACCGGCTGGACCAGAACTTCTGATCGAGAAACTCTGGAGAGGAAAGATCGGCCGTGTACCTCGAAGCGAGCCGTAAGTTGCAAACGTCTCGACTTGGTAGATGGGCAAGGATGAGCACGATAAGCTCGCTTGGAAGAAGTAGGAAAGGATCTGGCTTAGAGTAGTTCCTATGTTTCATGTAAGAGTTGGCTAAGTAAGCGTAAAAGGATTTGGCTTCATCGTCAAGGCTTTCCTCATCGGGTACAAACTCCTCAGTTATATCGCCCGTGATGAAAGAGTAACTGGTCAAATTTACACGAGTAAAATAGCGGCTATGCACTTCTGCTTCGCGGGGGTGGAATTGACTGGCGTGTCCGTAGTCATGGCCGGGTACTAAAACCTCGCTCTTGGCGCTCACGGGGGTATTGAACAGTATAACGAAGAGATGGTGTGCTAGGCTATTAACAGAAACCGCGTGATTCGGATCAACACGTTCTCTGAGAAGCTTCCAGCAGGCATCATGGAGAACATAACACCAGTATTCGAATACCATAGGATCACATTGCGGATAACCGACTTCGTGTATCGCGAAATCACGGTGTAGATCTTGCAGTGGTTCATAGTCACGATAGTGACTGTTATACTCGAAGGGGGCGATGACATTTCCATCTATATCGAGCCATCCAGTACCCGTTATAGAAGGGTCTTCAAGTTCGTCCGTAGTTCGCACTAAAAGAAAGGCGAGATTTTTTTCTAAGTATTATCAACTGGGACTGGGATTGGGACTGTTTCTTTTCCACACATACAGGCTCGAACTTCTTGTAACCAGTTAAGGCGACAATCGGGATTTGCTAGACCGTTACCAAGGGTTGGCCACACATCAACCAGGACACCGCAGAGAGGACAGAATCTAGACTTAGTAGACATGACGAATGAGGATGTAGGAAATTGGATAGCTCCGTCGAGGATGTCCGAAGATTATAGGCGGTACCTATTGTGTAAGTGGACGTGAATATGTAATTTGTAAGTTGTAAAGTTGTAAAGCTATAAAGATGCCTACCTAATCGATAGGTAGATGAAGTATTCCCCTCTGCCAATAGAATCCACTCCCATCACTGCACCCTCATATGCCTGCCGAATTTGTTACTAGGTTAGGTATATAATGTATATCCATCTGTCTACAATATTTATTAGACACGGGTTGAATAACCACGCAAGGCACTCGACGAAAAAGACTACTAGGTCATGAATATGTAATTACCTATATCTACGTAGGTGATAAATGTAAATCGTATCATCCCAAAACCACCAAACCGAAACCCTGTAGAATCAACCCGCATACCATTAACCCGGGCATAGACTGCTAGTACAAATTGCAATCTTACTATAATTTGTTACGAGTAGCAACATCAACAATAATAACAACATATAAACCAGAGGATCGTCACGAGCCAAACCTAGAAAATGCTGTTTACAAGATTACTGCCAATCGTAGCACCAGCGCCGAAGATAGCAGCATTTCCTAGCTTCTTGCCAAACTTCTTTCCATTCTGCTCTATTTTGCTCGGTTCGGCAGGTGTGCTGGGACTACCACCTCCTTGCGCCACCGCCATAGGGGGAACTTGTGCATTATACGGGTTCTGTGCCTGCGGCGGCGGCGGATAACCACCGTTACCTCCTGGCGTAGCTGTAGCGTATACCGGTTGGGCCGGGGCGTAGAAACCTGACTTCTCACTATGGTCTATCTCGACGTAATTCTTAGGGAAGATACCCTCGGCGTTCGTCCGCTTGTTGCGTCCCATCCACCAGTCGTCATTCATATACTCGTATACAGCAATCTTATCTTCGCGCTCGAATGACAGATCTCGGTCGTCTGCAGCCTGGTATTTGTAGAGTGCCTTCGCGTGGGCGATGATCGGCTTCGATGGGGGTGGAGGGGGAGGCCCTGTGCGCGAAGGGAGTGAGGGCGGACCGGTTGAGCTATATGCTGGAGGTGCGGGAGTGGAAGTCGGGTTCTGATTGATTGCTAAGTTGGCCATGGAATGAACAGGTGGTATATGTTGTTGCGGTGGGGGACCTGGCGGCGGCGAGGCGACAGAGGCCCCTCGCGTTGATGGTGTAGGCGCACCAGAAAGTGAGGTCTCTGCGGGAAGCGCTCTATGAATTGAGTCGAACACATCGTCCGTCAGAACTCCCTTCTCAAGAAGATGCTCAAGCTCCTGGAAACTAGTTAGCGACAAGGATACTCTATTTATCCTAATGGAGGGAAGGCCTAGCTAAATGCAAACATACATTCTTGATGAGACGGAGCGATTTGTTAGTCGCGATAATCTCCTGTCGATCGAGGGTAACCATCTTGTCAAGCTAAGTCGGCTCTCTAATTGTACAGTTCACGATACTACCTTGTGTAGGTAGCGAAAGTAGAAAATGTATTGTTACTTTTAAATGCGGCTACTCGGGAGACTGGCAGCAGATTGTTGGTGGAATGACGGGAAACGGACAGAGGCAAAGCCCCGCCTCAGGCTCCTTTCAGTTGTACGAAATGGGTGGCTGTGCTGTGCACAATCCCTAGTGATAAGTTATCCGCGTATTCAAGTTATGTAAGTTCATAATTTAGGTGACGTTGTTGCATATTTCTCTCCTTTCTTTTCTAACGAAACAATAAAAAACACCCATCACATAACTAATGGCAGCTTGAACTGACAAAAATAAGCCCAGGGCCAGGTATTTATGTGGTATATATCTTGGCTTCTAACGCCTTTCTAAATATCCCGCAAGTCTAAACAAAAGGGCTGTTCTTCACAACATATTTGTCAACATATTCATCCACAGCCGTAGCCTCTAGTTTCTTGCCATCCATTCCTAGATCGATGAGCTCCTTGACTTGCGACTCGGAGAAGTGTGGTCCTAGGTGTCGCTTGTACTTGGCCAGGATGTGCGGCTTGGCCTCTTCTCTCCTTAGACGGTGTCCTAGCGGAGCCTCGACAACAACCTCATCCAGGATCGTACCATCGTTCAGTTCGACCGTCAGCGCGTTAGAGATAGTACGTAGCTCTGGGTCGTGGTAGTCCTTGGTAAACTGCGGATCCTCGACACACTTGATCTTCTGGCGGAGCGACTCGACTAACGGGGACGTCGCCGCCTCGCCACCGTCGGTGTAGTCAGTTGCCTCTAAGCGGCCGAATACGAGCATGACCGAGCACATGTATTGGATACAGTGGTCACGGTCCGCGAAGTTGTCCATCGGTTTAAATTGCTTGTCGATGATCCGGATGCACGCCTCATGTGTCCTACAGGTAATACCCTTAATATCAGCTGCAGACTTACCCAACTCCTTCAGCTTGTTGTGAATCTTCTGGGAAGCCTCTACCGCAGTCTGTGAGTGGAATTCGGCTAGGAGAAGGCAAATTAGCAAGGTGACGGCCTTGAGGGTTTATCAATGTACGAACCTGGATATGAGACCTTGAAGAGAACGTTCTCCATCACGTAGCTGCCGTAAGGACGCTGGAACTCGAACTTGTTGCCCTTGAACAGGACGTCGTAGAAACCCCACACCGGCGCAGATAAGACAGTAGGAATACCGGGCTCGCCCTTCGCGACCTTCAACGCAAGGTTGACGGCTCTTTGACAAGCGTCACCAGCAGCCCATGACTTTCGGGACATGGTGTTCGGAGAGTGTCGGTAGGTTCGTAGGCTCTGTCCGTCAACCCAAGCCTGGGTAACGGCGTCGGCGATCTGCTTCTCGCTCAATCCGAGCATGTGGGACACAACCGCGGTACTGGCAACTTTAACAAGCACAACGTGGTCAAGACCGACCTTGTTATACGAGTTAAGTAGTGCCAGACAACCCTGGATCTCATGCGCCTTGATCATGCTCTCGAGGACATCCTTAACGGTAAAGATCTTGCCTCCGGCTAGGTTGCCGCCGGCTTTGTTGGTGCGATTCACCCAGTCCGCAACGGCCAGGATAGCGCCCAGGTTGTCGGAAGGGTGGCCCCATTCGGCAGCCAGCCAGCAGTCATTATAATCAAGCCATCGGATCGTAGCACCGATGTTGAAGGCACCATTGACGGGGTCGAGGACGAAGTCAGTACCAGGGACCCTAGTACCGTTGGGGACGATAGTTCCTGGGACAATTGGGCCAAGTAGCTTAGCGCATTCCTTAAATCGCAGACCCTCTAGTCCGCAACCTAGAGTATCAAGGAAAACCCATCGTGCGGTGTCAAACTATTTGCAGATTACTTGTCAGCTAATTGCGTACCCCACCAATTTTCACGATACGGGTTGACACGAGATAGGGGACGCCTACAGCTAATTCCGAGTCAATTGGCTTGGTCACGTAGTTGGCAATGTCCTTGATCTCAGGATCGTACTCTCTTCCTTCTTGAGGCATGGCGGGAGCGGATCGTTGCGCGGTAGTTGTTGAGAATGGGGAGGACGAAGCAGGGGAGCGGGTGTAGGCGGGGTGGTTTAGTCGTATCGTAGCTCCAAGTTTCGCTATCGCTGCGCGCGAGGATACACTTAATGGAGATGTTCTTTGCAAGACGGTTCTTGATTGTAAGCGTAGCGAGCGGGAGGCTGATAGGAGACTACGGTTGACTGAAGACATCTTGCATTGGCCGTGGGCTCAACAAATGGCAGGCCAACGTCTCCAAGGGGAGTTTTGGAGGCTAGGGGGAGCTTTCATTAAGAAGACGAAACGCAGGACCGGTGAATTTGGAGGCCGACCTTATTCCCTCGGTACCTACAGTCCTAGGTTAGGTAAGTACGGTTAACTTGCAGCATAAACCCGGCTACGTACGGCCAATGGCGGGGAAGAGACCCCAGAACCCCAGAATTCAAAAAACTATGATATCAGTCAGCAACCTTCCGCCTATTACCTAGGTAGGGTCAATATAATCCCAATTCCTGTCACGATTCCTTTATTGTTCACGACCTAGGCACTTGGGTCTTGATATAAACGAACATATATGTTTAACTATTTCATTGAGTAATACGGGGATTAGCAAGCTGGAAGGGCCCCAACCTTTATGGACATCCCACCACTGCCCACCACTGGATTGATACGGTATCAGCATATCTATGTAGACCCCGCGTCCCCAACACCACAACCACTTCAAAAACTTTAGCCAACACGATTCTCATGCTATTAGTAACAGATTTTTTTTTTAATAAATTAGAAATCGTATGCATTATATATAGCATGTAATAACTTTGCGCGTTTAAAATGAACCAGCAATGTGATATTTGAATTTATACAACCTATCTATCTTAAACCCGAACATAAACCTCGGGTAACGCTGTGAAGATGGCAAAAATACACATCTATGATAAAGGAGTAGGAGTAGAGGACAAAAACAAAAACCTGCCGAAACTTACAAACGAGTAAAAAAGAAAATGTGTGACAAGAGTGGGACTTGAACCCACGCGGATTGCTCCATGAGGATGTAGGAATTAAGGTGACCTTAACCTCACGCCATAACCAACTCGGCCATCTTGCCCTTGAAGCTTTTGGCTTGCATAAACGACTTATATTTTAACCCTAAACTCAGCCGAATAGGGTTAGTGTAACGGTTGTCTACATGTAGGTTCGGTATATCAAACCACTCAAGTAGACATCCTCCCCAAATACATCATACGAATTAAATGATAACTAGCAAATAAGCAAACTTATCATTATTATTATTACCCTTTCCTATGATATACCCTACTACTCACAATACTCACCAAACAACAGCACCCCTTACATACCCACGATCCACAAGCTCCCTAAAGTTCCTCTCCAAGCACTTAAGCGTGTAGCCATTCAGATGCCCTCCATCCCCTAGTACATCAACAATCCGGTCGAAGTCAAACTCTTCAGACGGCCGAGAGCACTTCTCCAGAATCCGCCTTAGGATAGCAGCCCTGCACCTCGGATCCCTGGCTGCCGTGCGCAAGCTAAGCGCCAGCAACGACTGTTTCGTTACGTCCATGTCTACACTTCCCTCTATATCCCCCCTCTTCTCCTTCAACGCCCGAATAACACCCACATACTCATCCCTCAACTCCTTCAGTATCCACGGCGCATCCTCATAGCGATTCTCCTCCGGTTCCTCATACGCCCCCTTCCCCCTCCAGAGCACAGGCGACGGCCGCCAGCGCCATGCAAACGTATTAAAGTCCCTGACGAGCCACGGCGGGAAAGCCTCGTTACCAAGTGATCTCGGCGCGATGTGCGCGCCGTCCCAGCCCACGATTGCTTTGATATCGCCTTCTTTAGACACGATGATGTGGCGCATGCTCAGGTCAGAGTGTGCAAGGACGAATCCCTTCTTATGCTGACTCGCCCTTTCCTTACCCTTAATGGATCTTGGCCTGGAGGGTTCGCGGAGAAGACTTACGAGGAGGCGAAGTAATTTATCGACGCCGGTATTTGCTTCGGTGTCGCATGGGTACTGATCTAAAAGTGTCGTGTACATTCCCCTCGCGTTTCCAAAGGGACCTACCGCGGTGTACAGGGGTATCCTCTCGCAATCTTCGTTGTCGAACCAGCGGTTTATCATGGCCTGTATGTCAAGCTCCTTCGAGGGCCCCACGCCGATGAGCATCCCGTTTCTGTCGAAGACTGGAGCCCCCCCATGTTTAAATTCGTATTTCCCAAGTTCAAGCACCGCCCGCGCTAGATTCTTCAGGACCTTGCTCCTTATTGCTCTGATCCCCTTCTCGCCATCCCCGCCAAACCAGACTTGATCCAGTGTCAGACCAGTCACGTACTCCATGATTAGATAGGGAACGTGAATCTCGTTATGAGGAGAGGAATCGGCGTCGATGATGGCGGGCACCGGCACGCAGGTCTCCGTGCGAAGCATATAGAGCACAAGTGCCTCGGTACGGAGCGCTTCGGCGCATAGTTCATCCCATATATCCGGCGTGCCGTTGATAGGGATCTTAATTATCCACTTACTATCCTCGCGGTTATGAAAACCGACGAACTCGATCGAATAGAAGATGTGCGCCGACCCTAAGAACGGCCCGTCGATCTGGGGTAGTTGTAGTGGAGATGAACCGTTGGCGGATGTGAAACTTTCGCGAGTCTGCATGATACCAAATGCAAAGGAGGCAATAGCCGCTATGTCGATATGGGAAAGTATACCAGCGTAGTCGTGGTGTTTCCTTTGGCTCCTCCTCTTCCGCTCCATAGCAGCGTTCTGGCTTATTTCCACCGGTGCAGCACTAACCAGTGCATCTTTAAGCGAGGGTATGCTTTTTATTTCTTTTGTTTCCAGTTCCTGGTGACCCAACTTGACTTCCCATCGTGATAAATTTGCCAACTTAGCTAGGTCCGCCCATCTTCTCTTGCTGTCTAACCCGCCTGCGTAATCAACGTGTGATTGGTTTCTACCAATTTTCAAAGACAATCCCAGAATCAATCCTAGGCTCATGTGCTGTTCCTGAGCTAGTCGATCCAGTTCCTCTTGACGCTCAAAGCGAGATCGCTCTATAAAGCTTTGTACTAGGGAATCTGACATCGCTTCTAAGGAGGAGGAAGAAAAAAAGGTGTGCTAAATGATACAATGCTATTGAATGGCTTTGTAAGAAGCAGCTGGACATAAAGATTTATAGAGCTAGGAAAACTAACAAAGACTCACTTCATGATGATGTTGGTGGCGTCAGTTTCCGTATCCGGAAGCTATTATTATCAATATTCTAACATCGTACTTATCATTGGCATGTTTCCACGAGTTTACACGCCTAGTAAACTCTCTGTAAACTCCCTGTACAAGTCTAAAGTATTTCTAGCCCTCTAAAGTGTATACGGCCTAACGCCTTTAGTCTTTCATATAAGGGTATAACCACCACCGATTACCGTCATATATTCTTCCAGGAAACTCGTCTAAAATGAATAGTGCCAAAGCCTCTTGTAATCCGCTACTATAAAGTCGGCACAAGAGGGGAAAATAACCACCAAAAGATAACATCGATGCCTTAGAACCATTCGTAGGTCCATAGTTGTGGTCAAATCGTCCACGAAGCGCAACCGCATTTAAGCATAGCCAGCCTACCAGAAAGCCAGTCGTCCGTTCCGTAAGGCGTAGCAAAGCCGAATACTACCAAGACCTATACCACCAAGTACCAAGGCCGACGAGGAGCAGAGTAACGAACACCACGAGACCCTCTTTTGATTGCGAGATCAGCATCGACCAGCCGATAGTTGGCTCCCATTTCTGGATATAAGCTCGGCGTTCCCAAGACTGCAAGTCGATTGGGAATGGAAGCTTGATACGAGGGTCTACAGGTAGGGGACTGTCACCTTTTGTTCTTAACTCCGATTCCAGAGCAGATTCGGGCGGTATAAGACAGTCGTGCTCAAGCATCGGGACCTCTACGCGCAAGAATACTGCTCTATGGTCGCTCGATCTGACGGGGGGAAGCGCATTATAATCTAGGATCTTCATACTCTTATCGCCGACGGTCTCTCTGGCCCACCATGGTATCTCTTGGTATAGAATGCGGTCGCACCAGCCGGGCCATCGATGAAGAGCCCACGACCAGTCGACTTCATCCACGTCGTCTTCGTCATCCCCGATGCGATCAAGCCCGGTGTGTGGCTTTGGTTTTGGGGACACTACTAGCTTATATGTTGGTGGGAACAGGATCTCTGCCTCGCTCAATCCGTGTAGTGTGCGACCAGCATCTCTCTCTGCAGTAAGCTGATCGCGTGCCAAGAAAGGTGAGAAGTGGTTAGAATTCACAGTATCGGGACTAGTATCAGGAAATACCGAGTCCGGAGTTGGTGAACTCTTGGATATACGATAGTTTAGATCTCCAGCAACAAAGAGGTGAGCACCGGGCTTATATATAGAAATATTGTGCAGAGACTTTTCGGTTGTGTCTTGCGGAAGTAGAGCTTGCTGGGCTTCGGAGTCATCGTCACCCCGAACAGTGGACTGCGTCGCCTGGCTTTCTGCAATTTCCTTGGGGTTCTCAAATACGAGGCCGGAGACGATAGTTTCCCAATTCTTGTTTCTCTTTTCGAGATTCCACTCCATAGCAGCTAGATGAGCACCAACGAAGGTGAGTTCGGTCGATGCTAATAAAGAACCATCCGTATTCCTTTTATCGTAATGCATCCGAAGCCCCACAGCTCCTTTGTTAGGCATGTCGCCGGCGCCAAAGGCAATAACCGTAGACCGTAGATTCTTCACGGTGTTTGGGTCGCGGGCGAAGAGAAGAATGCCTGTCATACCAACATTGCGCGCAGTCACTAGCGTATACGGATGGTCTTTTGGGAGATTCTGACACTCCACCTCGTCGGCGAATTTGGCAGCTGCAATATTTACGGCCGACTCGTATCGCTGGAAATAAGGATTGAGTATGTAGGAGCCAATTAAGGCCCGAGCCAGTGGTGCCATCTCCTGGAGGGAGCTAGACAGACAATCAATTCACTACTCAATGTGTCGCCCAATGAATGCATTCATTATATGATACTTACATGACGACCAACTCTGGAAGACTCGAAGCGTTCCGTGAAAATGCATTGTATAAGTGTCGAGCAAAGACGGGAACGTTAATCTGGTGCTTCGCAGCATTGAACGTGAGTATGAAGACGTCCAGCGTCGGAACTGGATCCATCTCTGTAGACGAATTGAAACCCAACTTTCGGTGTATTCGGTGTATAATCCACTGTGCAGTCAGGGTTGCAATGGGAACTTGTAGAATGGAGCCTTGATCTTCCGAAAGTTGCAAGCTCTAATGTTAGGTTTATGTTGTATCACCTTCTCTTCCAAGATATCGGATCTAATGGTGGGACTATCGTAGAGCAAGGGTATCGGGGCTTTTGAAACCTCCCTCTTTCCTTTCCGCGTAGGTAATAGATATTATGTCATCGATATCCAACTCTCGGGTATGGATGTTCAGGGTCCTTCCGAATCCGGTATTATACGAGAATTTCGTTAGGTGCTAGACGAACACAGGTACCTATCCTGTTTTCCTCCCTGACGAATTCGACGACACTTGCCAACTCTTATATAATTTCACTCACCTTTTCATCCCTTCAAAATAGGGCTATGTGATTACATAGTTATGTGACCATATTAAATGTCTTATCCTAGGCAAAAACCTGCCCATGTCAGGTGCTCCACGCCTATTCAAGGCCATGTGATCTTTGAGAATGTGCACAGCCTCTCCCCGTATACCTAGCCGCTTCTATCGCAAGACTTCCCTTTACTATTGGTCGAATTACACCCCTTACCTTGAGCATGTCTACTACTATACCAAGCCCTGAATTATTACGTAGTCACATCTCGTCAATTGATACGCACTCCAGTCTACCAATGATAATGCAAATAGAATTCATTCTGTGTAACTACCTAGCGTGTATTGTCTGTCGTTATCGTCGCGGAAACCCTCCTCTCCATCAATGTTTCGTGAGTGCACTCCACCGACGCTACCAATCTACCGTGAGCTTAGACGGCGTCTTTCGTTTCGTCGAGTATCGCAATATTTCTTAAACGTCGTGCTTCTAACGCGTTGTGAGGTCAATGAGCCCGGAGGTTCGTGGATAATACTACTGGCTAAACGTGCGGAAGACACCGCCCATCTTTATTAATCCATCCCAACCTGGAAAAGGGTTATTTCCGACCACTGGCTAAGATTTCACCACGACCGGCGGTAAGGCCGATAGCATGTATCCATAGTACGTAAGCTGTCAGCTCCGCCCATGTTAGTAACGTAGATTCGAGACCGAGATCTGGCCTGTGCGGAATTGGGCGACAACGAGCTCCGGAGCATCATTAGGCTGGCGTTTGATATTGCTGAACACCCAAAGACGAACTCTCACCACTTCATTACATCCCCAGGAGTGGATATTGGCATAACGATGCAAAGTCCGAATGGGAAAATGAACGAAAAGAAACCATGGAAGAAGCGAAAAGGAAACCAAAGAAGCTCGTCATATCAGAAAGGCTAATCGATCGCATCGAAGGAGCATCGACAACTCGAAACGGAAGGATATTAGTTTCGAAGGTTGAAGAAGCCCAGGCTCCGGGTAGGCATCATCCTCTAATTCATATGCATTATTGAAAAGCGAAGAATTGAGATTGACATGCCATGATAAGACTTAATTCCATAACGACACCCCAAACGAGTCAGAGTGCCGGAAGTGCCGTTCAAACAAACCTAGCCACACTTAAGAAGAACGTTCAATGTGCGCGAGACACAAATCGACGCCTTCTAGTGTTACCAGGTTGTTCGAGCCACGGAATTGAGCCGTAAACCGAGAGTCATCGAAGAACGGAAACAATAGCAATCCATACGATATGAAAGGGATCGTGCGTGGTCCTCTATCCGGCAATAATAGGCGTAGGTCCTTGGCGGACGTTCCAGAGCCAATGCAGAGGGAGATTAACGAGGCTACCACGATTCCGAGTTACTTTCCATTGTGCAGGCCAAACATTCGGCAAGCCCGCTACAACGCAACAGTTATCACCAATGTGAAAATGCCGTCGAATCATTTCGGTCGGTAGGATCCAGATGCATATCCAGAGCCAGCGCCCTGGCCTTTGGAAGCTGATCGCAGCCTGTTACCGCAAACTGAAGTGTCAGCAAATCGTGTCAGCAATTCCTCCGTCTAGCGCTGTAAATCACACCAAACTCGAAGGAAAAATGATTCCTTACTAGGAATGCTTGGGCTGGGCTGGCGAGACACTCACATCCTGTCGCTTCCTCCGACGGCACGGCTGGTTTCTGGAGTGTCAACGCCGGGAACACCGCGCTCGATTACCTTACGGCGAGAGCTGGGAATCGGGTTTGGCTTCACAGCACCCGACGGGGCAGTCTGACCTGCTGTCGCAGCAGTGGTTCGTCGGGTTTTGTCGTCTTCGTTCTCACCCTGGCCGGCCGCCTGGGCGATTGCCTGGGCGTTCTTCTGATACTTATAGACAGTCCAGTCGAAGACGTAGTCGTACTGGAACCCTTCACGAACGAAGAGATCACGGAAGATTTTTCGGAGGTAGCTGTAGTCGGGCTTGTCATCAAATCGAAGGGAACGGGTGTAGTTCAAGTAGATGGCAAATTCGTTGGGGAAACCACGGCAAAGAACCTCGGTCGGCGTAGTCATCTTCTTCTCCATGATGCGGTCATACTTCTGCTTCTTAGTAGCAGCCTTGAGACCCTGCCAGGGAAGAGAACCTCGGCAGAAGTACAGCATCACATAGCCCAATGACTCCATGTCATCACGACGGGATTGTTCTGCATCCGTTAGTTTTCTATTACGATGAAATCAGCAAAGAACAGCTACTTACCAACACCAAGATGGGTATTGATGGAGGCATATCGAGCAGTGCCAGTCAAGTTCTTGTTCTCACGGTAAGGAATATGGAAGTGAGTCTTGGGGTCTCGGTATTTCTTGGCAAGACCAAAGTCAATAACATTGACCTGGTTACCTCGCTTGCCGATGCCCATCAAGAAGTTGTCAGGCTTGATATCACGATGGATGAATGATTTAGCGTGTATATATTCGATGCGGGAAATTAGTTGGTCGGCGAGGAGCAATACAGTCTTCAACGAAAACTTCCTGTTACAGAAGTTGAAGAGGTCTTCCAAACTAGGACCGAGAAGATCTAGGACCATGGCATTGTAGTCGCATTCGGTTCCAAACCAGCGGACGAAGGGGATACCAACGCCACCAGCAAGAGACTTGTAAACTCGAGCCTCATATTCGAGTTGAGGGTGCTTCGCCTTGACAGACTCTAGCTTGATGGCGATTTCTTCACCCGAGATGATGTTGGTGCCAAGATAGATATCACCGAACGAACCGGAACCGATCTTTCGACCGATGCGGTACTTATTACCGACACGGAGATCCTGCAGCAAGTCAGCACCAGTCAGCTCACCTGCCAACCGTATTCATGCTTGGAATACAACGAAACTCTTGCGAGATAGGCTTCCGAAGACGCCTTCATGCTGACTATAGGGGGTGCCCCATCAACGCACACCGACATTCGGTCTCCACTATCTAGACAGGAATCAAGACAATCCATAGCATGATCCACCGCCAGATGTGACCATGATAACTAAATTAACGACATACCATAGTAGTCATGCTGGTTATTGGGGTTGAGCTACCAAGCTCGACAAAGGCGGATTAGATAAACGCAGAAGCCGGGCTTCTGGGATTTAAATCGACTCGCTGGGTCGATATGAGGGTTTATCGAAACTATTATGGTCAACCTGTTCGAATCGAAATTAGCAAGACGATATTCACCCAACAGGCAACTATAGTTATTTGATTTGGCATTCCGAAATGGTCTATTCAAGATGGTTTTGCAACGTACAAAAGCAGCAGCGACGGTTTGTGACAATAAAGAGTGGCAAAGTGGTAAAGTGCGTTTAGAATTAAAATCAAAGGGTAGGCAAGATAAGCCGACAAGGCAAATAGAAAAATGGACTGCTCAAACTTTCGAGCATAAAAGAACTTGGAGCGATTGCTGAGAATCGGCTGAGGTTTGGAATGGAATGGAGGGTTCCGACCGAGAGCAGAAGTACGGAGAAAGGAGATGTTTGTCTTACCTGACGACCTGGCGTTTGTAGTGGCTGTAACCAGCAGTTTACTGGCGTCAAAGAAAATGGAAAATGGGAAATGGATGGAATGAATAGTAAGAGAGAGGGTGGAGGGAAAAGATAAAAGCAGAAGACGTGGCTGTCGAATATCGAATTAATTTCGCCGGTCAAGTAACACGTCTCAGTCGAATACGACGGCTAGTGGGTGTATGGGAAAGATGGAAAGTTAGTGGTTAGGTTCGGTAGGGGAAGAGAGAAAAGGAAGAATGAGACGGCGGTGGACGAATTTGGCTGAGAGGAGGGATGGGCTGGAATGGGGTTGGGCGCGCCTCATGAAGCTGGGCAGGACCGACCCTGGTACTGATTGGGATTTTGGCGCGCTGAAAGTGGGTGCAAGTGTCCGCTGGTTTGTTGGTTTGCTGGCTGGGTCGACTGCCTGGGCTCAAACTTGTACTTTACCCTAGAGGTACCTACTTTTAGTGGACAAACTAAGGCAACAGTGCTGTGGCTGACAATTATATGTAAGAGATGAGTTGGTAGGTACATGTATTGCATCCTGTAGCCTGCACCGCTTTGAAGAAGCCAAAAGTCACCTTGCCCACATGCAGGCTTAGAATGTACGGTACGCACTAATACAGGTAGGTTAGGTACAGTCATTAGCTTTTGGGGTAAGTATCTTTTCACCGCTGTAACGCCGTACAAGCTGCGTACATGTAAGAGGTAGGTACTACCACTAAGTACCTAAAACATGTACCTAAAACATGTATTCAAGTCTACATGTATCATCTTTACGAGGGGAATTTAGTTGGTGGGTGGGTTGCTCAATGGTCCTCAATAACCCTCAGCAACCGGATCGCTTAGGTAGTTTCAGAATATCAGAACCGGCAGTTGCTTCTGCCGTCGTTAATAATCTTATCGTCTTCTTATATTCTCTCATCAAATCCTCGCAATGATGAATACGCCGTAAGCAACCTTAAATGCAACAACCGTTAGATCCTGTACCTAAGTCATACAAGAAAGAAAGCATGCAGAATGAGAACCGACGCATCCGTAGCGTTGTTTATTTTAAGGCGTCCAGATGGCGAAGTGTAAAAATCGAGCCCCAGTCCTTAATTGGGGGGGCTCGATAGGTAATTCAAGTGTTGAAAGGTGCATTGTTGAAAATGCATTGTGAACGGTAATAATTCAATTTCGGATAGCTCCATCCATCTCGAACCAATAGTGTAGAGAATTCAAATCGGACCCTGACGAGGGAATCAGCTACGATCAGCTACTACATACATACTAACACTATCTATACATGTAGTATAGTGCGCATGTACGTGCATGTACCTAATACGTCGGAGCAGAGCACAAGGGAGATCACGAGGAGGATCACGAAAAGGCGCACCAAAGTAGGTATACATCCGGATAGGAAGCTCTGGCCTGGGAAGCTCTGTAAGCTCAATCGATGGAAGCGGCGTTTTCAAATGCCAAAACCAAAGCGGCAAACGGCTACTTTATGTACTTATTCACGGGCTATGATTGTTATTTAGACGTTAGAGGTATTTGTTATTTCATTTCATTTATCAGAACTTTTATTATTTAAGCATGAAGCCCCCATTCCCCCAACTTAGCATCGCGAACTCATGCCCCATGCGGAAACGGATTAAACGCCTAGTAGTATGACACGCCATAGAGATCGACGGATACAACACCTACGCTGGCGTGCACTGATTCGTGGGTTACAATGCGATTCTAATGTAATAAGTTTTCATGCTACGAAATACGTGCCATATACCATAAACAAATAAAACTTCGTCAACCAAAGTAAGTAATTGATATCCCCCTTTTTTTCCGTTAAGGATTTCAAGACCTTAAAGTCTTAGAGAAGATCATTAGTGTTCGTCGATCCAAAAATAGCTTGATCCACCGGGCGGCAAAGGATTTTTTCACAAGTTTCTAATTTCTAATTTCTAATTATTGGCCTAAAGTGGCGGCGACTTACGACGCAACTTGACATCACAAGCGTATTCTCTCTGTCTTACCTGGTGAAACTCGGTTTCTTTTCATGCCATGTCAGCTCCGAAATGGAAGGGTCATCCTACATTAACACATTGTAATTTTTACAACCCCCCCCCCCCCCCCCCAAATCCATTCAACGGTATTACTTGCAGCAGCAGCACGTCAGCTACTGGTCATCTATAAAGTAACCGAACATCTACATATAACTAAACTAAGACATATAAACTAAGACATGATGGAAGAGGCTTGTCAAAATATGTACTTGCCTCTTACGTCTGGATTTATTTTGTGTAAATTTAGGCCGTAAGAGCCTCGGTTATCATACGACATTGAAACGGGGCATTTGATGCCTAAAAATATACTTTGAACTGCTTCCTATGTAAATCATAAGATGGAGGTGATAGAAAGATCCGGTGAGCACCGATACCTCTACTGCAATATGTCAATCATGTTAATACATCATCATCATACACGTGTAAATTTGCCAACCCGTCAGCAACCGGCTTCATGAAGCCATGCTTGCGTACTTCGCTGCCAAGTATTACCAGCTCACGTCTCTAAAGCTCTTCAGTTATTCAACCCCCAACACTAATATCCAAGGTGACGATACAGTTGTAATAATAAACGCTTATAAGCTTGTCCCCTCACTTCCTTATCGAGTAACACCAGCGTGTATTGTGACATTATAGTTGCATCCAATTGCCTCGCTCGCTGTTATTAAGGCAACCATCTTTTGGCTTCTTACCGGCTTCCTAGCCGCGGGCCACAAATTTGAAAAGGGCGCGCCGAGTCAAGTTCTAGCTCAGTCGAGGCTCTGCTGATCCCGCATCTAGACTACTTCGATCATACCGCAGATCCGAGAAGAAGAAAAGAAGAACCGCGACTTCGGACCAAGGTCCACCCCTATTACGCCTCACGGCCGCTACTATCAATCAAGCTCTCGGATCTCTCCCCGCCTTCCTATGTACATGGTACTATTATTACATCCCAGAGGAGTTCTCCTTACCGAAATTCTAGCTACCTTACTGTACCTAACGTGGCGCACGGGTAACCATCCCTAATTCTGTCTCCTGTCTCCTGCAGGCTGTTATGCATGTCACGCAACTAAGTAAAGTTGTCTTCGCTTAATACGCAATTATCTAATTCTTACTTAGCCCCTATTGCTCCTTTTATAATGCTCTAACCTTGACGACCTATCATCATTCCGAATTGGCAAATTTAAGTAGCATTGGTACAGCACTCTTACATTCATAAGGTATCATCGTTACGGTCGAATTTCGTCACCATCTACACCGTAGTACAATAGTCAGTTTAGCATCCCGTAGATAGTCGATAGAAATGCAAGCCTATTGTCAATGCAGTTTCCTCTCTCCCATACTTACTCTATTTCAAGCAAGTGGGAAAGGTATAGCTTTCAGAATGATGAAGCCCAATCGTATCTTGCTGGGAGACATATGTTCCAATTCGCTTCAAGGGATATGTTCGTCGTGTTAGATCTTGTCTTCCACGTATACCCGTGAGCGTACAATCTTTCACGACAGTTATATATACCTCATGGCCAACTCTAGTAAGTGCAGACATGTGTTAAGGTATGTCCCCTGGCTTCTTTAATTTATAATCGAAAGTAGACAACAAGTCCTACCGAATATGCAGGAAACTTCCATGGCACTAGGTATTATTCTTGAAACTACCTCTATATCTTAACGTATGATTAGTTATCTCTGTAGCCTATTTCTACACGACATAGAAACATGTATCGGGTCAGCATGTTTCTTCCTGCCAGGTATGAAACTGATTTATTAAACTAGAGATAGCCTTTGTATCTCGTTCTAGCACGTTGTATAGCCCTTCAAAGAAAAATGAACCAACCAACTAGTGAAACAACTACATTAAGAAATATTACTTCAGAATATTAGGTACATTAGGCTACGATCATAAAGCTGCCGTGTAGATATGTATAAGTTAATTGCCCGGCCAAGAATCTCAAATGAATTATATGACAAGCAAACTCGTTAAATTAGCTCCTTTACTCTCTACCATATGACATTATGTCAAACAGCACAAGAAAGCAAGTACCCACCAAAGGTAATGGAGCTCGCACTCCTCAACCACTATCAAACCGGAAACCTCACCAGCCGGCCATATCTCCCGTCCCTAATGACAGAAGGCATGCTGCCCTTCAAGGTGGCCCTAAGGTGGCCCTCTCAGCACAGAAGTGGAAGAATGTCAACCAAGCTATCGAAAAGACTGTAGATATAGTCTTGAGTAAAAAGACGGCCCTGAAAGGCTTCGGACCTGACTGCTGGGAAATGGATGGGGGTTTTGGAGTGGCCCTCGTGGCAGAAATAAGACGAGAAATCAAAGAAGACTGCACATTAGATAACCCTAAGCTCCAGAAGAAGCTAAAGGAAGTGGCTCGTGATGTAACAGCAAAGGAATTCCGGTTTCCGTTCAAGGGTGGCGGAGTCTGGTTTTGGTTCAAAAGTGAGTTTACTTTCATCCCCTCCTTCCCCCCTATAACAGGTAGTCTTGAGAGCCAGGATTTTCACCAACGCCCTTCTCCAAAATAAGGCAGTTATTAACATACTACTATAGTAACCGATCTTCATAAAGCTACCCAGCCGATAACCGAAATCCAGCAGGCCGGCACTCCGTCAGGGGCTGACACGATTATTAAAGGTACGGATGACGAAACAGGAACTACAGATAGAGGAGGCGATCCCGCTCAACATAAAAGGGAATCTGCTGCTGAAGAGACCCCATCTGAGTTACATTTTGACTCACATTGAATGTATAAAATGTAGATACTTATATCCGTACCCTTTCGTGGTGCAAGTCAAGGTATCATGAGTACCTAGATATAGTAATAACTACACGTGACCACCCTCTGGAACTGTCACTGAAAAGTTCAAGATACAGTTCAGTATATTCACCGCCCTAAATATCGTACTGTGTGTGATAGACAAAGGAAGCCCCCCTTTCTAATTTCTATACCTCAGTATAAGAGCATAGTAGTATCCCTATGATCGCTTGATGCTTTGTGTATACTTCGATAACAATGCTCCTATTCGGATAACTGGGCCTTGTAAATAACATAGAGATAGTCCCCTTTGTCATGTTGAATGCGGTAATATCTTATCCTCCATAATATGGATTGGTATAATATTAAAAGACAAAGGATAACCTACCGGCTTCTAAACTCTGTGTCTAAAGCTATTGTTTACTGGGTGAATATTACAATCTAACAAGAATCACCTTTTTGCAGTACATTCAACCTTCCTCGAAGTCTATAAGTATTTACCACTCAATCTAATATATGTAAGAAGACATATCATTAAGGAGGCGAACATTAGAGAGCTATAGAGATAAAATAAATACTCAAACACAGTAACCACACCATAACTTAGATCTAGTCCCACAATGTCAAACTGGGCGCAGGAATGGGCGGAGCAATGCGAACTGACAGTTCGCAAGATGTACGTAAACCAAAAGTAACCCCTAAACTTCCCAGGAGAAATTATTACTAACTCTAATTGTTGATCAGACTGAAACGCGGATTCTCGATTGAATCACTGTACAGGATGTCAAGCATCGAGCTCGGCAAGGAGCTCAGAACTGGCGTGATTCTGGTTATCTCGAGTGGTAATCGAGCGGTTTACAATGTCGACTACCGAGACCCAGGTATTAGAGAAGGACTCCTCTATATGGCACGACACGGCTTGGACGAGAAAATGGTTATATACGGATTGGGTTTTCAGTTCAAGAGGTTTTATTAGCTAGTACTATTGGGATTGGGGGACATGGGTATTCCTTGAATTTGCTGGGATATGAGGGTCCGATTCTGGAAAAGGAATGTTAATTGTTCCATCATAATACATCTATTAAATTTACGCCGTAATACTTCATAATGGGTTGAATATACGTGATTGTAGTCCGTGGTGTATCTGTCCGAAGAGAGCGCGAGCTCGTGACTGTGCCATATAGCGTATTGTGATAAGTATGCATAGGCGAGACATGTAGATGATAACGTACGGAGTGAGCAATGCCGTACGCTATCCGAATAAAATCAAACAATTATGATGTGATTAAGACTCGTATCGAAGAAAGCGTTGGCCGTAATCCCGCAGGTATCCAGTGCTACTTGATAGTTTCTATTGCAATATAGAATTGCAGGGAATGGATATGTCAGGGGGCCGGTCTACCTCTGAAAAGGAGCGGCGATATTGAGCATAGACCTGCCGCACCTAAGGCTATGGCAAGGCCAAGGACATGCTCCAGTATGTCTGCCTTTCTGTTCAGTATTGAAAATCCCGTAACGCTCTTGATTGCTGATAGAAACGCGAATTTCAGAAATGACACATAGTTCAGTCGTGCCAGTTTCAACTCCCGTTCCTAACGAGCGGTAACAAGGCTCATATAAATGCCCCAGCCAACACCAGCAAGACTTCCAACCAAGTTGCGGCCCTGAATGCTTGTAATAAAGGCAAAGTTGATCAAGCTTATGACTGGCCACACCTTCCATCCAGCGACGAGGAGCTCGTAGAACTCAGCGCGGCTACGAGCGACCACACTGGCCCAATTAACTTTGCTATAGTCGACAGCACCGCGGGAGAATAGATACTGGGCGCTCTTCGCCGGGCCGCTAAGTGGTGCACCTAGGGATCGCAGCATAGCGTCTTGGATAGAATGTATGAACAGGCTGAAGAGAAAGGTGTTGACGACTGCACCGACAGTTTGGTCTAGAATCATCTTGACGGCCGTGTTGCCAATGTGAAGCTTACGTTCCACCAACTTGCCCTCTTCCTCTTCTTTCTCAAGCGCTTTCTCATCGTTTGCTACCGCGGACGCTACAGCGGCGGACGTAGGCGTTATATGGTACGCCGGAAAGGAATCCTCTAGAAACTCTTGCCTGGCGGACAGTTAGAATAGAGCCTTTATAAGGACTCAATGTAGTATATTCCCGTAGGACCAATGCGGCTTTAGACGTACCATAAGAAGTTGGGTGGTACATTGAGAAATGCGTAGAGGACGAATTGGAAGACTGGCACCCAGTCGATAACAAGAGGAGCCTATATATTGCGTTAGTTCAAGCTTAGTAGAATATTTACTAGGAAAAGTGACTATATGGTCTTTGAAGACTCATATTCAACGGTAAGCATCTTCTTTGTTTTGAAGGGATTAACCCATACTTCATTCTGATACGCCGTCAGGCCTTGCGCCAGAAGGTTAGACGTAGCCGCAAGAACTGCGGATTGAATAGTAGCTGTTATAATCGGAGAAAACGCCATGTCGACGTATTTGAGTACTGCCCGCTTGACTGATAATTGCACCTTCGAGAAATTCGTATATTTGCCGGCTCGAATTTGAGAGATAAATGAGATAAACAGGTGAGATCCTAGCTTGGGCAGAGATGAGGTTACACGTATGTATATACACGTACGTATATAAATATTGGTTGCTAGTCAAATATTATTGGCCTACCTACCTGGGCACGTAGGATAACGAGGTAGGAATCTAAAATGTCAAGACTGTCAGAATTAGCAAAGACCAGATTTACCAAAAAGTTAGTGCATACATGGATAAGGGATCCAATCAACCAACCACGAGCATCTGCCGCGAAGCTTCTGCTATTACTGTTACGACATGCATATATAGGAGAACACTGTTCAATAACACCTCTGAAGAATTATTTTATTTTATTTTCGAAGGGTGGTATATAGCTTTAATCTTGCTTCACTACCGTATTCTTTAATTGGAGCGAAGCCTGTAAGAGCCAAGACTTGTTGCTTCTATACAACAATATCTTCAAGTATGAGAAATGCTAGGTTTGGTGGTCTTTCGGAAGCGCTCATCACAAATCTGGGAGAGCTATTAATAGAACTTGACGGGCGTATCTACGCCCTGCTAAGAATCCACATGAATAGAAATTGTACAAGATACGAGTAAGCGAACAAAAATTGTGTTCGCTGGTTTCGCTTCGTCCGTGTGTCTGTTTGCATCGGACCTCGTGCATCCCCTCCAGAGCTCTCTGGTAGTAGAACATATCGTAGCGACCGCATCTAACCATACTTTATTAGTATCGACAAGACAATACCCTTGAAAGGACCGTACTCACCAAAAATAGGGAATTTGCTAAAAAGGTGTAAAAGAAGACCGTCCACCCGATCCAACCGCCAGTTCCCTTACCCCCATTCATGAGCTCGGCGATGGTGACTGTTACAATGATACCGACGAACTTGTAGCCTGAGTAGGCCACAAGGTCTAGGAGCTGAGACTCGTTCGAAATACTTAGAAAGTAGCACCCTAATTTCAGGAGCAATATCTCGAGTATGACGACGACTCCCGCGGTAGAAGCTGTATATCCTAGCAACTCGGGCTGGAACTGGCCCCGTAGACCTGCTATTAGTGTTGATAATAATATGTATGTAACAAGCGCCATGACTGGAATGTACATGTCGGGGCTGTTGATATCGTCGCGCGGTGGTAAGTACCAGCCCTCCTGCCCGTTAGGTCCTACGGCTTGTCTTCGCGACCAAGGCTTGTGGCGCCAAGGGAAGAGCACTAAGAAGAGCTTGTTGATGACATATTTGTTGGAAACGTTAAAGTAGTGTTTGAGAGCGGAGAAGTTGACCCATCGGTTCATCTGGCAGTATAAGTGTTAGCAGAAGTATAAGCTTCACTTTGAGCCTGAGTGGTTTGTAACTAAACCTACATTCTGCTCGACGTGTTTGAAAGCATTTTGGCCGACCGTTCCCACGAACTGAGCGGCCATAGGATCATTCATGAAGTTGCCATAAGTGCCAAAGACATTACTACCAGCGGCGGGTGTTCCCTGCTGGTAAGGATTTCCATATGCGCCCTGTTGTTGGGGTTGCGACGACGTCAGAGGCGGCGGCGATCGTAACTGTGGAACGGTAGAGACGTGTTGAGGCACGGGATGGTGAAGCGGCGGAGAATGGCCGTAGTTTGGATGTTGCTGCATCTTGGATCTTGGATCTTGGATCTCGGTCTCGACCTCGAAAAAGGTTGTTAAGGTTGGTCGGTTTGGCTTGTTGGTTTGTTGAATTGTAAAGCTCGGATAAGTGAGGGCTTAGTGTTGCGGCGCTAAGATGCTAGGCGTGAGCTTTGAGGGCTCAAGGGCTGAAGGGCTCATTGGCGACTTTGTTCTGGAGATGTGTTTTATTTTTATTTTTAATAAGAGGTTTGTACAAGTACCAAATGTTGTACGTATATGTTGCAGCTGTTGCAAGCTGCCGTGTCAGACCCACTGTTCCGAGATTATTACATTTTGAAACTACCGGGTATGTAGGTACCTGATGCACCTGGCCCGGTTCACCCCCATTGGCACTTATGACGTGCCGGAGCCGCAATAAGGTTTAATTCCGATTAACCTAGTCTCCGTAATCGGGCGTCGATTGGTTCGATTAAATCAAATGCATGGATACATCTGCAGTTTGCCAGCTGGGAGCGCTACAAATGTACATATAGGTATGAGGTAGGTAGGTAATCCGTACTGCCGTAGGTACATACGTATGCTACTTTTCCACCCTTGTGGCTCTTGTCGCCTTGTAACAACTTATCGCTTCATCCAACCTTCAATGTTAATAAGTTGGTTCGAGCAATCTCAAATGTGCAAGCTTCGGAAACCCTATGCTCTTCTTTTCTAGGTTGCTAAAAAAAGAAGAAAACTATTTAGTATGTTGGATACATTTGAAATCCTGACGACCTCCGGGGTCGTTCTCTGGTCGCGAACCTATGCGCCCGTCAACCCGTCCGTTATCAATAACTTCATTTCCGACGTCTTCATAGAAGAAAAGGGCGCTGTGGCCGGCGCAAGGAATAGCCAGCCCGCAGCGAGCAATCCATCATACAAGGCTGATCAGCATACCTTGAAGTGGACGTTTGTGAAGGAGTTGGGCGTGATCTTTGTTGTACGACGCCATTCCTACTTGATAATTCCCATATGTTGTCTAACTATTTCTAGGCTGTCTACCGGTCCCTACTGCACCTCTCGTGGATTGACAAGCTTGTTGATAACTTAAAGACTATATTCATTGACTTATATGCCGATCAATTGAAGAAGCCCAATACTACGATCGTGGAATGCCGCAAATTCGACGAGTACTTTGACCAACAATACCGAGAACTCGAGTCAAGCGGATCCGCCAACACTGCACGACCGGCTGCTGTTACTTCTCTATTACAAGAGAATGTTATATCAGGCAATACTGGAGATGAACCCCCTCTTCCCCCGGGCCTTAAGCAGAGAGGCAAAACGCAGAACAACCCCCAGGAACGTCCATCCACTGCCGAATCTACTCCGAATACTTCCCGGCCTTCTACCCCTAGCGGAAGCCATCTGGTTGTAGCGAAGGGCGGTCCTATAGGGAAGATGTCAAGAAGAGCTAGAAAGATGAGAAACAGTTCCGCCCCCGTCTCTTCCGGTGACGAGGGACCAGCAAGGAAAGCGAAGAAAGCACCCAAGAAAGGTCGTAAGTGGGATGCCGATGGCTTTGCCGACGAAGAGGATGATAGCCTGCAACTAGATTACTCGGCGGCCCAGAATACTTTGACAAGCGATAGTGAAGTGGATGCAGCTGCTCGGTCGACGGCTGGAGAGGGAGTGGACTCATCTTCATGGGGAACGAAGACTTCCAAGGGACAGTTCGTGCTGAAAGACTTAGATGATGAAGTACATTCCATCTTGGAGTCGGCCGAGGCGAAGAATACCTCAAAGTCGGAAACGAAAGGTGGCCTAGTCGGAACTGGGTTGAACACAATCAGCAGCCTTTTCCGCAACGTGGTGGGCGGTAAGACATTAACGAAAGAAGACCTCGACAAAGCTATGAAAGGGATGGAAGACCATTTATTACGGAAGAATGTTGCCCGTGAAGCAGCTATACGGCTTTGCGAGGGTGTTGAGAAGGAGCTTCTTGGCGTGAAGACGGGCAGCTTTGAGAGCATCGATGCACGCATCGCTAAGGCCATGGAAGCCTCTCTCACTAAAATGCTTACACCTACCTCGTCGTTAGATCTCTTGCGCGAGATAGACTCTGTCATCAAGCCCCCCACGACGTCCATGCGAAAGCCGAGACCCTACGTTATCTCTATAGTTGGAGTCAACGGCGTTGGCAAGTCGACGAACTTATCCAAGATTTGCTATTTCCTGTTGCAAAACAAATACAAAGTACTAATTGCAGCTGGAGATACCTTCCGATCAGGAGCTGTAGAGCAACTAAAGGTCCATGTACGGAATTTGAAGGAGCTGACCGAACGTGAAGGTGGTAAGGTGGAAATTTTTGAAAAGGGGTATGGTGGCGATGCTGCCACGGTCGCCAAGGATGCTGTGAGAGAGGCTGCCAATGAAGGGTTCGACGTAGTGCTTATCGACACAGCTGGACGACGACACAATGATCAGAGGTTGATGTCGTCACTAGAGAAGTTTGCCAAATTCGCCCAGCCCGACAAGATTCTAATGGTTGGCGAGGTAGGATCTATTAAATACCCCTTATCAAATGACCACCCTGCTAATTTCATGGTAATAGGCACTTGTAGGAACAGACTCGGTCGCTCAAGCAAGGAATTTCAACTCGTCTTTTGGTCCTGGCCGAACGCTAGATGGATTCATTATCTCCAAATGCGATACAGTCGGCGACATGGTAGGAACTTTGGTCAGCATCGTCCATGCCACGAATGTGCCCGTCTTGTTTGTTGGCGTTGGACAGCATTATTCAGATATCAGGAACTTTTCCGTCAAATGGGCAGTGGAAAAGTTGTTGAGTAATAGTTAATTCGGCCATCTACTAATATCGAGCGGGGTCTCCCATAATATCTATAGATTCATAATATAAGAAGCCCTGTCCACTGTTGAACTCCTCTCATTGCCGCCAGCGCTAGAAATATATTATGGATGCTAATGGATAATAGAGCCGTGTACTATTAAATCTGTTGGGTAAAGGACTATCGACTAGTGCTATTGACTGCTGCGTGGAATCCATGTCCTCCCCTGGGGGGAGTAAACTACAAAACTCTTGCTGTCAATTCCCTCCGGTATGGCAACTTGCCTCCCCGCATCGATCATGGTCCAGTAGTCCTCCGTTCCTGAAGTGAGATCATAAAATTCACCACGTCGATCTATAGCTGTCATGCCAGAAAATGTAACATTACTGAAGATCGGTAGATCTGCTCTGTCTTTCGCGATGTCCCATTCCTGGAAGAACTGAGCGACACCAGAGCCAAGGCAAATCTGAAACTTTGGGTCCTCGGGTGAGTCTGCTTCCACTTCCGCTGCATATTCTTGGCCGGTGCGGAGGTTCTTCATATATCTTTAGGAGGGCGTTAGATCATTATCATAAATACGGATATTTGGAATGGCAGTCGGGGGAGGCTTCACTTACACATGGCCCAATATGCGAGTGTACACATTTACTACTACGATTATTTGGTCACCGGGACTGACCGCGAAGTCTTCCTTGGGGATGGGGTGGGCTCCGGCTGGAAACCACTCGACCCAAGCGCCCGCAACGGTCGCGCCATGTTCGTCCATCTAATGTTGGGAGACAATTAGCTAACTCTCTCGTATCTCAAAAACCTCACTCCAAAAAAAACACAAGAAATGAAGCCAAACAGAACAGCTTATTTACCTCGACATTCGTCCCTGCCTGGAGAAATGGATACCAGTTCTTATTAGCACAGTCGTTCCCAAGAATTCCGACCCACTGTGCTAGAGAATGTCGGTTGTTGGGGTTGCTGAGGTCTGCATTGTCGGGTGCCTTGCTCCATGGTATATTCCACTCGGCTGAAACAGTGCGTATGGCGGGCAGTTTATCTTCTTTTCCTGTGGTTTCGGTTTGGTTTATATTTATAACCGCGCCTCCGAGGAACGAAGAAACGTATTTGCTCATGCCTAGGCCGATAGGCCATCTTCCTCCGGGGGAGCCGCTAACAAGGGCCGCAAGCGTGCAAAAGCACAAGAGAGCAAGACTTGGTACGTGCATGGCGAAGTTGTTTTGGTGTTTGGTTGGATGAAGCAGCGTAAAAGAATGGAGGGAAACGTAGAAAATGTATAAACAAAAAAGGGAGCCACGTCTGGAGCTTGAGGCTTCGAGCTAGAAATTACACGATACCCAACAGTCGCTACCCAGGTACTCATTTATTTTCGCCATTAATTGTTTATATTAGTTTGCTCCGACAGCGATCGCCTAGGTGGACAGGATCTACCATCTCGTTACTGGGGTAAATGACACACGTATATTGACGACCATATTCCACACGTGTGTTATCCCAGTCTTTCGGGTCTGTGAGTCACTTTATATCAAACCTGGCAAACATGACGAAATTCAGGACCTACTAATGAAATGAGACACGGTAGATAAGGAGAGGCCTTGCTGTAAATCAACGCGATCAGTGTCATTCCCTCGTATTCATTAGGTACTGTAAAATCTGAAGGCGAGCGCCCTTATAACCCTCTATTTACGTCTCGTAAGTTGTCATTATCGTCAGATCCTATAAATATACCTGTCAAGATAATCAGTTGCAACTATTTACCTTATTATCCCAGATAGCACTACTCCCTTAACCTGTGCTTATCTAGTACGTCGTACTTCCTATTACAACATCCCGAGAGTATAACGCTGCGTAGCCTATCTAGCAGGCTACGGTATAAATCGCAAATGGTACACACCGAACTTAATATAAAAGTTATATGTGTCGCTTACGATCTCATCCCTGGAAATAAAAAGGTTTAACCTCAAGCTAATAGGCTAGGAAATAGACTATGGATACAAAGGCAATGGCCAGAATGGACTCCGAAACCTCTTGCTTCTTAACTTAGGCTAGGCGTGATAGAAAAGCAGCAAACCCCCTGCTTGTACAATCGCGGCGAGTAAAGTAACCAGATATCTCACAAATATAAAGAGTATGTAGTTTACCTATATGATGGACTAATAGACTAGGTAGCCCTCACACGGGTAGGCAGTCGATTCTAGAAATCCATATAGAAAGCTTATGAAATCTGATTTCCATGTCTATATTTATATGGCGTATGGTTGAAGTAAATTGCTACTTAGACAATACCCCAGGAAATCCCGGGCAAGTTCATACTGGAGCCAACGTGGCTTGCTTATACCGAGTCCTACATGAACAAGGAACGGTGAACTTATATCATTAGGCCCTTAATAAGTTATTGGATAGTTTAATAGCCACTGGTGAAAGCAAGCTTTGCTAAACTGTATTTGCCATTGGCTTATTGGGTGGTCATGGTAGAATAAGCAAACAGGTATGGCCGGGGGGAAGGATGGAATTATCTTGGTGCTACTGTAGTAGCTTGAGCCGCGTCCCGGGTATCTGGGATTGACTACAAGTAAATGCGTAAGACTGATTAGTGGATCGTCTCGGAACGCCTCGGGCGAGATGATAGCCGTTGATGTAGGATAATCTGATCGACATCGAGAACCGGTCAGAAGCGAGTGTGTGTTGAGGAGGCCTAGAAGATGTTTTATCGATCTATGCCGTCATATATGTATGCGTATACCGAGGATATGTTTACACTAAAAATCAATTGGATAATCAAGCGAAGATCCAGCATTTACGTATTCCCGAGTTCTAATATAAAAGTGCTTGAACTATTGAACCACCTTGGGCTAAAACGTTTCTCAACTCAAAATCGGGGAAACGAAACTTAAGATTGTAACTCGTCAACCTCAACGTTTTTGTTTATATATGAATATCGTAGGATGCAGCCGTATTGTTTATATATATTTTTCTTTATGAAAGCGAGTGTGAAAAATAGGGAGCATTTTCGATATAGGTACTACCTAGGACTTACACAGTAGACTGCCTACATATGTAAGTAATAGACTATGTGGTATTAGCGGCGGCTACTACAGTACCGGTCCGGTCTCTCAATTGTCCTGTCCTAGCCTAGGGTCTACCGGTAACCCCCACATCCCGAGCTAAGGTACATATGATGTAAAGTGTCCCGGACACCTGCTGATCAAAGCCGTTGTTACCTTGCTAAATTTAAGCTTATGCAGTTAATCAATCAGCTATTATACACAATAGTGCATTTGCATTTATATGTCATAACTTGTATTATATGGAATGCATTCCATTACCTGTTCGCATTGATATCAAACTAACAAGGATATTGGCTGCTTTGCTTTCTATATAAATATATGTGGAATAGAAGAGAGCCTCGACCTACCCATCCGGTCAATAACGGTTTGAAGAGGTAGGTATGTAAGTGGGGGCGGGTGAGGTGTCACGGAAGTCAAAGTACACTTTTAGTTCTGGTTTTAGAGTTTTTAGCCTTAGCAGCCCTTGGCCAATGCTTTAGCCGATGCAGCGTTAGGACTAGCGGACCCGGCGAATCGATCAGGAGGGGGGAGATCCCATAGCGTATTTCCATGGCGCGCCAATTGCTTCTCCAGTTCCAATACAACCAACCCATACCATCAATGACTTTTGACAGGTCGTCCGCATTTCATATTTACATACTTACACCTAAGTTATTGATATAGGCTTCATGTAATATTATTAATTCCTATCTTTAATTCTTATTGTTTTCTGTCTCGACTTTATGCCCTCTGGAATGACTGTTATATACGTACGATTGGACACTTTCTCCGCATCTTATCAATCATTAATCCTGTGAATACCTCATTCCGCTCGTCATCCTGCCGTCCCACCAACGTCAATGCAAAGCATAGGACTTGCTGCACTAAGTAATGAAGGCGTCTATATTGAATTGTTATACCTGAGATTGCTCTCGAAGCTATCTTCCAACAAACCGAAAAATCCTACAGGAAATCCTTCGAACATAATCCGTACTATGCTTATAGATCAACACAAACAGTAAATGAGGCCATTATTCCGACCAATCCGACCTGTCACGCTTCACCCGCCCTCGCCCTCGCCCTCATCCTCGCTAATACCCCTTGCCAGCAGCTCCGTTCTCGTTGGGAGTTTCTCGGCCAATCTCCACGTCCTATACCACCCCGCGACCCAATTTGCAGCCCAATCGCTGCATCGCATCATTTCTCGCTAGCTGGTGAAGCTGGCTGTCGGCTGCTTGAATCAAATCAACCGAAGCCTTGTCCTCGAGTCTGACTTGTTTCGTTCCTTCAACGTCTGATCATTTCCTTCTGACTGACCGCATGTTTTGGTTGCCTGGTAGCCTGGTAGCCTGGTAGCCTACCTGCATTTGCAAAACCCGCGGCTGTGACTACTACTACATTACTACATGATTCAAACACTTTCTAGGTCGTACCGTCACCGTCTCTATCTTACCTAGGTATCTGTTTGTTGTGGATGCCGCGGCCTGTCTATAATAATCGACACTTAGCGTTTGTCGCTGTCGGATTACGGACACTTGCATAGTTGCTGCACTCGACAGATCGTTATCAAATCTGCAACCAGATCACGCATCGTAAAACCTGGTCCAATATCTTAGCCGGGTTTGTTATGGTATTCTCCACAATCTGCCCATTCAGGCATTGCCGGTTGGCCCCATTCCAAAGGTCCATAGTCACCGGTGCTAGGACCGTGCCAGGATATCGACGCGCCCCATCGCAATCCGATCCCCCCCCCCCACCATCGCCTGTTGATATTCCATCTTTTAGTGTAATAGTCAAATTATGAGTTTAGTCAATTGACTGACCACGCAGACCGGACTGCTGTTTGAAGGCGCCTTTTTCGTTTGTTGCCCGTCATGGCTGCCACTGTTCAGAAGCCTCCGTCCTCGGACCTGGCCGAAAATCCAGATGATACTCTTCCTGAACTAAGAGAAGCCGACTACTTAACCCAGGTCCTACAGCTTTCGTCCGAGAAGACCGAGGCTTATCTCAACGAACTGATCATGAAGGCCACAACCTTGGGTATTACTATCTCTCGGCCGTCGAGTGCTAGAAACAAACGAAATCCGTCTGGCGCCAAATCAAGCATCACCATAGATACAAATCATGCCCGCACTGCGTCTACGGGGTCGGAGGGCTCCGCGAGCACGACTCTTACTTCATATTCCTCAACTAACGGTTATCCTGAGGCTACAGGGCGGAGCATCGCAAGGAAGCGATCCAAGGCTCTCACGTTTGCTCAATATGAGAACTATCTCGCCCAAGCCGATCCGAATCTCAACCAACCTAAATTCATATCACCCTCACCAACAGAATCCGAATCAACACCAAGCATTTTCAGTGTTGGCATGAACAAGAGCTACCTGAGTTTTAGAAGAGGACTTTCTAAATTACGCCGTAGACGAAAGACTCCGTCTTCTCTTGGACATATCGTCATGTTTGTCAAGCATCCCCGGTAACTTGCAATGTGCATGGTACTAATAGCTTCATGTTTATATACAGGTCATGCAGTGCGTGCCGAGAAGATCTCCAAGTCGACCAGCCTCTCCAGAGATTACCGTGTGGACACAGTTATTGTTCAAGGTGTTTGAAGATCATGATCAATCAGGCAACGACTGACGAATCTAAAATGCCACCGCGCTGCTGCACCCAACCAATACCAAGTTCGATAATTAAATCTATATTATCCCGCGAAGAGCAACATAGGTTCCTGAAAGTCGTGGTACAATTTAGCACGCCCTGGGAATCGAGAGTATTCTGCTCTAACCCAGCCTGTGGCGAATTTATACCACCGCGGATCAGAGTCGACCCCAAATATCCGTCTCAAGCTATCTGTCGAAAATGTAAAACGCGAGTTTGTGTTATGTGCAAGAGGGATGCTCACCCCATAGGCCAAGATTGTCCGGACGATTGGGAATTAGATGCCGTCTTGAAGATGGGAGAGAAGTCAGGCTGGAGAAGGTGCTACAAGTGTAGGTCACTTGTTGAGCTCACGCAAGGCTGTACGCACATGACGTGCCGATGTCGAGCACAGTTCTGCTACATCTGCGGCGCAGTTTGGGATCAGATGGTGGGTTGTCCTAACTTCTGCAATGGCGAGGCTGTGATGGAGGATCGGCGCCGCGAGGAAGAAGCCCGGGCGGCAAAACTCGCAGACGAAGAGGCAGCTAAGCAAGAAGCTGCTGCGAAGGAAACAGCAGAGATGCTCGAAGCAGTAAGACGTAGCCACAACTGCGAGGAATTCAAAGCATTGCGAGAGGAGCAAGTAAAGGAGATGGAGAGATTCCACGTTTTCGATAGGAGATCGAAATGGCTCATGTGGACTAGACATGCCCACGCAAAGCTCGCTCTCGTAGAGAAACACTCGGCGGCTATCGAGAGGATGAACGAGCGACATGGTAAGACGGCGGCTAATCTTGAAGACCGTCAAGTGGCTGCAGAGATGGAACTGCGCTCAACATTAGAACAGAGCGAGAGGAATGTGCGGATTCGGCTCAAGCACATGGAAGCATATTGTGATGGCCTCGGCAAGAATCCACATGGAGGCATGCCTTCCCGAACTGTGACGGAACGGGATCTAAGAGAACTCGGACAGCAGTACAACGTTGAAAAGAACATGAAGCAACTTCATCAGGCCAAAATCAACGTTATGCGGGATAGACAAGCCAAAGCCCTCGAAGAATTACTCGAAAGGCAAGAGTCAGAAATGGGCAAACTAATCGAGAAGAATAGGAAAGAACTGGAGAGTCTCGAATCTGATTTTTCAGATGAGGAAGATGCTTTGACGACCACAATGAGCCAACGCAGAGCAGCACTTCAGAAACGATGGGAGCTCGAAATGGAAGTGATGCGTAAGGAGCTGGAGAACGACAGAGGACTGAGTTACGCTTCGATGAGCCCTCCCGAATGGTTGTACGACGAAGAACCGTCGGAAGATGGCCTCCCTACCGTAGATGAATAAGGTGCCTTAGTGGACATACCGCTTACATATTCAACAAATACTTCTTTAGATGCCACGGCATCTCGATCTCATGGTTATCTATAATTATCCTTAATCTCATATGTACATGTCATTGGCATCTCCGCTTGCTCTTCTCTTCGTGGTCGTAGAGGGTTTGGGTGTTTAGATACTCAAACACGGAGTGGAAGGTGGAGTTTACAGGCTTGCAACCTTGCACGGCGTCAGAATAGGTGTTGCATAAGGTGCAAAGTATTGGAATTAGCAATTTTCTTCATTAGGATATACCCGTCAATAAGTCATTACAGAATGGTATGTTTGATCGGAGATGGTGCCAATATTCAGGTACAGTACCTGCTGAGAAGGCTGTCGGGGTAAAACCATCCGCTAGCATAATATAAATATTAGCAACGAACTGATGTGAGTGCCAATGCTGAACACTGAAATCTAGGGTGGTCGGGAGGTTGGCATTGGATGTCGTTCACACTACTATGAAACTTTCGATGAGACTTAGAGGCATGCAAGGACACACGAGTAACTGGAACTGATGATGGTCGATTCATATTTCATAAACAAATAATATTTATTGAATGATGCCGTATTATGACATCGCTGTCATGAAAGCTTGATAAACTCAACGCTCTCAAAAAAAACTGGTTATACTCAACAATATTGAACTAGATAAACCTACAGAATCTTAGACGGCTAATATGATCAGTAGCCTATTTCTAGGCGGTCCTGTAGACAGAGTTAGCTATTGTACCCTAAGCAATACATTCGATTGTACGGTGTAACTCGTGAGAAAGCGTTCAGAATATGTAAGAATTAAATATCACCTTGCCACTCGATATAGCAGCTCTGGCGAGAGCGCCATCGAAGTGGAATCAATCGCAAATTACCTCATCATAACAAGCAAAAGGTTGCGGGAATATCTTGGAGGGGATAAAAATAGAGGCTTACCTATTATAATGTTTGTCCTTAATGGAAGTTGACCTCTGGACAGTTCTTGCTTTTTAGCAAAAAGATTGATGAACAGTTGGAAGGTTGAGGCTGCAAGAAGGTCTTGAAGAGAAATCTTTTTAGAAAAGGTCTGCAGAAGGACCCACTTTGAAGACGCGCTAGATTAGTTGACCTCGGGTGCGGTTTAGGTGAAATTCCGGCTTAGCCCTAACTTGCCCACACAACATTCAACTTCCCACCGCATTGTGCGCGACCGAAGAAAAGTTCAGCCCAGGACAATTCAAGGTAAGGAGGGATTTGAGCCAACACCACGACATCACCAAATCAGTAAGTCTTCCTCCTTTCTCCTTTCTCCATTCTCCGCCAACCAAATGATCTTCTAAAGAAACAATCACATATCTCTTTTTTCAATTGTCTCTTTATTTTCACCATCTTCCTATCTTCCAGCCTTCTTAATACCCACTCATCTCTAACAACAACATTATCAGCACACCGTCACAATGGGCGACGCATCGATCGAATCCCCCGAATGGCGCAAGGTCGAGGTCGGCCGTATCGTCCTCGTCCAGGGCAACGGCCCTTACGCCGGTAGACTGGCTGCTATCGTCGAGATCATCGACCACAAGCGCGTACGTTAACCCCGAAATCGGCAATCTGGAAATTTACGAATCTCATGTAAATCATGTATATTAACTTGGGAATATCTAGGCTCTGGTTGATGGACCTTCGTCAGACCCTAAGCTGGTCGTTCCCCGACAAGCCATCTCTTTCGCTGATGTGCTCCTGTCCGACCTGAAGATTGCGAAGCTACCGCGCGCCGTCCGAACAGGAACCCTGCAGAACGCATGGGCGAAGGCCGAGATCGACGGCAAGTGGAAGGAGAGCAAGTGGGCCAAGCGAAAGGACCAGACGGAGCGAAGAAGGGCGCTCACCGACTTCGACCGATTCAAGGTCATGCGACTCAAGAAGCAACGACGATTCGAAGAGCGAAAGGCCCTGGCCAAGGTCAAGGCATCCGCATGAACGGCAATAGGAGCATGAAGGGGGGCGGAATGGTCGATTCTGTTACAACGGTCTCTTTCAGCTGGAGAGGAAGGTAGTCTACGGATCTGGTCTGCATGAAATGACACATTGGCATGGGGTTGCTGGTTTCTTCTGATTCGTCTGGCAAGACCTGTATGTCACTCATAAAAATCTCGATGAGGTGACCGGCGTCAATGATACGGAAATTCACAACAACTTGAGGCTGTCTTTTATGTGATTACATCTTCGCCGGGTGAAACTTGTGCTATCACATAGACATACCCAGATTCTCGAGTTTGCACAAGTGTAGATTCGATACGCAAGTTGACAATACAATCCCTCCGAGGGTCCCTAATACATATATGCCTACTATAAAATTTAGGGCATGTCTTTCTAAAAACTCCATCTCTAAAGGAAACAGGTACAGAAATATCAGTAGATAAAGGAGCTACAATTACCCAAGTACGTGATGCTCTGACGCACTTTGGGTACTTGCCGTAGGTATTTCGGGTAACCTAGTCGCATTGTTAAAGCAGGAAATCGCGTAAAGTACTTTATATTACCTAAGGTATGTACATGTAATTGAGCACGACTTCCGCCACTCGGGCAAGTACATGTAACTTTGGTGAAGGTACCTAAGAGCCACCTCTGCCACTCCATGCATGGGAAATACTATAAATCCGTATTTGGACTAGCGCGGGCACTCGCAAAACTGGCAAACCCTAGGCCAAACAATTGACAAAAGTTCACAGCTGTAAGCAACTTTTCTTCATAACCGAACCACTCAACCCCCCCAAGGTACAACCAATCACCCCCGCTACCTAACGTCGGCGTCGTTCTTAAGTTGTCGCTTCGGTAAGTTATCGATATTTCCATAAATTTACTTCTTCATATATACCTCATATATATTTTCCATACCAAATGTAAGAGTTGTTTTGGGGGAGATGGCGGGCTAAATTTTGAGGGCTTGGTACCTCAAAAAACCCCACGATATCGCACCCACCTCGCACATCGCAGAATAAATAGCTAATTTCGACCCCACCAGAGTCTCACATTCAATATGGCCAACCCCAGAGTCGAGGAACTTCCTGATGAGGAGCCCAAGAAGGTCTCCGTCGAAGAGCACGACGACGATGACAGCTCCGATTCCGAGATTGAGGTCGGCGAGGGCGGTGCTTCAGGCTCTACCGCCGTTGTCCACTCCCGCAACGAGAAGAAGGCCCGCAAGGCCATCGAGAAGCTTCACCTAACCCGTGTTACCGGCATTACCCGAGTGACTCTCCGACGACCAAAGAACGTAAGTAAAGCGAACGAGAAATATTTGTTTTAGTTGGGGCATGCAATATTTAGCTAGGATTGTGCGAAAAAGAAATAGGTCATTTCAAGTGTATATCCCGGTACTTTTTATGGTTTTGCGCAATGAGGGGAATTATTCGCTTCCGGTCAGATCAGATGGGGTTGTCTGTTCATGGCTAACCGCATCACCTACAGATCCTGTTTGTTATCAACAACCCGGAAGTCTACAAGTCGCCCAACAGCAACACCTACATGTAAGAGCCCACCGCAACTACATTAGATGTCTAATATGGCTAACGACTTTATTAGCGTCTTCGGTGAGGCCAAGATTGAGGATCTGAACTCGGCTGCCCAGCAAGCTGCGGCCCAGTCCCTTGCCGCTGGTGGTGGTGAGCACGACCATGCTGGTCACGACCACAACCACGGCGAGCCGAGCAAGGCCGTCGAGGACGCTGAGGAAAAGAAGGATGATGACGATGACGACGAAGAAGTCGATGCCGAAGGGCTCGAGGATAAGGATATCGAGCTGGTTATGACTCAAGCCAACGTCAAACGAAACAAGGCCATCAAGGCCCTGAAAGAAAACGATAACGACATAGTCAATTCGATTATGGCGCTGAGCGTTTAATGACGCAACTTGATTATGAAGGATGGGTCTAACTGCGGGCGCGTTGGCTGGATGTATGCGACAACGGAAAAGTCTATAAGGGGAAACGAAAAAACCAAAAGGAAAGTCGGTTGGCTGTGTATTGCATGCTACGATATCTTACAATGGATTACTGAGCCGTTGTGAATAATTCACTTCGAGTTCAATGACGATTCGACTGTTATGTTGGTGATTGCAACTTTAATATAATTTTCTCCAATGTGGGATCTTGCTAGTGATATTCGAACATCAAGCCACAGTAGATCAGGTCCAGCAGATTTCCACTAGTAAAAAAGTAATAAGACAAGAAGATAACTACCTAGTAGAGGTTTGTAATAGCCGACTGTAGGTAACTAGCTGCGTTACCCGTTCGCGCAAGCGCTTACGGGGAGTGCCTAGCTTCAAGAGTGCCTTTTCACGGCCACAAATAACTCTGGCCTCTGATTGGCTAGCCACACCTCAACGCACGTCCGATGAATTTTTTGTAAAATCAATTGACCTACTATATTATTGTATAAAAACTTTAATAATTGGTATCGTTGGATAGAGCGCGTTTTGCATGACTTTATTATCCTATTTGCATATGTTTCAGACCTTATGCGATAGAATAGCAAAGGAAAAAGTCGCCAACTGCGGGGCGATTCTAAGCATCTGATTGGTCCAAAAAATTGTGGCAGTACTAATGAAATATATAAGAGTTGATAGGTGCATATTTATAAGAGGTGCCTTTCAATCTCTAGAATGCAGAAGGGTTCTAAGGTCACGTGACTTACATAATCACGGGACTTTGGCGATTGTGGCGCCCTGCAAAACGTCGGAGTTCTTCGGCTGGGATACAGCAGCAACATCCACTGCGAATTGCTTCACATCTCCACTCTTTACCTTTTTCCTCAACACATCACCAAAATGGCCGCAGTAAGTACTCTTTCTTGCAGGATCCCCTAGCGAATGCTGTTGAGCTTTTCAAAAGGCAGTCATGTTGCCAATTGGATCGTCAATTGCCCCGGAAACTTCCGTTGAAAAATGGACGAAGATGAGCTAATTTCTAATTTTCCGTTTCCTCCCTCGCAGCGAAGCGCAGCCCTCAAGCTCGACTGGACCAAGGTCACCTCCTCGCTAGGTCTGCGCGGACAGACCGTCGCAGGCCTGCAGGCCTTCAAGCAGCGCAACGAGAACGCCCGCCGCAAACTGCAGGCTCTGTCCGAACTGCCGACGACGGTTGACTTCGCGCATTACCGGTCCGTGCTCAAAAACCAGGCCGTCGTCGACGAGATCGAGAAGCGTTTCGCCGCCTTCAGGCCCGCCCAGTACGACGTCACTCGCCAGCTCAAGGCCATCGAGGCTTTCGAGATCGAGGCTGTCAAGAATGCCCAGAGTACCAAGGAGAAGGTCGATTTGGAACTCAAGGACCTCGAGGCTACCCTGAAGAACATCGAGACCGCTCGCCCCTTCGAGGAACTTACTGTTGATGAGGTTGCTGCGGCTGAGCCCTCGATCGATGAGAAGACGGCTAAGTTGGTGTCCAAGGGCCGCTGGTCCGTTCCGGGATACAAGGTACGGCTACCCCTCCTGTTGCTTGCACGATATATATATATTTATGCTATGATGATAATGATGCTAACACCCTTTGTAGGAGAAATTCGGCGACCTTTCCGTACTATAGACAGCTTGCGCAGCGTAGCAACCAGAATTACATTACCGCTCTCTTTCCCTTGTGTACTCTAGCATTGTAGATAGGAAAGCCGGGAAGAGGCTGGGAAAGTGGAATTACAGACATTGTTAATCAAGTCCTGCGTGTGTGTGGTTTATAATTGTCCCCAGATAGGTGACATACTCTCCGTCTTGAAGTACCAATCTGACTTCGAAAATTACCTCTCTAAGAGAGGTGGTATGTAGTCTTGGTTACTTAGTACCAAAGTCCAATGCGTAGACCTGAGTTAAGGTTGGCGAATAGTATGACTTAGTCAAGTCTATCAGCCTCTTATCATGCCATTTTCGGACTATACTTCAACTTGTTTTTTAAGACAGTCATTCTTCGCCCCTAAATGTCCTATACAGGTTCGCTTAAGCAATTCTACACATGTTTATTCTAGACACATAGATGATTAGCCTAATAGTCTGCTACGCATTAAATCAGCTCATCTTAGCTAGGGATGACGAGAGAACGTATCATGATATTAATTGAAAGCCCCCATAGTAGTGGGTTGGCATGTAGCAAGACCACTGCCAGGCAAGTCGAGCAGAGCTTTATACCTTTTGTCAAGCCACCCTCTAGTTCCCTTAAAGGGGAACATAATATGTTTAGAAACGACTATCAAGTCTTGGATAGGGGATACTCTAATCATTAGACAAGCCAACATAGCCAAGAGCATTATGGAGGTTAGAAGTGAGGGAAATATTTGGCAATTAACAATGCTAGTGATCGAGGTACTAAATACATGAAGGAGATCCACGAACTTATAATGCTAGACAGTTTAATATGTGTCTATTATAGAAGCGTTCGTTGCTGTTGTTTTTTTTCGATTGCTCCTCTCCGCTGTTTAGATGGGTGGGATAGTTTAGGTACAGTTGAAAAAACAGCACCAAGCCTAGTCATTGTATAAAGACTTCTTCAAATCTCCCTTGCTATTTGCCATGCTGAAGGTATGGGATTTTTTATGGAATACTAGGCTACGAAGTATATGTATCATTTATTGCCAACCCCTTTTCGATGGATATTGTAAAAGATACCTAAATCCCTTCTACTTTCTTAAGGAAGGTACAGATGCAGGTCCCAATATAAGGTATTATTTCTATTCCTGTATTACATACGCAGAGCTAGCACATACGGAAACAACATTCCTCAAAGAATCCTCAAACCACCGCAATCTTTTATTATCGTGGCAGTTGCAACGGTGGCAGCTGTCGTGCCAACAGACGATTTGGTAACCCCTCAGGAACCGCAATTGTCGCCATAGTAATGAAGCTCTTTAAGCAATTACTTAAATCCTTGGTATCTGCGCACCAAAGTGCAGGTTTCCTTTCTTTCAATAACCAACAACTCAAAGTTACCTAAAATTACAGCAACCATTAGAAACCAAATTATACATTAACATCAACAATCTTACACGCATTCGAGCACATCGTATCGCCGCATACTATTTACAACGTTTTACTTCTATGCATAATTACGGAGAATTACTCTATAGCTAGGTATCTCACAAGTAACGGATAACAATATCTTAACTCATATCAAAGAGAACCTAAGGGCTTATGGAACGACTTAATCGCGGCCGCCCGGTATTGCGGTTAGATCTGTTTCGTTTACCAAAACGTGTTTTGCCGGCTGGCCTTGCCCATAGCGATAGCAACAACACGAAAAGATCACACCCAGCTTGATTCATTCGAATAAACACTAGGAATATCATATACCGATAAAACAACGCGTCGGAGTACATCAGATCTGTTTACTTAATCTCTTCCTCAGGTGTTCAACGAGCTTGTCATCTTGCAGAACTGCAATCCCCTTGTCCTTCATTCCTGGACCACCAGTACAACCTGCTAGAGTTACAACAGCTGCCAACACTATTATTCCTGCACAATGTCATTATTGCCTCGAAGTTACTCACATCGCATCATTTGGACAAGACTCTATATTCGAACCATGCTTAGACAACATCTCAGTCTACGCGACGCCGTCAAATGACAAGATGAACAAAGTCATTGTTCGCAACGACATAGATTCCGAAATTGTCATTCCCAAGAATAGCTTGATGGGCCATCTCAAACCTTTCGAACAAGGCCATCGAGGACAATAGATCGACGATGATCGTGCTCCACACTTAGCACTACGCAAACCGCCAAGAAAAGAGTGAGTCCAAAATCCTTGGTTCCGCAGGTGACTTCGTCGCCTCCAAGACAGACCAGTCTCGCAAACATCATATTGGCGTTACACCACTTTAACTCTTCTCCGACTATACACTTCAAACCAACCCTATATACTATGGGCTGAGCTCGGAGAAAGAATGTTCATTATCTAGACCTGGAAGATAGCAGGAATGAAGCCTAGGTATACCAAACGACAGGACCTAGGAATAGTTCTCGGTCCATAAATGAAGAGAAGGGAAAAGGAATTACCGAACCCTGGGGCCTGTGTAGAGGATATTGGTATGGAAGACCCTAATGGTCACGACGAGGTAAATTACTTAGCTTTTCGGTAAGTTCAAACTTTTGCTAACGTCTCAAATAGGCTCGATGCCGCGTTGCACCTGCAGGAGGAACTCTCCGAAGACTCGCCTTCCAACAAGGTTCTGATCATTGCCCCGCACAACCAGGCTCTAGACGACTACGAGCTCGGTTTCAAGCGCACCTTGGAGAAGCATGGCGCCCTGCCCAAGATGTTCCCTCGAACGCCAGCAGGAAGAGCTTCGTGAGAAGTCTGACGATTACACCAACCTTCCCCAGTTACCACCGACTGCCATTTCCCAGACGGTTTTGTGCTTCGACGGAACTCCCCCAAAGTATGCCTCCGCGCTTACGTTACTGTCCCATTATTAACTAAACTTTCTTCCGATTCAGCTCCTTTGGGTATACGATAAAAGGGTCTATCATCTGAACTAAGACCTACTCTTACTGGCCTGGTATACAAAAGTATTATGTTGAACGCATTACCTACGCATAATTAAGCGACGCCTGCACGGCAACCCCTATGTTCAACTCCACCAAGGACATTTTATCATATACCTTGCTGGCCTGCCCTAAGGCTTCCGCACATCCTGTATCCGTTGATTTCTCCTATAATAGTTTCTACGGGCCCGGAGCCGAATTTACCCGCTACGGCCCAGAAGAAAACCCCTACGAAAAGTTTCTTACCAAAGCCATTATGAAGCCAGGCCTCAACCAGATGCTACAAGATCCCCTCGAGAATGATGCGCTCATCAAAGCGCGCCTGGTGTTGCTCGAGAAAACCAAACACGGTCACGCCCTTGTAGACCCCGTTGCGCATAAAGCCGAATATTCGGACATGATGGAATATTAAAAAAAGAACTGGAATGCTGGACGTTGGCCAGAACGATAGAATATCTGGGAACTGGCTACGGTTAATCCTGCCTGCCTGCCCATGAGCAGTAACTAAACAATTGCAACAAGCAATGCTCCAGAACAACAACAATAACCTCTACCAAATTAGACGGCTCGGCCAAGCGCAAAATTAGGGCCTGGAAGACACGTATCGCGGGAGAAACAGAGCAAAAACTACAAACCGCCGAACATACCGAAAAAGATAGCTTAAAAGAAGTATGGTCTACAGCTAAGCGATAAAATTAATACAAACCTATCGCGCCATTCGCATAAACGACAAGGCATAACAGATGGAACAAATCTATCGAAGCCTTAATTCAAACCTCCAATACATAATTTCCGGCCCGAATAATCACGTCAATATCAACAAGTACATTAAACACATTTCGGAACAAAACAACGAATAACAGGCCAACATAATTCAAAAATTAGTGATGGCATAAAGAAAATGCTAACCAATAACAACTGAAGGAAGCGAAGAAGACGAGCGCGAAAATGCTCGTATGGAGGAAGCACCGAGATCCTCAAGAGGTACCTATGGACCAAAACATCGAAACCCGATATTCCGAACGTCAAAATACCTTTATGGAAAATTACTGTCGTCAATAAGGATGTCAGGTCCGACCAAAATTGAGGATGTGGAATCGAACTAAGAGTAATGAGATCAGGACTAGGACTCTAGGAGTCATAATAGCTTTGAACTTCTTAAGGTTCACACGAGCTTATGATCTATGTATCTAGTCCGATGCCTTGTATCGCTTGATAGCTACTTGCAGGGGCTGATCTTGAGGCTATGGCTCTATGTCCTCTTTATCGTGACGAATTTTCTCTTTGGTAATTTCTTCCTAAACGAGGCAATAAAACAGTCCCTAGTTCGAGCCCGAGCATTATCGTGATAGCATTCTAACAGTGTCTTACAAGATTTGAAGGCCGTGGTTAGACAGAGGAGCAAAGACCGATAGGAGGCAAATGTAGAAAAGTAGGACGGGAGAAGATCGAAACACTCATAGGAAGATATTTCTAATAAATAAACTTCATTGAGAGTCGAAGAGGCATGCTCTTTGATAATGAATGTATAATTCGTATTGAGTTACGTAAGTGGATCTGCGTAGGTACTTGTTAGATAAATTGATCTATTGAACTAATTAATAAAAAATGAAACATTATTATTTTTTTTTTTTTACAAACACTCAAGATGAATCCGAATGTCTGAATGACACGTGACGAGCAGTCACGTGTTGAGATGTACTAAGGTACATCTCACAGTACTTAAGGTATTTAGTGACCAGAGTCTAGCCTACGCTAGCGTGATTAGCGTGATTGGCGTAACTAGCGTAACTAGCGCGCCCTACCTGCAGGTGTTTCTTCAGCTCTCCCGCCTCGTTGGTTACATGTTCCCTTTTGCTCTACCAATCTCCACGCTACACATCAATAAGACACACCTTCATACCTTCTACACACTTAAGCAACGAACTCATTTACTCTTGCTGTTCCGCTGACTATTTTGCTTCCACTCCACCTTCACGACAATTGATCGCTTTTTGTATCCGATCGCCCATTAACATCCAAAAGGTAGCGCCAGAATTCCTGCGACCATGGCGTCCCTCGCCGCGGGGATAGTCGATCCCACAAAAGCCGGCAAATACCCAGTTGTTTTGAGCGATGCCTTGCTCGGCAAGAACCCAAAGGAGGTTTTCACCGGTGTTAGATGTAAGTTGCCCATTCACCCCAGTTAATATACGATACCTAACGGATCGCCCACTACAGATAATCATAAGCCGTCATTATCGTCATCTACTGCGCCCGCCCAGGCACGAATAAAACCGACGTCAGCATCTTCTTCCAAGAAGGGCGCTTCTACATACGACCTCGCCTTCCAGGATGACGGTGGTCGTTACCAATACAAAGGAACACGCGGTGTCGAAGACAGCCAATATGTGCTGATCTTCGACCCCGCCCGCGAGGTCTTTGTCTTGCACAAGGTAGACTCTATGTTCAACATGAACTTAGTAAAGACGCCATCAAACGACGACCCCGAAAGCTTGCGACAAGAGTTTCCTCACCTGGACGCTCATAGTGCTGCTAGCAGCGCCAAGGCTACAGGATCGACGAGACAACCTGCAAAGGGAAGGAAAGAAGAGAAGAAGACGGCGGCTAAGCCGCGGAAGCCAGCATCGAAACCAAAAGCAGAAGATAAGCCGGCTCTAGCAATGCCCGAGAAGAAATCACCTCCGAAGCCCGTAGCAACTAGCAAGCCGCGCCGCACCTCAGACGATTCGGAGGAAGAGAGCTCGGACGACGACCTCGGCCTTACAATAGAGAATCCAGGTGGCGAGGCGCCGAGAGTCAATCAACACTACTCTCCCAACCTCTTTGGAATTCGTCGTTTCTCCGATTTGATGAATGAGGGCGAAGACGAGAAGAATAACGAGGAGCACGACGATGCTGACGGCGAAGAAGACGACGATGAGCCTATTGAGCACTTCGTCCTACCTAGCCCGATAAACCAGCAGATGCAACAAACTAGCAACGCCCATAAACATCCGCAAGCCAACGAGGAAGATGAGGAAGACGAGGATGAGGAGATGGAGGATGTGCAGCAAGAACAGCCGGCTAACGCTGAGGAACCTGCCCTGGATGAGTCGGATCTCGAGGCTGCGCTGTTGGCCGAACTGGGCGAAGAGGATCAGCAAGAAAGCGACGTGAGCGAGGAGGAGTAGGAGAAAATATGATTATTTTTCATCTTTTTTTTTCTTTTTCATTATTGATTTCAGGGATGCGCACTTGAGGCGATATCTTTATCTGATCTTCCGGGGATATAATAAAGCGGCGCCTGGTGTTCTGGATACCACATGAACGGGTGGATGGAATATCGGAATCAAATAAATGACGGATAGAGATCTCTCGGCAGAAGCGGTGGCCTGGCCTTGATTTAGTTATTTTTATTGACGAATATTTTAACGATTACCTAGTAGTTACAGAGTGTCCTAGCATTTCTAGAGGCGAAAACATGACACTATCCTTTAACGAGATTAGTTGGGATTAAGTAGACTTTGGCATGGACGATGGCTTGATGTTATGTTTAACCGGGCATTCCTGAATACACTGGGAGATATGTATTGGGGGGGATAAACTCCTCTAATACATAGGTGCCCAGGTAGAGCTTAGTCTAGAAGATGGATACGCAGACGTATAGTATACTATTAGATAGTCTGTGTTCACCACTAAAACTTTACGCGCCATATATGTCTTCAATATATGTATTTTTCCTATCAACAAATATATACCCTATACCCACACGTATCCCTCATCCCCTATGCTATCCATCTCCTCTTACGAAGCCCCCGAGAAGGCTAATTTCTCGTTCCCAACAACCGGGTTCAGCACATTAACATTAGTTCCCGCCAGGTTTCCATCACCGCCCTGTACTACAGCCGAGAACGAATCGGCCATAAGTTGTACGCCACTCACGAAGTCCTTCTCGTCAAACTCGCAGTGCCCGCCGTTCGGTGAGTTATCTACCGTCTGTAGGGCCCCGACGGCTGCTGCGTCCAGGCCTTGCGATGTGGCGATCTGCTCGTAGGCTTTGATCGCTGCCGGGATCGCGGGTTGGAGGAGCGTTAATTCTTGCTGCGTGCTCTGGAAATGCACACGCGTCTCTGCTAACGCAGCGGCGTCCGCATCCGCTACGTCGACTTGCGGTTCTAATCCGCCGCAGTTAAGCAGGACCTGAGACTCCTTTCCGGCACCGGCGAACTGCGACATATGCCCCGGCATCAAGAACCCGCTCAGCAACAACGAGCCGCCAGACACCCCCGTAAAGCTCACGCGGCTGGGGTTAAACGCTAGGACCTGAGGCATGATGTCGGCGACCAAGTCGGCGACGGCCTGGGCGTGAGCCACGCCGTCAGTACGGTCAAGGCCAGAACCGCCGCCCCAGAAGAGGTTTGGGTCCGGCGCCAGGACGGCGACTCCTGCGAGACCATCCTGCACGGCTTGATTCGGGAAGTCGAAGAACGACTGTCCGCCGTCGCCGTGTAAAAGGACGTTTAGACCTAGGTCGCCGGCCGCGCCCGCCGTCTGGGCGCCGCCGTCGACGCCGGAGTCGGCTGTGAATTGGTCGGCGGGTGCGGAGACTTTGAAGCGGAGAGGGAGGCCACTAGGGAGGATTAGCGTCTATACATATAAACCTGGGTATGTTGGTTATAAATAGAGAGGTAAACGTACTTTACATTAGCCGTCATATCCAAGATAGTGCTTCCATCCGTCGCCGTCGAGACTCCCTGCGGTATCTGCTGCGCCTGTTGAAAAGCCGTAGCTTGCTTCTGCTGTTGTCCTCCGCCTGTAGTCGCCCCCTGGCTATTCCTGTTCCTGCCACCCCTATTCCCTCTGTTTTGCGGCGCCGCATCGACGAGGGAAAGAGCCCCGAGGGCGAGCAGTAGCGACAATGAGCGGATGGTCAACATCCTGACTACGTAACTTGGATTAAGGGGAAATATATTACGAGTAATAAACAAACGAGAAAAGAAGAAGAGACAGGCGGATCCGGGCCTGGGGAAAGAAAGGAGATACCGTGTGGTTATCGAAATAAGGCCCGTCAAGAGCTTAGAAGTGAAAGAAGGTGTAAAAGGAAGAGAGAGAAACAGAACCCCATTCGCATTTCGCAGATTTCGAGAGAACGCAGTCAGTCTTATGAGTAAGTCTTCAAATTACTCCCCCTCCTAGGGTCACGGAGATCAAACATCCATCACCGCCCACAACAAATCGCATCCAGACCTAGCCTTGCGCATTCCAAGCAATCTAGAAGGGCGCCAAGAAGGGACCGAAGATCAAAATTGGCGTTTATCGCACTGAGGTATCAGCTTCGACGATAAATATCTGCTTCCAGGCTGCGCTGGTGGGATAACGGACACTTCTGACACCGTATTGGGAGACAGTCGAGCTTCTCCGTGTTTCGCGGCAAGGGTTGCGACCGTTCTGAGGGCGCCGGCATCCCTGTCCGAACCCCACAATCCCCGGGAGGTATCGTCACATCCTGGAGTTTGGGCTCTTGTCTGAAGCTTAGCTTTTGCTTGGCGATGTCTATCAAGAAGAGTTCTTTTGGCTATTCCTAGGAGCATTAATACATACGGGTTAAAACAAGTTGGATCCCACCTGCAGAGAGCTCTAAACCCTCAAGTAAAAATAAAATAGAAACTGGTGCTATCCTGGAAAACCTGAAATAGTTAGGTGTTAGTTATTTGTTAATTATCATTAATATTGGACATCTTCGTGATGCTTTCAGTTACAATTACTACTTAAATTTATCCATCTACTAGCTTTACACTACAACTGGACATGACTACTAAGCAAACAAGTTGCAAGACCGGCGAGAATAAGCTAGAAAACAGGATGACGTCGGAATCAACACTAATCAATGACGGAACTGACAAGCATAGAAATGATTCGCATCGCAAGTTGCTCGAGAGCTTCCAACCGTTTTGCCCTCGGCCAAAATGGCCACATTCATTGGGAGCTAAGCTCATACCGTATATGAAATATACACCCGCTGAGAGGAATCCTTTGCGCCCAGCTTTGTTACAATGACCAACTCAAAGTGAGGTCCCGACTTCGCTTGTTCCCATATGCCCTAAATATATTACCAAATGTATACCAAATATATGCAAACGAGCGTATTGAAATCCAAGTTAACAAGTCTATAGAAAAAAATTGGCCGTGGATTGGAAGTCTTCAGATCTTATACTATTCAGAGTGGTAATAGTATGTGTAGGTCCGGGGGGGCATGGCTCATAATATTGAAGAAGCCGAATGATTCGTCCTTAAACGGCGCCGAGCCATGCTAGCTCCGTATAGACTTTACTGATTGATATTGTGGAACCAATCGTAGTGCTATAATACACGTCTAGGAGGTGGACGTACAGCAATGTGCATCTGCTATTATTGCTAACAAGCGGTTGAGAGCTGTGCATACTTGTCGACTATCATACCATCGACTCATCCATTGCCTCTAGATCGTTAGGCATCGCCCCGTGTTTTTTTATCATATGCCGTCTCCAATTGTCTTTTCTCGGGAATGCTTTTCTTCCTTTGAAGTACGCACATGTTGGTTCCGTACAGTGATAGGCTTTCGACTTGACATGCTTATCGTTGATATGTCGATCAAGGTGTGTCTTTGTACCAAACTTCTTATCGCATCCCTCGTAAGGGCACTCGTGTTTGCGGTCGTGATAACGTTTATGGTGGTTAAGTTTATGGACCTGATCAAAATACCGGCCGCACTCTTCGCAGATATGACCGGATGATTGGGGAGAAGGAATCTTGGATACCTCCGGCGACGAGCTCGACTCTGGTTCCATCTTGATATGTTCATTTATGTTTGGATACGGTGACGGGGATACCGTAAGCCGGGTGTCCGGCGTCCTTCCCATGGAGGGATCCGTAGAGCTCTGCCCTGGTGTGGTACTGTAGTCGTACGAATCACCGGATAGGCGAGGCTCGTCATCACTAGGGATATCCAGGAAGCTCTCTACATCGATGTCCTCTTGAGAACCATGAAAAAAGTTTTCGGGGTTTTCTTGCGCCGCCTGGTCTGTGACGATGGCAGGAGGCGAGGTAGGGAAGGTCGGAGGAGACGCTGAGTTCTCCATTTGGTAATGAGTATAAGCAGCTTTCTCGGCAGCGTTAGAGGGTTGCATGATGGACATCGGCGACACGAACGATTCTGGCTGAAGAGGAGGAGAGTGTGAGCTGTGGAAGATAGAGGGTCTATGAGTAGCATCAAGTGTCTCGTCCAGCTCCATAGGCTCCGGGATGGCCGGGCTCATAAGTCGTTCTTGGGGCCGGGTCTCGGATTGTGGCTGAGTTGAGTGAGGTAACCGATCGGCGGAGTCCGGACTTCTGAGGGCAGCTGAAGGTAGCTCAGGATCTCTCTCGGTGGTTTCTCGTATTGTTGAGCTAGTCCGAAGAGGGTACACGTCGTACTGGGAGTCTCCTTGTCTCTGTTTCTTGTGTTGCTGATCCTTTTCTGACCAGTTTCCGCCTGCAGAAGCGATCGAGATACCCGTTTCTCCAGAAATTTCGGCAGGCTCTTCAAAAATTTGATTCGCGAGAAGTTTTGCTTGAGTACTAGTTCCTTCCGCAGCTTCTAAATCGGATTCTGGTCTCATACCGACGGGACTAACAACTGGCGAAGCGGGAAAGTACTGTTGAGATGTCGAGTACTGGGGGCTTACGGTGCCATGAGCCGAGGAATGCGTAGAACGTTTCCTCTTGATGCTATTCCAGATTCGACTAGTCAGAGAGCCACTTCTTCTTCTTCGATGTTCTCGGGAATCTCTCAGCTGAGCCTCGTAAAGCTCAGTCATTTGTCTAGACGGTGGTATCGTTTCTTGCTCAGGATTTGAGCCCATCGAGATCCTGGTGTCATAATAACTAGAATTGGCTGCTTCGTATCCCGTGACGGCATTGTCAGAAGGCAGATTGGCCCCAAGGTCGTTGGTAGTTGAAAAAGCTGTCGGCTGAGGGGGCAGAGGAAAGTCGATGCCCGGGGGTAGAGACGGCTGACCGAAATTTTGAGGTAGGTGATAAGATTCATGACCACTCACAAATCCTCCTCCATAAACGGCAGGTTGTGTCTGTTGGAACTTAGAGCTGTCGCTGAAGCCTGGGTTGATTCTCTCGAAATCATCCTTCATAGAAGGAGGATGATCCGGTTGTGTGGCAGGGGTTTGCCTAGGCCGGAAGCCCTGGAAAGGAAATAACGTCCTGACTTGGGAGACTGTAGAGCTTCCAGCTGGCAATATCCCCGCTTCTTTCGCCTCTCTTACCTTCCGCCTGTACCGGAAGTAGAGAAAGCCCAGGACTATGAGTAACAGGCTGCCTCCGAAGGCACAGCCGATAACCGTTCCAGCAATTGCACCGGCAGACATGTGACTCCCCCGCGCCCTGAGCCCGGACCTGGGGTTCAGAATGGGCGCCATATTGAATTAGATGAGAGCCGGAGCTCGCAGTAAAGGGTGAATAAATTCTCGTAAATGCCAAAGGTTATGCTCTAAGCATGAGACGATACCTAGCCTGGATGAGAGACTAACGGGTGCAAGCCAAGAGAAGTAGTTTGGGTTCTGCCGAGAAGGAATTAAGTCTCGGGCCGTCAGTGGCGGGGAAAGGTTATGCGAGACTTAGATGGGCGGTTTTAGGTCAGGGTCGGGTACGGTCTCCCTCTCTCTCGCGCGCGTATAATCAGCCGGTCAAGTCAGTGGGATGAGATTCGGCCAATACAGGCGGCCTAATGACGGCCTAACAAGTGCTGCGCAAGGCAGGGGCAAATGGATTATGCGGAAGGTGAATTGGTAATGATCTAGGTCATATTTTGATCATATTATGAGATGGATAAGAGGAGTTGACGTTGAAGAACCAGGATGTAATGATTTATCGGATTGATTCAGCCTCATCAAAAAAAAAGTTGGAGGCGGAAGTGAACCCGGAGACGCCCTACAGCTGCAGGTAGAGTTACATTGCGATTCCCTAAGAAACCTAAGAAACCTACATACAAAATCCCACGGATATCGATGGCTGGCGCTCGTGTATGTACAGGGTATACATAGTACAAGGGGTCCTTGCCAATTGGAGTCCTCAATTAGGACATAAAATTACTTTGGGTTTCAACCATTTTGTTATGACAAAATCTCCGAGACCCTCTTATTCTAAGTTTCCTAAGAAATTCCCACGTTAAAATGTCGAAAGGGTAAGCACGAGGTTAGTGCACTAACACAAGCGCTTACCAGCGCACGTGTGCACCAAAACTTGGGTTAGCTGGTTAGCTACTTTGGTACGCTACTGCGCCACAAGCTATAACCATTAGAGGAAAGGGGCTAATCGATAGGTATTAGCCGTGGAAGTATCCAGTTCTCCTGTCAAGTACCTGACAGAAGCTACTTCTACTGTCGGAGACCTCTCGGTGAACGCGATGAATCGTGTTTTAACACAATCAACGCACTACTTTGCATCAAACATCTACGGACGAGCCGTAGCAGATCAGCCTCAATTGCATCACGCTTTGCACCACACGTTGTAACCCCACATACGTCATCGCAATGTCCTCTGGTCTAATGAATGTGTCCGGTTGAAAAGTTAACCTAGTGTTTTGTCTGTGGTTTTTGTCCATGGGAGTTTTTGTGACATGATCCAATCAGAACGCTACAAATCTCAACCCTCCTCCATTTTCTTTGGGACTGTCAGGTCATTCATAAGGTTCAATGCTGTACGTTAGCAACTATTATGATTCACTCCCGAAACTAGACATCTATCATCTTACCTCGAAATAGGGATCATCGAAACTCAAGGTTAATAATGACCTCGGACCTTGTAGCGATTCCTGTCCATGCAAATGATTATTCATACTTAATCGGGCGCAAAGGATCCATGATATCGTTGGTCTCAGAATTGATACATAGCGCACTCGAGTCCTATTAAGACCCAAAGTATGGCCAACGCTTCCATTCTGTTCGGTCAAAGGCCAGCCTCGCCGTTGATGTTGGGGAACTCTTGTCAATAATCGAGGCCAATTATTTGCGTCTCATCCGGCGAGCCATCCGTCCCACTCAAGTTGAACAAACAGGCAAGATATCCATGAGCCATAATACAGAACCATTCGCCTTTTAAATGAGGCATCCAGTCGAGGTCCGCTTACTGTGGTGATGGAAGGAGTTCCATTTGCCTTCTAATACTCTCTGCCTAGTAGGCAATTTACATAGTACAACTATCTCACCGCCACCGGCGTCCTGGTTTCTAGTACGTTTGCCTACCTAAGGTATCTTTATCTAAAGATAATCTCCACAGAAATGTAAGTGCAACAACCTAAAGAGCAGCCTTTGCGCTTTTGTACATTCATGTCTCGCACCGTAGACATCAAAACTCGATTGTAACATGTATAAACCATATTCTCCAACGTACTATAGATAATGGAGACAGATAGCAAGTATAACATGTCCGTCAGACATGCGCCCGTTCATTAGAGGGCCTTAGAGTGAAGGACTACGGGTTCTGCCGCTGCAAGAATCGAACCATTTTACATGGGAGCGTGGGAGCATGGGAGCCGAAATACCAGTACACTGTTTATGGTTTTGAGGCCGGTCAGAGCATCTTCGACTCAGCATCTTTCTTGTATCAGCGCTGCAGTCGTAGGTGGTCTCGGTGTACTTGGGTTAGGGGCTTAGGTACCCCAAATGAAACCAGCAGCATGCGAGTTGGGATGTTAAGGGCACGCTGTGTAGCCTAACCCGATATCACCCTACCCTACCTCGAGAGGAAGGTCTTTTCTATTTGGGTATATGCTCCATCCCGTAACGAAAAGCCATAGAGTACCACTGAACGGCCATCTTACATATCTTCTTAATAGCGGAGGGAATATTACTATTTCCCGCCGGCTCTCGTGTGTCGTGTGACGAGTCAGTTGCGTTACAGCATATACGGCTTTCTCGGAAATGCCACACGTTCTATGGTTCGATTGTAGGGCTTGGTGCTGGAGATTCTAGATCGTAAACCGACATACAAAGAATTGATGCATCAGACTGCAGGTTGCGTATAGGTTGACAGGGGCAAGTCTGTCTAGACCCTTCGTAAGCATGGTCCTTGCTACCGTGTTCGGGCTCTAGAATAATTCATAATTCGTGCAAAGGCATTTATTTACAGAAGCAACATAAAAGTCTCAAGGGGTAACCGGCCGTTCTAGAAACGGGCTGCAGGTAAGCCTCACCCTAGGGTCTAGGCTCTCAGGTCCGCAACAAGTTTTAACCCGACGATATTGGCATTGGGCATTACCGCTTCTATCTGGTCCAACTTATTCCAGACTTTGAAGGAATAGATAGTAACTAACCCATGTGATGATGTTAGAGCAATCAACAAAAAAGAGCTAGCACGATAGAATATATCGCGATAACACCTACCAGTGGTGAGCGGCATAGACTAGGATACCATGTCACCAATAATCTATTTATTATACTCCTCGTTGTACAGCAATTCTTATCCTTAGTTGATTAGGTAACTTAGCTACTATTCCGGAAGGTCAGCGTACCACATGGCATTCGAATTATGGACGTTCCGTACAAGACCTAGTGCGGCTAACTTGGACTGAAACCCCATATTTCGTGACACTACGCGGGACGTTATAGAAATGACTATATCAAAAGTTAAAAAAAAATTAATACGAGTGACAGAATAGCAATGATAGTATACAATGAATATGTAGGCGCAAGGATCGTACAGCTTGACGCTAGAGATAATGCATCACTGACGAATTTGATGTCAGCTGCACAACAGTCCCTACTGGTGCTTGCATATATCAGAAAATTGCCGTATACACAACAGCCTGTTGGCACACACCGTCTATTCTTGACAGCCAAGCAAGACGACGCGATGCGGATCTGGAGAGCTCTTGACCTCGATCGAGGTTCTACAACCGGGAGTGGATGAAGGGGGCTAGTGTTGAATCGTCTACAGGACTAAGACTTTCCGCCACGAAGGTCGATCCTCAGCCGAGATAGCAATGGTTAATTACACCTTTTAATCCACTTACTAAGTTTCGTATGATCTATAATAAATCGAATCGACACTTACTTCTTTCTAGTCGAATCACTTGATGATATAATGGGTACTTAATGATGTTAATCATTTGAACTTATACGAAGGAAAGGATATTCCGTCATATGTCAGCTTCATACAACCTTTGATATAAATGCCTGAGTATAGGTGGGTAGCTTCCTCAAGAAATAGAGTTACATGTGAGTTCTGTTAACTACCATACAATTCTATAGACATAAAGAACACCGCGTGATGGGTAAGATGTGATATGCCTACTTTGGGTATGCATCTCGTCGAAACGTCGTCTGATCCGATATTGTATTTTTGCTATTTGTATGTTTTATATCTGGCTAGGATCTTATACAATCATACCTACCCTTATGCTAGATAGAATATATTACCTATTAAGTTAGCTATTGTTTCTGCAAGGTGACTGCGTGGCAACTATTAAAAGAGGTGGCTACTAATTTACTTTAGCTTTGGGTATAAGAAAGTCAAGTTCTAAATTAAGGTGAGTTCCATAGATGTACATATGTACCTACATGTGTAGTTGACCTTAAGCCGGTCTAAAAAGCACGGGGACGGGCTTAGACAGGGGGGGGGGTGAACATGTGGTTCTTACCTTGTAGTCGACGGATTGTCTAGACTGTGGCGTTTAGAAACATTTTATTTCCAACGTACCTATTTCCGGTGCTTCACACCTCTATGGATACCACGAAAACATCCATGTTTCAAATCATAGGACTATTCTACTACATTACTTTGTCTTTGTTATATTTTTAAGCTGATGTAGGTGTATGTACCTAATGTTTACCTGATAGTGACATAGCAGTAGCATAGGTTCAATGATCATACATGTATGTACTGTACTTACCGTCCAGGTGGTATTATACATTAGTAACATTACATACATGTACACATATGCCTAATGTATCTAACCTAGATCGTATGTAGGTACCTTATATGTATGTACCTTACATACATAGGCCTAGGCCACAGTTAGATCGCTCTTCCCGACAGCAACTGCCAACTCTACTAGCCAATGCGATCGAAGAAGAATGTGCTCCGCAATGTACGTAAGCGTTCTAGTGGTCCCGAAGCAGCGACCCCTGGCTGCCCTGGCTCTAAAATCCACAAAAATCTTATTTTACGGGTTCCCGATCTCTAACCCCCGGACACAATTCTGAGCATCATGGCAACCAGCGCGTGCACTCTTTCCAATCCCGATTCTGAACGCACCAAAGACCGTGGCCAGATCTGCACACCAGCAGACGCACCCGGCAAGATGGATTTACTTGTAATAATCAAATGCTATCTTCTTCCTCGGCATGGCTTCCGCCTCCAGTTAAGTTGTCGATCCCCATCCGTGTTTGCTTTGCCGGGCTCGTCTCTCCAGAAGACTAGGTCCAGGGTTATGTGTCTGGACCTTGAGGAAGCCTATCCCTTGTCGACCTCAGATATTCCTATTCTGTAGGTGGATCATATCACGGTTATGGTCTTATTCTTGGCCGGAAGTCTGCGTTGCCACAGGGTCTAAGGGGAGTCTCACTCTACCTTGTGTTTCTTTGTGCTTTCTCTTTGCCTTTTAGTCCACAATACTCGTATACAATCATATACGAATCGGAATTATAGTCTGGATCTTGCTCACGGGAACGCCCGATTCGGTTGAGTTACATCCAGTATCGTAGGAAAATCTCGTCTCGACTGGCCTGGCCTTCAAGACGGAATTCCTAGTGACTATCTGCTTTTCTCGGATATATAATTTCCATGAACACCCACTGCGTTAGGGAACCACTCCCATGCGTTAGCGCCTCTTTAGAACTTAAAGGAAAAACTCCCTGATCTAGAGACGCTTTTACCATTTTTAGAAAAGCCAGTTTGTCTCTAGCTCGACTCTAGATACCGTCACCCTGGTTGGTCCTATCGGGAGTGGTGGGTCAGCCTTGTTGTGTTGTACATCGGCCTAAGCGACGAGAGTACGAGCATCTGAATCACCTTCAGCCGCCTCGATCTGGAATTCGATCCTAAATTCGATCCTTGAGGTCTAGATTTGCCTTCGTCATCACACGCCTGTTCATATTACGTTTCCGGCAGCAGCTTTAACGTGGAGAGCATAGGGACGAACAAACTATCAAAGACGTCAACTGTATCTATCTGCAGGTCGTATTTCACCAAATCTTGGCCAGCTCCACTAGAGCTCCGGTACGTGGAAGAGATAACTGCTTTCAAAAACTGTCTACTACTGTGTCTCGCCGGCTCTCGCGGTAGTTACTCCCACCCTATCGAACAAGAGATCTGTATCTAAAGCGCAAATTTGGTAATCTATCTAGCCCCAATCCCAGATACTCACTGATTAAGTCGCCATGTCGGCAAACAATGTCCTTGTCTACATTATACGCCACGACCTGCGTGTCTCTGACAATCCCATCCTGCATCATCTCGCTTCCACAATCGGCCATGGGTTCACGCATCTCTTGCCTCTCTTTGTCTTACTACCTCACCAACTTGAGGTTTCCGGATTTCTGAAGGAAGGCGGAAAATCACCTTTTCCCGAAGCTAAAAGCGAAGTTGGACGCTATTGGAGATGTGGGCCGTACAGGGCTGCGTTTATTGCCCAATCTATTTGGAACCTCAAGGACAACCTAGAGAAACTAGGAAGCGACTTGACGACTAGGATAGGGACGTACGATGGTGTATTAAAGACACTCATTGACGGTTTGCGACTGAAGGGGCTCAGTGTCGGAGGAGTGTGGGCGATAGGGGAAGAAGGCTATGAAGAGAAACGAGATGAGAAGCTCATATCGGAGGTTTGCTCGAGTCTTGGTGTAGACTTTCGAACATGGGTAGATGAAAAGTACTTCATCGACGAGTGAGTCATGATCATAGCTTCGAGGCGGACTTTACTGACGAATCCTCACTCACCCAGTCGAGATTTAAAACTCGACAAAGATGATCTCCCAGACGTATTCACGACTTACAGGAAAATGATGGAACCATTGCGAGAGAAACCTAGGGCGACCTTGTCTACCCCACAGAAAGATACATTACCCAAGTCCGTCGAAAAGTCTTTAATTCCAAGGCAGGAATCGCCTTTCGAGATCCCGTCTTCATATGATGAATTCGAAGAAGCACTCTTAAGACCTGTTAGGGGAGCCCTGTCTAACTCTCCACCCTTCCCTGAAGGAGCTAAGTCGGCTCATCCTTTTCGCGGTGGAGAAGATAGTGCTCATTGTAGATTGGATCATCTGATCCAATCGGGAAGTGCCTCCTTGTATAAGAGCTCGCGTAATGGACTCTTAGGAAGCGATTTCAGCACGAAGCTGTCTGCCTATCTCGCACAGGGATGTATCACCGCTCGTCAGGTACATGATAAGCTTGTGGCATACGAAGATGGAAAAGACAAGTCGCTAGCCGAATCTCAGGGGTATGGCGATGGAGAAAACGAAGGGACAAAAGCGATACGGTTTGAGTTGCTGTGGCGTGACTACATGAGGCTCTGCACTAGGAAGTTCAAAGAGAAGCTTTTCCTCCGGTCTGGATTCAGAGATGATCGCGCCAACAAATGGAAGTCGGCTAAGAAGGAGGATATAGCTGACGGGCAACAAGAGTCGGCGGACGAAATTTCTAAGATAGTGCAGAGAATATTCGATGGAACTACTGGGATGGGACTGATCGATGCTTCTCAAAGAGAGCTATTACACACAGGATATACTTCGAACCGTGCCCGCCAAAATGTCGCGAGTTTCCTTGCCAAACACCTCTGTATCGATTGGCGTTATGGTGCTGAATGGTACGAAATGCTATTGGTCGATTATGACGTTTCATCGAATTGGGCAAACTGGCAGTACGTTGCAGGGGTGGGAAACGACCCGCGAGGAGAGGCACGAATCTTTAACCCTGTAAAACAAGCTTTCGATTATGACAAGGATGGGGAATACGTACGTTGCTGGGTACCCGAGGTGCGGAAGCTTGAGAAACTAGAAAATGTCTTTCAGGCCTGGACGACACCGAAAGAGGATTGGGATCGATTTGGCTTGAAAGGCCTCGCTATGGCCGAGGACCCGGTGAAGAAGATTGACTTTTCTGTGGAAGGAAAGCCTAAAAGTTCCAAACGACCATTTATCCGGCGACGCGGCCGTGGTCGTGGGGGAAACAATCACACTACGCAGTCTCTTGCGACTGAGCAATCGCCAAGCGACACGAAGGATGCCGATAGCCTCAGTAAGAATGAGAAATCAGGTAACAGGCCACTTAGTAATCCCGCCCAGCCAAACATATCCGAAAGTCACCGTGGTAGTTTTCGAGGCGGGCGAGGATACGGTGGAGCCTACCGAGGTCGTGGCTTTCGCGGATTGAGAGGAGGGTACCGGGGTCGGGGTTCGTCAAACTATGGTCAACCACCACTGCCTATACAGCAATTAGCTCCGGCCGAACAAGCGCAATAGGATTCCTTTTATCGTGCGACGAGCTATTGTTATTACTACCCGCTGCCTGTGGATTTCCCTCCTTGGGGTACTGTACTATTCTACGGAGCTGATAGTAGCGAAAATCACCACCCTAACGCATTTCTACGACCGCCATGCCCCTAGGTTCGATGTACTGACAAGGAGCGGGTTTCAAATATATATATATATATTTACTGGCCCCGACCAATTCCATCGCTTCCTAGCTTTCTCTCCTTTTGTGGTTCAAGAAAAGGTTGTAAGTGGGAATTATGGAGATATGTTAGGAACGTGTCCCCATTTCATGTGTAACTATGTTCTATGATAGATATTTCTTAAGATAGCGAAAAACAACTTTATGCTCTGGTATCGTCTTTCATTTGCCCCTTATGCCAAAACGCCCGTGAATGCTGGATGAGACTATCATCTCCTCACTACTTTCGGGAAAGTCCCCTCAAAAGCTATATGAACTTGCCTAATGTACCACTAACATACCATCCTAGAATTCTTCAACAAGCGGTTTTAGCTTGACGCCCTTGGGCACAACAGCCAGAGCCTTGGCCTCAACGCAGATCTTCCCATGAAGTGTCTCCAGTGTACCTTCAACCCACATCTTACGATCGCTCTTAGACGGGTCCTCTCCCTCGCGGATCATTGGTCGGGTGCGAATAATGTAAAAAGCGGAAGTCAACGTAGGCGCACGGTATTGGAGCTCGAGACGGGCGGTAACCCCCGTGCGCGCGGGAAACAGCAGCACTGCGCACCGAACTAAACTCTCATCTAGCAGCGTCGCTAGCGCCCCGCCATGCACGACGCCCGGCCAGCCCGCCGTCGCAGTGCCGAAGTACACCACGCTGATGACCTCGTTGGTCTTAGTATTTCGGAACACACGTTGGAAAGGTATGCCGTGGGAACCGCCTAGAGGTCCGGAAGTCAGGCGCGATTGTACCATGGTCGTGGATTGCGCGCCCGAGTACGCATCCCAGGATTTCCAGGTCGGGTCGGAGGATAGTGCGCGCACGAGCGGGAGCGCGGAGCCTTCGTCCCGTATCTTGGAGACGTGGTATTGGTCCTGAGGAGAGCCGTGGGGGATGGGCGCGGGAGGGGCTAGGGACAAGCGGATTAGGGTGCCGAGGGATAGGCCGATGAGTAGGAAGATGGTGGAGTAGTAGATGCCTCGGCGGCGACGACGAGGAGGTTTAAGGGTGGAGGATGTGGGGTGTTCGGGCGGGACTGGGGTCGTAGCGGTGGCTGCGGCAACGGCAATAGGGTCTTGAATCTTGGGAGGTTCGGCAAGACGTCGTTGTGAAATAGCGAAGGATCTGGAGTTAAGTCGGGAGAGGAATCGCGATGGTGTATCGGTACGGTAGAGTCGTATCGTGGGACGAGGAGGGACTTGGACAAGCCTCGGATAGACGAGCCTTGCCGACGCTGCAGCCCGTAGGCAGAGCTGCGCGGTTCGGGGACTACCGACCAGCATTATGGATAATTGTACGGTGTTGTAGTTCGGATTGAGGCTCTTAGGGTGTCAGGGCGTAGGGGTGAGACAGATCTTGGTTGAATGTAACCATAATAAGCCTAAGCCGAGTCGTGAGATTGATTGGTTCGATTGATAGGTAGTATTACTTAATGTTAGATTACCTAGTACAAAATTATTGGGAACATTGGTGACCCCCACTAAGATCTTGCATTATTTAGCGCCATCTCGGGAGCCTAGCTGCCCAGCCAGCTCCCTTGTAGCTGCCTTGTAAGCATATTGTAAGCCATGAGCCAGCATCCAAGGCAGGCACCTCCTAGGTATTAGAGACGTATTAGACTCCTGGAATTCCACTAGTACGGTACTCCCAGCGATCGTAGGAATTTTATCATTTTACAACATGAACTATCATCCCTCAATCCTACAATCCACACTGATACACAGCATATCGAAAAAGCGCACTAGCCAATCCCAAGTCTATGATCTCATCAAATGGTTATATGTTTGACAAACCGGCAATGTCAAATCAACTGCTCACAATGGCTGTAGCCTGCGATATAAATTCGGAAGTCCGAAGTAAACATGGATCGCCACAATTTTACCTCTGACTACTTGCAGAAGCTATTTCTATTAAGAACCCACCGTATCGGTTACGCCAAACTCACCCTTTGCAGATTTCATAAGTAAACTTTATAATCGCCGCGACACGTTATGTTAGTCGACTACAATCTTAGTTGTATATACGCGTTGATAAACTTACTATAAGGCCTGGTACTCGCTATGGCCTACGATTACGCCCTCGTGTAAGTACCACAGGAAGCATTTACAAACGAGCATTTCTCTTTATGAGAACATTGAATTAACCCATTGAGCAGACATCTTAAGTACACTATACCCCCGGCTTGTCTTCTCACTTTCATTTTGAAGCCGCTTCTTACAAAACTTGACTTGTATAAAACATTTACGCTGATACTAATTGCTTTCTTTGCGACGCTCCCCTGGGATTCATATCTAATACGTAATGGCATTTGGACATACCCCCCTGACGCGATAGCCGGGCCGCGTCTCTTCGAGATCCCAGCCGAAGAGTTATTCTTCTTCGTCATACAGACTTATATCACGTCGATGCTATACATCTTGCTCAGCAAGCCTGTTCTCCACGCTCAATTCCTTACGAGTAAGGATGACTCTTCACTCAAGTCCCGACGAATACGAACAGCGGGCCAAGTTCTCTTGATAGGATGTGTCATCGCTGGCATCTCACTTGTCAAAAATGGGGGCCAGGGGACATATCTTGGCCTCATCTTAATATGGGCCTGCCCCGTCGCACTTCTTACATGGTCATTTTCAGGCCACTTTTTGATTAGACTACCTCCTGCCTGCGTTGTAGTTCCAATCGTCTTACCCACCGTGTACTTGTGGATTGTAGACGAGCTTGCCCTAGGGCGTGGAACATGGGCTATTGAGTCCGGAACAAAGTTCGGCTGGCGCCTATGGGGAAGCTTAGAACTGGAAGAAGCCGTGTTTTTCCTCTTTACCAATGTCTTAATTGTGTTTGGCCTAATCGCCTTCGATAGGGGACTGGCGGTTCTATACGCTTTCCCGGAACTATTCCCCGTTGTACCATATATGCCTCCTCCAAGTCTCCTCGCCAAAGCCGTCCTGCTTGATCCTATAAAATATGACATGGTACGGGTAAAGGGTATCAGAGAGGCCGTCCAGACACTGCGGCAAAAGAGCAGGAGCTTCTACTTGGCTAGCTCGGTTTTCCCTGGACGTCTTCGCATCGATCTCGTTCTTCTGTAAGTAAGCACTGCGCCATATCTTGTCCTCCTGTATTAATTCTTTCTAGATACTCCTTTTGTAGAGTAGCAGATGACCTGGTAGACGAAGCCCATGGGGAGAGCGAAGCCACACTATGGATTAAAAAGCTGACCAACTACCTTGATCACGTTTACGGTTCGGATAGCCAACCCCCATCTTCGATTGGTACTATTAATGATTTTGTGGGGGAAAACTTCCCGGAGTCAGCAAGGTCTGCGCTGATACTCTTACCAACAAAGCTTCTCCCAAGCAAGCCATTTTATGAGCTCTTGGAAGGATTCAAAATGGACCTCTCCTTTGGCGGGACTGACATTCGTCAACGAACTAGACAGTTTCCTATTCAAGACGAAGGGGACCTCGAACTTTACGCGCACCGTGTCGCGAGTACTGTCGGGGAATTATGTCTAAGGCTCGTATTCCATCACAGCACCGCGAAACTTCCAAGCGACAAGGAATCCATTCTTGTACTTGCTGCTCAAACGATGGGACACGCATTGCAATACGTCAATATTGCTCGCGATATCTTAGTGGACGCCGAAATTGGCCGGGTCTACCTGCCCTCAGATTGGCTCAAGCAGGAGGATTTGACACCTCAGGATGTTATCAAAGACCCAAGACAGCCAAAAGTGGAAATTCTCAGACAGAAGTTACTTGATTGCTCGTTTAAGCAGTATGGGCGATCACGAGATACCATGGACATACTTCCCCACGACGTTCGCGGTCCTTTGATCGTAGCTGTTGAGAGCTACATGGAAATAGGCCGGGTTTTACGAGAAAGAACTGGCGTCCCTTCGAAAACTCGTAAGGGGCGGGCAACGGTTCCTCGATCAAGACGGATACGGGTTGCATGGAAGAATCTTTCTACTGCATGACCATTATTTCGTTTTATTTTTCGGATTTTAGCTATATGTTTCTCTTTAATTGGTAATCGGGCATGAGGAGCGATCTATCATTTAGGTTGGATGGTATTACGATGATGTGTACCTATATGTAGAATAATAGCGTAGATATGTGCTATCCCCTCTTCTGAATTCTGGCTTTCGGTGTTGGGATACTACTCATTGTGTTGGAAGCTATAGGTATATTTCACAATTTCTGCGACAAGTTTATGAGATATTCAAAGTTAAGTTGTAATCTCCTTGCTGATTATTCGTATTAAATAAATACTATCAACACTATCTGATGTCTGCCTACCTAAATAACAAAGTTACTATCCGTTCATACTAGCCGGACTCATCAAAGTTTCCATCCTAGGTATCTCACCGACTTGCGCCGAAACCCAAAACTTCACAAGACAGGTTGTACGAAACAGGTACCTAAAGTAACAGCGGATTTATCGATTACGCTAGGAAATGTCTCTCGCCGTCTAATGATGAATCATTATGTCGAGCACAACGTTCTTTACGGAATATACATAAGCGACTCGGTGCAATTTTTTCTTAGCGCGGCCAGCATTCCCCTGGACGATGCGAACCATAACGATAACGGATTGAGATCGCGGGCTGTGCTACGCCTCTTTGTCGCGAGATTGCCGAGCGGATACCTACCTAGTCTGGATGCACCATCTGTCCCGGGATGTTGGGTTGGGTTGGGTTGTTATGTCGAATCGCTGGTTGGAGTTTGGCTGGGAGACGACGTGTGATACCTATTTCATTACATTTTGTCTCGGAAGAATCGCATGAGTGAATCGTTTACGTCTATATACTATTCTAACATCTTTGTCATGGTCGTATCTGAACTAAAATTGTGCTACTTCAAGCTTTGGGTACCGCATATTTGGCTTATTTCTGGCTGCAATTTAAGGAATTTGTTGGCATATCGTCCGAAGTACCTAACTCTGATACTGTCTGTCGGTCTATCACTGTATATATTAATTACCTAGGTACTTAGCTGGTTGAACATCGCGCCGAACAGGAGATGTCTAAAATAAGTAGAAAGAAAGCGATTGTTGTTGGTTAGTACACTGCATATCTCATACGACCACCTCACTAACGTATTCCTAGGAGCCGGTGCCGGTGGCATCGCGACAGCAGCCCGGTTAGCGAAAGCCGGGTTTTCTGTAACTGTACTAGAGAAGAACTCATTCACCGGCGGGAGGTGCAGCCTGATATTCCACGAGGGACATCGCTTCGACCAGGGGCCGTCTCTCTTGCTGCTTCCTAAGCTCTTCCAGGAGGCGTTCCGTGACCTGGACACGTCACTCGAGGCCGAGGATGTGGAGCTACTTCGCTGCCCAACCAACTACAAGGTATGGTTCGAGGACGGCGAGAGCTTCGAATTGTCAACGGACCTCGCGCGCATGAAGACCCAGATCGAGCGCTGGGAGGGTAAGGATGGATTCCACAGGTATCTCGACTGGCTGCGTGAGGCTCATCAGCACTACGAACTGAGCGTTAGCGAGGTGTTGCACAGGAACTTCACGAGTTTCTGGAATTTGATAGTCCCGCACTTTGTGCTCACGGGGTTGAAGCTGCACCCCCTACATAAAGTCTGGGACCGCGCGCGCAAGTATTTCTGGTCCGAGAGGCTAAGGCGTGTCTTCACATTTGCTACTATGTACATGGGCATGTCGCCCTTCGATGCCCCGGCCACGTACTCGCTGCTTCAGTACACGGAGCTTGCCGAGGGTATCTGGTACCCGCGCGGAGGCTTCCATGCCGTACTAGCGGCTCTCGTGAGGGTTGGCGAGAGGTTGGGGGTTGAGTATCGACTTAACACGCCCGTCCAGCAAGTCCTCGTGAGCTCCGACGGAAAAACGGCGCGAGGAGTACAGTTAGAAACAGGCGAGATTCTAGAGGCGGATGTAGTTGTCGTGAACGCTGATCTCGTCTACGCTTACTCGAATTTATTCCCGCAGACGCCGAGTATGCAGAGCTACGGCAAGTCTTTGAGGAAGAAAGACGGCTCGTGTAGCTCGATATCGTTCTACTGGAGTCTAGACCGGATCGTCCCGGAACTACAAACACATAATATATTCCTCGCGGACGAGTACCGGGAATCGTTCGACGCTATCTTTGACCGGCAGTCGTTACCCGAAGAACCCAGTTTCTATGTCAATGTGCCTAGTCGGATCGACTCCAGTGCGGCCCCGGAGGGTCGAGACTCGGTAGTTGTACTCGTCCCCGTCGGTCATCTACCGGAGTCGAAAGGCTTCGCGGAACCGAAGAGCGCGGGTTTGCCACGAGATCAGGACTGGGAAGCACTAGTGGGCCGGGCGCGGCGAGCCGTCCTGTCGACAGTATCCGCGCGCACGGGATGCGAGTCTCTCGACAAGTTCATCACGCACGAAATCATCAACGACCCAGCCGCATGGGAAGACAAGTTCAACCTAGATAAGGGGTCAATCCTAGGTTTAGGTCACGGATTCTTCAACGTGCTAGCGTTCCGGCCGGGTACACGCGCCAATGGGCTGGCAAATGCGTACTTCGTAGGCGCCAGCACGCACCCCGGCACCGGAGTCCCGATCGCGTTGGCCGGTGCTAAGATCACGGCCGAGCAGATCCTAGACGACTTCCGAGTGAGGGTACCGTGGCGTGGAAATGCGGCTACGGATATGGATAATGACCGGGGTGTTCTGCAGAACGAGAAGACGAATCCGCTGGATAGAATACAGCCGGGTAGTCTACGATTCTCGGTAGTGCAGATGGTACTGTATTTCTATGTTTTGGCGTCGATGGTGTGGATATTGTGGTATTGGTATCCCATAAGGGGGGTCTTATCTTAACACCATCGGGTGTGTAAGCGCTTGTGTTAAGGGGTTTTAATACTCTGTAGCTTATTGTTGGCAACTAATTTTATAAAACTTCGCCTATTAGAAAAGCTTTAGCTACCCTACCTACCTGATATTCTATCCACCTTTTACGGTGTGTTCGGAATTGACCTTACATTACAAGCTGTTTTAAGGCCTTCAATATCTTGTCTGCCACGACGTCTAACAAATGTAGGTGCTTAATGTTGAAGACCATGCCTTATGCCATATCTTACTAGTTACCTGACGAGTCATCATTGGAATTGCCACTATTGGTTTCTTCTTCGGCGTCAGCAAGACAGGTGTCGTCGGTTAGCAGGTCGTTGTCTTCTTGTAGCAGGATAGATCGCCAGATATGATTGTGCTCGACAATGTGGTTGATGTAGCCGTCAAAGGTAACCTTAGAGCTGGGAGGCGAGACGAGTGATCGCAGACCCGTGTCGAGGCTCTGGTAAACCTGTCTCATATGCCGCATTTCATCCATCATTCCGAAATCTCGACAGCGCAGCAAGCCCCATCGCCCAGTTATAGACGGATACGTTCCGAAGGCAGTCTTCCTTCGTGTAACGACAGTTGCGGATCCGTTCCCACGCCTCCCCCCCTATGATAGGTGCCATTGCCATTGCCATTGCCATGTCTCGAGTATCATCCGCTTTTATAAAGGAAGCAGAAATGGCGTCGCTATAATAAATCAACTACCAATCACCATAAACTAGATGCTCTTGATACTTACCAAACTTCAATGTGAGCACGTACGTCGGCGCTTAGTCGATCTATGCGAGTATCGAAGTGATCAAAACGAGCATTCATCTGATCCAGACGAGTGCTAAAGTGCTGCATATTGTCTTGTAGCCTCTGGAGAATACGCACGATATTGCCATATCTTACTGCGGTCAAGTGGACGAGTTGCGACATTTTGATCGATATTGAAACTAGGACGAGTGTTACGGTAGGGTTTTACAAGAGACTGTGAAAGGAGGCATCTTCTAATAGGATCATCTGAGCTTATCCTAGCAGTTCCAAGCTACATGAAGAAGTTGCAAGTAGGAGCCTCATTTGAGCGTTACATAGGAAAGGGGGTGAGCTGCAACAAGGTGGTTGCGTTTCTACATAAGATATAGCACGTATAGCAGTAGCATTGTCTCTTAAGTAGTGTATAAGGTAAGGAAAGCGGAGAGTGGCTAAGCTGACTTGAATTGTTACGATTTACAAGGCAGCTACTAAGGGCTATGGTATTTTCATGCCAACTACTTAAACCTAACTTATGTTGCTTATCTCGGGATCCCGGCGGAAGGCGTGAATGCGGATGAGGAGGCCTTCCGGGCGCCGGCACAAAAGCGCGGGCGGCAGTTGTGGGACATACCCGATATATACCTAGGTACCTACCTACCTATAAATCAAGTTATACCTGGCAAGCTGTTAGTACCACAACCATCTCCATCGTAGCACAGCCATCACACCGAGCATCATCTAGCCGACTGCCACACACAACTGTCGAATGGGATCTTCCCGGTAATCCATCTAGTTTTGGAGTCGTGCCTAATTGGTGACTTACCCCTTGCTTCTTTGACGCTCTAGTTTCCATTGGCTCTGCTGTACATTAAACCCGCCCGGCACCCGGCAGATCGTACGAGCCCTAGAAAAAGAGCAAAATTACTTAGGGCATACAATATCTCGTCATATCGGGTCTATGTTGGGCTCTTCTATATAAAGTATCTCTTATGGTTCATCGATATATACCTAGGTACCTAACCTATATATATGACATGGTTACAATATTAGGTAGAATCCCATTATATCTTCCGACGCAATCTTCGTTGATCTTCGTCTTCATCCAATCATTCTATATCACGGCTCGGCTGCGTACGGCTTAACCTCATTAGTAAATTGATATCCGGCTCGTTCAAAACTCCCCTTACTCCCGCGCCCGGCTTCTACTCCTCTCTCGACTGCGACTTCCGTCCCTGTGCTTGTGGTCTTTAACAACAAGCAATCCTTCGCTTCTCTCTTTCTCCCTCCTCCTGTCTCCATCCTTCTCCCTCTCTTTTTCCTTTCGTCTATGTCTTTCCTCTCGCTCCCTCTCCTTCTCGCTTTCGCGGTCCATCTCACGTTCTCTCTCCCTAATCCTCTCTTCTTTCTCTCGATCCGATCGCTTGATCTCCCTCACAGCCTCAACTTTCTCGAAGCTCTTCACATCGTCGGGCATGCGAGTGACAACTAGCTGCTGGCAGAATGACCCCCAGCCGCCGCTAGTCCCCTCCTTTACGGCATCGGCTAGCTCTTCACCGTAGCGCTCGCGATAGGCCTTCTTAATAGCTGCCATATGGTGGCGGTCCCAATGGAAACGAACGAGGCGAGAGATGAGGAGTTCTCGACGTAGTTGATCCTTCCTGGAAGCGGTGAGGGCGTGATGGAGGAGGAGTGCGTCGCGGACAGGCTTATTAATAATTCCATTGAGGATATGAGCTAGGAGCTCGCCCTATATTGATTTGTTTAGCAGCGTATCTCCAACCGGGGTTTGGAAACCTAAGTACTTACCACAAGATTTCCGCTCTTCTTTAACGCGTCCCGAGCGAAATTACCACCGACAACCTTTTCATAGAGCCTGAGGACTTCTCTCAAGTGGTTATCGCTTCTTGAGACAACTATTTGGATCATGGCGGATTCTCCACCTCTGTCGCTGCGAACGGCTTTATACAAAGCTTCAACGTCATCCTGCACCATTTCGTGATGGATGGGAAGCCGCCGTCCGTACTCATCTACATCCTCCATCCGCTTTTCTTCTAGTGCTGTGAGTACCGCACGCTTAAACTTATCCTCCTTCAGCTCGGTTTTCATACACAGCGTTAGTGAGTCTCTATATTTCTTATCCGAGAAAGCCTCCTTAATCTTTGCGATCTCGTAGTTAGAGCGCCCCATCAGACTCTCAATTAACAACTCGCGTCGCGTCTTATCACCGTGGTACCAGAAGTTGGCCCAGTACGCCTCCGACTCCCATTTCCCGAGCGCGACAGTGTAGCATGCCTTCATGAGGATAGGTTCCTCATCCTTTAGGCGAACGCGTATATGCTTAGCAACGTTAACACCCTTGCGTTCTGGACCGGTCTTGACGAGCCGCTTGTACTCGACACGCAGCTCCATAATCTGCTCATGCGTCATTCCAGGTAAAATTTCAATTAGTGGCTCTGTATCGGGAGGTAGGTGATCACCCCTGAGAGCTTTAGCTAGGCGTGCCGCGTCGTCAACAGGGTCGTGGAAACGGGCGCGACGACGCTTCTTCTCGTTGCCTTCATCAGAAAGACCCGGCGAGAGAGGTTCAATTAGGTCCGAGTTTCTTCTGGGGTCATCCGAAGCAAGGAGCAGCGGCGATGGCATCGGGGACATGGACTGGTAAGTGCCATAGTAAGACTCCAATAGTGGCGATGGCGGCGCGCTTGATAGAGAGAGTGAAGCAGCATGGTGCCCTGTATTAACAGTCAACGTAGACATCCGCCCAGTCGAGTGATCTCTACGATTACCCAAGCCGGGTTCAGCAGCAATAATTCTCGTACTCGAAGACCTAATGTCTAGTCCATAAGAATCACGCTGGCGTTGTTTATCCGGCCTGTCTGAAACCGGTGGCGTATACACCGCGTCTGCGCGAGGATATCTGAACTTGTCTCCCGACCTGTCCTCTTCCCACCGACCGGGCCCAGAATAGCCGGTACCACCAGAAGGTGATGGAGAATGGCCGCCAGAGTATTTGGTAATTGCCGGGTGAGACACGATACTACCATAGGCCAAGTCATCTTCTAATTTTTCTTTCTTGAGTTCCTTTCTCCGCTCTTTTTCGCTATCTGACTCGCGCAACCTATTCGAGTATTTCGCCGGAAGTAAGGTATCGGCGCTTCGTCGCAGTGCATCCTGAGCGACTTCTACTATATCCTTGTCGCCCTTGGACACGCGCTCTTCGCTTCGCCTTGGATAGCGGCGGTCATCTTCCGAGGTGATAGAGTCGCGGCTAGCGCGGTAATAACTGGACTCGTCTGTAGGTGAAGCTGGGCGGTACGAGCGGCGAGGTGCCGTGTCATCGTAGCTGTACCCAGCAGGTGGAGAGGGCATGCGCACTGCATCAAGCAGAGACGGGGAACTTTGGCGGGCGCGACGGCGGTCATAACCTTCATTAGCGCGTGCTGGAGAGGGCGTACGACCGCGCCGTGCGCTATCGCCGACGTTTAAAGACATGTCGGGCAGACGCAGATGGCGGATAGACGCGCGTGCGACTTAAACAGGCGGAATCCCCCGAAGCGTTCCCGTTGTTAGGTTGTTATGGGATTGCGGGGTATCTGTCACCGAATAGTGGCCTAAAGTTGAGGTCGGTCTTGGCCCAAGCTGAGTTTATTATGTTTTAGTGAAACCTAAGATTTAATTTGTCTAACTTTAGGTTGGGTTTGATAGAAGTCTATTGTGAAAGAGAAAAGGACAAGGAAAGAAGGAGAGAAGGAAAGCTGAGACAAAGCTATTGTTTAATATCCCTAGGACCTAACCTAGGTACCTACCTAACCTAGTGAGAAAAGGAATGTGCGAGGTGCATGAGTGCCTTGCTTGTCTGGCTTGTCTGGCCTGTCTGGCCTGTCCGTCTGCGTAGAGAAGGCGTGGTGTACCTGCCTCGAAAAAGAAGTTGTTAGTACTCCGCCCGTACATATGCAGCTTAGCATTAGCTACATGATACCTTGTAGTACAAAGAAAACGTTCATCCCATGAGATGCTTCCAAGTTCAAAAACACGAGCATAGGTGCAGCCCTAAACCAGCCTAGACCCAACAGCCTTTAACCCTCCCAACCCTCCAACGGCTAGCTGCTGTCGCTAAGCTGCGAAGTCCAGGAAGACCCATCCCATATTACCATGTTGGGGGCCAAGCTGCTGTGTACCTAGGTACCTGGTAGTAGAAAATTAAGATCCAATAAGCAGTCGCGAAGTTGTCAACAACCCGCAATAAAATGGTCTCGTGTGTTATTCTTGACCGGAATCATTCTACGTATGGCTATATATTATGCGCTTCATCCTCGATCGCAGCATCACTACAGCTTCGCGTATATGTGCGTGCTTAAGTATGTCTATGGCTCTATGCATGTATGTACGTTGGTTAATGTGGGCATATGTAGGTAGGTACCTAAGCTATATCACAGCATTACATACAGCAAAGCAATGCTAAAGTATGAGTAGGATCAAGGATGTCGAAATGGCGGTCTCAGCCCTTCGGTTGACTTATCCAATAAGCGCCGTGGGCTTTCGAACTGTAACCTATCGCGTGGCGATCTGAATTATATACATAGGTAGTATAGCTGACCTCAGCTTCTGTAATGTTGCAAAGTGTTTGCGGCGATCGCGTGTCAACTTTGCAGCCTGAGGCTGTGGACGAGTAGCACAGAAGCAGAGGAGAAATGTTCACCTTGAACCACTTATCGTTAGAAAGGTAGTAATTGTACGGTATATGTCGTGGATCGACGCATGCTTCAGCTGCATTAATGCATTCGGGGAGACGTCAACTCCCCAATCAAAAATCTTCCTATGCAACACTACCGACTTGGTGCCTGCGCTTCTTACTGGTGGCGTTTCTAGATCATGATATCCGGCATTCTTATAGTATCGCCGAGAATGCCAATTGGGCAGCCTCACGCTTGCGTGCAGGTATCCGCACGAACCGCTCCGACGATGAAGATGGCGAAGTATCCATCTGTCATGTAGAACAAGTTCCATAGGAATTATGCATGCGTACAAATCGGTATTTAAAATCAAGATGAGTCGCATGAGTCGCATGTCGATGGGCCATGATGGTCAATTTCTTACCTATTCTGTACCTTTACACATGCTATTCAACGGGTCCGTGGGACAATTCTGACTACGTGTATTACCATCTGGTCTAAACCCAGGCCTTTCAAGTCACCGGGACCAATTTGGAGATTCACTGACGACGTGCAGACTTAGTAAGAACAACATCGTAGGTGGAGGTACAATGAGACATGGTGTTACGGCTGGTCAATGGTTCTAGACTCTTGCCCATTTCATGGTGTGACGAAGCTCATTGCGTGGATTTCTCTTCTCAATTGATAAATCTACTTCATCTATACCGAATTCTGGCTATTCTCGTAGGTATTTGTACAGTGTCCGTATCCTTTAAGACGGCTTAAATGACCATCTGGGTGTTGTCTGCTGCATGGCCGAGTTTTTCGAACACTCCTCGGTACCCGAACTTTGCCAGCTCGTATTATTCACGCCCGACGTGACTCAATTCGATAGTGCATCGTCGCAGTGACATCGTAGTCAGTTTCCTTGATGAAACAAGTCTCAATACCCTAGAGCATGCCAGCTCAGATTCCTGGACGCCAAGACCCGGTTATGGTATCATAAAATAAAATAAAAGTAACCCCCCCTGACCCTCGTATCTTTTGACTTTTATCATCGGCAGTGTTATGACTTGACTCCGTCGTCGGAGTAGACCGGCATATATGCAGCTGGCATGTGAATCTGTATTGAAGATTGTTCATGGGATGCCTTTTCTTTATCGTCAAGACGGATCCCCCCCTTCTTGAATGTCCGGAGAGCGCAAACCCTATACCAAAGTTAGTTACGGAGGTAAACAAATGTCTAGATGCGAGTGAGCTATACCTGTGTCGAAGCGCCCTCGACAAGATAGCCATGAGGATCATGACAGTGGCGGCGACGGGAAGTACAAGCACCATTGTGTCTGCGGCCTTACGCACGCAACGGAAACGCAAGACTTTGTCTTGAGACACATAGGGAAGATACGTCCACGACTCACGCTCCGCCTTAGTTTCAAGCTCCACAATGGTTTCCTGCGGCTCGGCTTCCATCATGTTTCCGCGAGTCTCCTCTCTTATGATGCTTGACTCGGGGAACGGCGATTGCTTCTTCGGGCGGGTTAATGATGTAAGAAATGCGAGAACGTGAGGAGTCTCCCAGGATTTAGCCCCGGCAAGGTTTTCTGGTAATTGGACGCGTTGGCCATCTTCTGCGACGACGACGTTGTTGTGTTTCTCAATTGATATTCGTGAGGGTGTAATGGTGGAAAGGAAGAGGACTGTTCTCGATAGAAACCCCGTCTGTTTTGTTGTCTGCTGCGTCTGGGTTGATGCGATGACATTCGGGGTCTTCTCAAGCGTAGCTACCGGTGCTGCGAGAGCCCAGGTTGCGAAAGCGCAGACAAATAATGCAGGTGTAGATCCTTTCATGGTGGATTGTTGATTTGATTTTCCTTATCTTAAGATGAATTGAATATGTATGTTGAAGCTTTCGATCTACACGTAAAAGTCAACAAGTGTAAATAGCGAGAAATGCGAAAGAATAAATATTCCAGAAAAAAAAATGACCTAAAACATGAACGAAACAGTATTCAAGGATAATATACCTTCTTCGTCTGAGCAACTACTGCGACAACGTCGTCGATGTGGTAGCAGTGATGAAATCGTCGCAATTCTGTAGGGGTAGGGTAATACGTCGGCGGGTAGGTGGATAGCTGAAGCTACAGGTAGGTTTGGGGTTTTTCTTGGCGACCAGGTTGCTGACGGCAGAGGGTCTCAAATATGTAAGGGACGCCGAGCTAGAATGAAGAGATTTGTAGCACGTCGTTTTATCTGGTAGTGGGGTGACTTGAAGTGATGGGAGGATATACGAATTGACCACGCGCTTTAGATCCAAGGTTTATTGAACGCTTGACAGGTTTGGTGGTCACACGCCGGCAACTCGGACGTAAATTCAATAGAAAAGAGAAATGGAGGTTTGGCCTTTCTTTTGTACGGAAGTGACACAACACCCGATGGGGTTTTTTTCTGGAGCGACGCAGGACCAGTTACCAGTTACCAGCTAGTGGCCTGAAAGAGATCCATGCCTATTAGAGGTGTGGGAGTTGGGGTTTAGCGACTAATACGGTAGATCAATTTATTAATATGCGGTTAAAGCTGCTCGTCCGCACTTCCACACTTTCCCCCCTTGTATAGGTACCGTGTTCGGTATATTAGAGCATCTCGACGTTCCATGTCTTCGGTACAGGGTTCTGCGAGCATGGGCAAGTTTGTTAGCATGTCGCACCAAATCGCCTTTGGTATTAGTTTTCCATAACTAACTGTAACTGTAACTGCAAACATGTAACAGGTGAGCTTCTATAATAGATCTTTGCGTTTGAATTCTTTTGTTTCTTGAGATCAATGATCATTGATCAACGCTAGGATGATAAATCGATAATTAGTTATGACGGCAGAGGAAGACTGCGCCTCGCTAAACCTTTCCCAAACACACAGCACAGACACATCCCGCGTCATATCCGTAGCTACCGATGTATTCATCGGTCTTACTAAAAAGCCACGATAGGATTCGGAAAATCAAGAAGATCAACGCATCCAACATAAAAGTTTACCTAACATCCATCTACGGAGGCACAGCAAGCTGCATAGCCTATTTCCCAAGAGATCCACCCGTCCACGCCTTATGTGCTTTAAGCTACCCCCCCTGAGCCAATGACCTTTGAGCGGCAACCGAATCTGGTAAAAGTCAGGTGGGGACACATAAGGGTCGATTTAAGTATCCATGTACGGATCCGTACCTACTGAGGGGAGGCTGGATTCCATTTATAACCACGTCTAGACCCTCGGCATTGTGAAAAAGATATCGGCTTTTTTTTACTATGGTAGCTAACTAAATGAATGAGGCTTCAATCTGATAATACTCTCTCATACGGGCTCCTGTATACCTATCTCTTACGCAAGTAGGACGACAGGTAGGACAGCAGATATATTTTGCTTGATGCCACACATGCACCTAGCATGTGGACATTTGTGTATCCTCTATCTTATTCTATTCTACTACATGTGATAGGGTATAGAAACCAACAAACGCCAGCAAAATACCTCAAGTAATATAAATTTCTTGGATGCCTAAACGTAGGCTCAAAACATGTTGTACAAACATCGGAACTCGGGTTGATAGTCCTATGTAGTCCTAGTATCCTTGTTTAGCATCGAGCCCCGAGCGAATCTAAAAAGATGATCACCTGAACGCGACATGTCAGATCACTAAGAAAGATCAAGTTAAGCGCAGTATGCTTCGCGGAGACATCCGCTTTTTACTAGTACAGGGCATGTTTTAGCACCATACGATATATCTATCAGGTTTGAGGGCTAGATGTCTCGTATCGTGTAATTAGAGTTTATAGTAGCTTAAGTAGCTTAAGTACGATAGCCGTGTCGGTTCCCTCATCCTTTAAGACAGCTGAGAGCTAAGGACTAGATTGGAAGGTGCAGCGCGAACTATAAGGGGTAGCTTAGATCTACATAGCCAGCTGCTAAAATCTACAGGACCCAGCCCTACGCTAGATTTTCTATCATAGGCATGATAACATTGTTAGTAACAGCTTATTTTTTTTCTTGTTCTCCTTCTCATTCACGTGGATAAGCAACTTATAAAGAGAAACGTTAGATTAGCGTCAGCTTAAAATCCTAGGAAATATCCATCCCATAGTGGGAAAGTCAAAGGTTGGGAGAAACCAATGTGTTTGTTGGTGGCAGACTGCTTTCTACATAACGGGTCTCGGCATTGCATTGCCGGTGATTATTTAGTTGTGGTTAGTTATGTATTAGGTAGCTACTGGTCAGATGGTCCGTGCACGATATTCCACCAAGAATCAGCTTATCCGGGGTCGCAAACTGCTTATCCATCCTTCCCACAAGCCTGATCATCATCCTTCGCAGCATGTATACTATCGCGAGGCTGTAGAACAGCCCGCTCCGTAGCCTCGGAATCAAACATTACCCCATCAATTGGCCGCGGGCATAGTTAGAGATGTCTCATCCTTCCGATCCAGACTCGTCTACCACAACAGAGGTACCAAGGCGCGAACGGGATGGACCTCAACCTGGGTTAACACGCGCCGCCACTTTACCTATCGAGTTCCATTCGCAACGGACTGATCGTTCCCACCTAGCTCCCGAGGACGCTTTCAATGCAGTACGACCCTCGCGACGACAATCAGGCTTCGAGCCCAACGGAATCAACGAGAGCCGCCCCGAGTCGCGGTCGCGGAAGATGAGTTCCAAGCTCGGGAGTAGGAGCAGGAGTAGGCGGCGGAGACGCACTTGGAAGAAATTATTATGGGTCAAGCAGTCTTGTATGGAATTGCCCTTCGCTTCGGTTGACGACACCCCATTGCGCCGTTGTTAACAGCTATCTCCAGACCCAGATAACTACACGGACCAGGCCACGTTCCTGGAAAACCTGCAGCGGAACCCGCGTCTCCAGCCCTATGAATTCTGGCCCCTCGTCGCCGACTCGACCGTCATCCTGCAGCAAGTATGCTCCGTCATCATATTCGTCGTCTGCTTCGTCGGAATATTTCAAGAGCGCGTATCTCCCGTCGCCGTCGTAGGTTGGGGTAGTTTTGCGACATTCGTGGGGTGGTTATTATGGGACTTCTGGGTAGGCCAGGAAGACGAGGACGAAGTACTGCAGCGGCGCCGCAGCAATCGCAGCCGGTCGATACGGGAGCCTAGTAGGAGAGGCCGCGCCGTTGCCGCAGGGGGAATTAGCCAGTCCGCCGCGAGCTCGGTGACGAATTTGGCGGTCACAGAGCGGTACTCCCAGGGGAACCTAATCGCTATGCGGCAATCTCATTCCACTTCTGCCATTTCCCTTCAGTCCAGCATGTCCCAAGCAAGTAATGTAGGCCGGAGATCCTCCGAGTCCATTGACATGCCGAGCCATCGTCCCTCGTCTCCTCTTCGGAACGGGAGAGCCAACCTTCGCCTTAGTACCGTCAAATCCGCTATCCTCATATACTTTACCCTTTTAGGTTTATCGCCTATTTTGAAATCTCTTACTCGGTCTACGTCATCTGACAGTATTTGGGCTATGTCTTTTTGGCTCTTGACGATTAACATATTCTTCTCTGATTACTCGTCAGGCCCTGTGAAGTTCCCGGCCTCCCTATCGACTAACGCAGCACTGATGGCGTCTACGGTGCTAGCATCTCGCCTACCTTCTACCGGGCAGGTCTTCAGCCTCACATTGTTCAGTATCGAGGTGTTTGGTTTGTTTCCCGTCTTTAGACGCTACGCTAGACATCGGAGCTGGAAGTATCACGTTACGCTCTCCATACTACTTGTGATTGGAGCGGGAGGTGGAGTCGGCCTAATAGTAGGTGAAGAAAAGGATGTCGTGTGGCCGTGGAGAAGTGGGCTCCTGGGTGTCATGGTAGCAGCTAGCATCGCTGTCGTTGCCATGGGCGGGTGCAGTTGGTGGCTCATTGGGCTTCAGAAGTATAAAAATGCCATCAATGGTCCTTGGGATCAAGCAAGGCCGATCATTATTAGTCGGCGGCTTTGGGATGACGAATAGGATAAAAATGAATGATTTCATGATCGAATCGCTAAACGCTCACTTTCGGAAGACTTTAAGCTACGTGAATGTGTAATAGGTAGACTAACAAGTAGGTATTTTTACTATCGCTAAGTACCTAATTGACGCGGCGGAAGGATATGCTTCTAATTAACTAACAGTAGGTATAGTCCTCTAGCTCTAGTTATTGGCAATAAGAACTTGTAGGACTTTTCCTCCCCTTTACGAAGTATGGTTACTATATGGTTACTATAAGTCTAAGCCCATGGGTTAGGTATTATGGCTCTGCGCCCTTAGGGTGGCCCCGAAGGGTCCCGAAGGGTTAGGTTAGGTGGAATAATACTCCGCGTGGGACATCGGGATCGTAATAGGACAACCCGCGCTGCCGGAGTAAGACGAATGCGCCAACCCTTATCAGATCTTGTTCGTGGTGCTACACACCTATTCACGCAGTATCTACCTCATATATGTAAATGTATTTAACTTGAATGATATTTTTCTTAGTATTATGTTAGTTCTCGAAAGATTTGTTAGAGAATAAAAGGGATTAATGAAGCCATTAGCAGCTTCTTCCCCCCCGCCCATTCAGACATAGTAATGTAATCCTCCCCCATAATAGTTTAGTTCGTAACAATTTGTTCCCGAAGATCTGATATCTTTACTTCCCGCTGCCGCTTGCCGCCTGCCGCCTCCCATATCCGATCCCAGTTCTTCAGCTGTTCACCCATCCGCCTCTCGGATGACATGCCCATTGCGACTTGTTCGTGGGGCTGTCTTTCTGTTACGAACCGGAGGAGAGTGGATGGTTCGGATTGGCCTGATTTGTCGCTGATTGGCTGCACGGCTTTCAGGGTGTTGGAAGAACTACCAAGTGTGCTGGTGCTGGTGCTGCGAATGCTCATGAGCCACTATGCTGTAGGGGCTTATATTTCAATATAGCGCTTACCTGTTCTTGTCCATGATTGCCGGTCGTTCGGGGTCCAAATCCACTATGAGTTTTATTTATGGTAAAAACGTTTTTAGCTTTAGTAAAGACTTAGGAATTAATACTTAGATTAATATCTTTAATGTTGAGATCTGCGGATGTTGTCTACCAGAGGAGTTTCTCGCTGGAAAGGGTGGGAATGGCTCCCCTTTTTATATCGACGTTCATACGAGTCGGGTTTAGAAGAGACGACAGTCCATGAGCTGGTAAAAAACAAACACACATAACAACCCTTAACCGGGGAGTCATCAGAGTCCCAAGAATCATAGATGCCTACATGACCAGGTCTTGTGTCCCTTCCAAGCGTTCCCTCAAGGGCTCTGCCTTGCCACCTAATGCGGCATCTGCTCCCTGCTAATAGCCTGTACATAAGGAAGGGTACTGACGCATCCGTGAAGCAGTAGTCCTTGAGAGCCTCAAGTACTTAGCGTGTTTGTGTTAGTTCAGCTAGGTTAGCGGAATTCAGGTCTTGGTGTAACTGGTTTGCCTGAAACACCCCTGAAAATGTGTAAGTGAAGCCTGCTGCACTTATACATCAGACGGGAAGGTAAATTGACAATCGCATAGGACTTCAGCAGCATTAACAGAAAACTATACTAATACGGAATAAATAGATCTACTAACTGAAGCATCTAGTATAATTACGAGATTCAGGACAAACTCCTTGTTGGCGTATTTCCGGTATTGGCAGGTGAAAATCTGACGAATTAATGGTCACACCGCCTCTTTTTCTCTTGATACTTCAATCAATTGCTCGAAAGTGTGGTTTCAAAGAACCTTGTGGCGATTATTTATCACGCATTTAGGGAGGACACCTTCATAGCAGATCGCAAATAGCCATATGGCCAGTAGACGAAGGGGGCATTATTATTACTTGCAAAACGGTTCTCGTGGTGTAAACTGAGTATTCATCATTCATAACTCGTTAATATTGCCCATGTAAATCAGGCTTGTAACTATTAAGTAGTTACAGGTAGAAAACGTTCCATCATTAAAAATATTCCTGGCCCGATCCGTCATATAGAACTCTCTTCCTCCTGTGGTATTCTGGCTCGGGACTATCAGAGTCCTTGCGCCTTTTCTTAGAATCGTCTTGGGACCTGTGATGCTTACGTATATGGACGCCTCGATTGTCTCGTCGACTGTAGACTTTTTCGCAGTACTCGCACTTATAACTAGGGGTCCCGTGGGTAGACATGTGCTTACTGAGATACGCTTTGGCATTTTCTTTTTTGCCCGTAGGCCTGTACTCGCAATGGGGACATTGCTGACTTTCATTTGACGAGTCTGATAAATCTGAGCCTGGCGATTGCTCGGTGCTCGAAGACGGAATTCCTGAGTCTGGGGAAGGAAGACTGTTTAGAGGCATAATATCTCGGAAGGCATCTCTTTTCCCGACGACAGTGAATGCATCAAGATTTGAAAGTGATGGCATGCCCATCGAGGACATAGACGACGGCATGCTCTCGAGGGCTGATGAATTTACAATGTTGATAGCTTCTGTATTGCTAGCATTGTGATAAGCTACATCCCCCCAAAGTGGAGTATTCAGAGTAGGTTCTAAATGATTCGTCTGAACAGTTAAGGAATAGCCTCGTGGTTCGCGAAATCCTCTTTGATCGCGAGGTACCGGAGGCATGGATAGATGGCTGGATGGAATGTTGCATGGTTGTGTTAAGGAGGAAGGTTGCCAGGTGTTGTAAGCTTGATCCATATGATTACTGGTGTTGGATATTGCTTCTGTGTTGAGAGCTCCCTCGAGAAATTCAATGCACTGACTATCTGCTGGTGGGCATTGACGTTCGGAGTCATTGCTAGAGGCTGACATTGAAGACTGAATAGAGGCTGTTGGCGACACATCTGTAAGACGTGTTCTAGCTGGACTAGCGGAAGATAGCTCTATGGGTGGACTGGGAGCGAGGGAGCAGTTCGAGACGGCGAAGGAGTAATCATAGACCTCGCCGTGATTAAAACGATCTAACGCCGCATCCCTATGGTCCAAAGGTAAAGACGCCGCTTGTAGTTCAAGTAGCGGCGATGTATCCATTAGTTCTCCTACTTGTGTATCATTCATCTCCTGCGGTATCTTGATCGCAGCAGGGTCGAAAATGGGACTAGTCGAAGACTGACTGTCGCGTACACCAGGCCATTGGGACGGATCTTCTTTATGTGCTACTGTCTGACCACATTCTTTACAATGTCCAAAGGCAAACCTCGAGATTGAGCGAGGACTGACAATACCCTTGACTGTATCTACCGTAGCCTTGAAGGTATTTTGGAGCCTTTGTCTCATCTTTGGCCGATCCCATGAGCACTTCTTGTTGGAGGTCGTTTGGAATTTTTCGGCGTCGTTACACTTGAGTGATAATAGTTAGCACTTTATTCTCTCCAAGATCGAGGGTTTTTGGTTTTAGTTCACGAGTATCGACCCCTTCAATTAACTTGAACGAGAAACCCAGAGGTAGGAAATATACGAAAGGGGGGGGGCAACATGAACCCACAATGTAACATACTGTTGGGCATCGATAAATCCCTTGCGAGAAGTATTTACAATCCTTCAGGTGTAGTAACATATATCTGGCATCGGTGAAACTGTGTTGCGGGCAATTTTCCATGAGACAGCGGCAATTTTTAAACGACGTGGGGTCGTTTTCGAGGAGATAGAACTCGACCGCCCTACTATAGAAGCGACTCTTATAGCATTTATCTATCACGCCCCTTTGCAATCTTTGAGAATGAGTTAGTTTAATACCTCCACAGGACTAGATAATACTGACAAGCAAGGTTTGTTTATGTTTCCAGGACTAGACGGTTCCTCCAAGAGAGTAGGTGACCGCTCATCGCTATATGCTTCATGGTGCTTATAGGCCTCTGGTGCCGGCATGGTATTAACAAAACCACTGCCCATCAATACGGGCATTTCATGAATACCGTTAGAGTGAGTGTGATGGAATGAATTCATGTTGGCAGGCAGTTTCAGTGATCGTTATTTTTGCCCGTGTCGAAAGGAACAGCGTGCTCTATTTCATCCAAAAAGGACCTTCGACTAATATAACCACGGCCCTGCCACCACTTATTTTATACAAATATGCGAGTGAGCGGCTCCATTTTGGCCAATTCACCACCCCTCCTTTTCCTTGAAGGGACATAGGCGGATATAGAAGTGACTCGGTAGTCGGGACGTCGACATAGGTGTACGCGAACTAGCGGGGTTTGGCACATCCACGAACGTGCATGCGTATTCCCTTCTCCCATTCCATTTCCCTTATACACACTAGTTGCCCTGTTACTGAGGATCGAAAGCTCGGAAAAGGGCTTCAGGGAACCGTTGCCACATCATCGCTTATGCCACGTCTTCCTCGTCCCTTTAGTGACACTCGACCTAGAAGTTGAGTGGAATGTCAACATGCATTAATCGCAGGAGCGATTGTGACGAACAAACAAAGTGGATTAAAGGCAACCACTTCTCCTGAAGGGGTGTGGGTGAAGGACTGACACCGGTTGCCTACCTTCATTGCGACCCATTTCTAGCGACGGTACTCCCGGTGAGCAAGAGCAAGGACAAGGCTGGATTCATAGGGACTATGCAATGCCCTTCAACAAATTCAATGCATGAGGTGGATAATGTGCCAGGAGCCAATTAGATAATTTCGGTCAGAAGCTTGGGATTGAAGTGAAAGGCGTCCATGCAAACCATTTGCCTTGTCGGGGATGTGTTTACCACGTGAAGCTTATAACTAGGAGCCTAGCTGTGGATGTCAGCAAGGATTCCATTCTCCAAGACAGGAAAAGAGATGGAACATAACCGTTAGAAAGGTATATTTTATAAGGACCACGAGGAGCGAGCCGTAAAAATTGAAATCAACAACGTTAAGGATGGGCATATGGATCAAGATATATACTACTAGAACCCTATTGTCCACACGATCAAAATGAGATAGGACATTGGGGGCTTTGGGGGCTATGTTTCCAGAATTTGCTATATATAGGCAAGCTGTCAGCGTTTGACCTACATTCAACCTTTCAGGTAGCGATTGTATGGTGCAGATGGAAGGACGTAGGTAGTATTTGGGCTCGTACGGTGGTAGATTAGTAGTGGGCGCAGTAGTTATACCAGTGCTGCGCCCTCAACAATAGCAGAGCCTTGCCAACTTGATCCGATACTATCGGCTCGATATACTAACAAACTGCCCGGAGAGGCTCTATGAATAGGAATGATATGTAGGCTAATAACTAGCGCTTCTAATCTTAGTCCCCATTATCTTAGGAGCATCTAACTGGTGTCAATACTACCTAGATGAGGGGTGATGCCAACTAGTTATCTGTAAATCTAAACGTAGGTGGCGTTCAAAAGGGGGTTCAGATCGCGGCTCAGCTCGTTACCCAGGACGCGCCCCCTCTTTCGTCACACCAATCACAACAGATCGGATTTTCTTGGCTATGTAGCCATTTTCGTGATCTCTACTTCCTATAGGTCCATCTCTTCTGCAACTAGGTAACATTGATCACACCTAACATGTACCAATGTACCTTGTGTAAGGCTCTCAAGGATAGACACCGTAAACACGCATAAAAATTGTAAGCGGCATGTATCTCCCCAAGTCTATTAGGAAAAGTCTGCATAAGCACTTCATTATTCGACTATACGACTGCTGCTTAATAATGGCCTTCAGATCTTACTGTTTCTATGCCCCTAACTAAGGCAGTAGAAAGTACATGAATTAAATTTAAAGAGACAATGAATCCTTATAGGAAAGATAAAGTCTATTTTAGGCCTAGTCTAGTTACTCAAATTGTAGAGAAAGCTTCCTACTAGTTATACTGCTAGCAGCACTCATATAGAAGTACAAGTCCTCGTCCATTCTACCCATAGGCCGGGCCTAGTCCTATGTTAATGAAAATATTCCTCTAAATATCTATTAAGCCAGTCCATTAAACCTTTAGACCACCTAGGTATCTGAGACAGGGAGTTTATAGCTACATTAGAGGTCCAGCCTTAGCTACCTCCTTAGGGCTATAGCTCTTCGTGTTTTAATAGAGTCGTGGTCTTACTTATTGATCACATCCTCACAGGTTCATAGCGTCCTAAGATGAACCTGGCTATAAAGGATTATGGGAAAGCTTATATTTATATAAAATATATTACCTCTATAGGACAAATAGTAAGTATATTTACAGTAGACCAGGAGGCCCTTCTAACCATACTTTATGTCGTCGAGCGTAAGCATGCTACGGTACATACTCCATTTATATCAATAAATCAAAACGCTAAAGAGACTCAAAACATACCATTTCAGGAATGGTGCAAAAGATTCAGTCAATTGGATCCAGACGAGCAATATACTGTAGCACGCTCGCACCTGAGGACATAGTCTTGAGAGGAGTTGATGGATAGTACTGGGCCCGTCCCCATTAATGATACTGACTTAATAGGTACCTAAAGTAGCTATGTATATTAAACAAGATTTGATATTTTGGATGATACGAAATACCGTCAAGTGGTTGACTTAAAAAAAGTGTCACAGTAACTCCCAAGTACTCATGAAGGACCAATGCCTTACGATTGTTTTCACCTACTTACTACTAGTTAACAGTCTTTTAGCTCGCCATACATGTCTTCTATAAATATTTATAACACCTACGTGGTATTTTCGTTTGTTACGAAAATAGAGATTTGTCTTTACGCGTACCTATAATTATCTTGAGAGCTTTAGTCTAGAGTAATAAAATTACTCATTTAGTGGCTTCCTAATAGAATACTACAGTGCTATTTTAAAGGTTGATTTTAGCTACAGAACAGGCTCTCATATGACACGTTTCGTTACCGACCTCTTAAGTGTTTTATTGTACTTCTAGTAGGCTGATAGGTAGCCTAGGTCATAACGATATTTACTTCTACGCATAAGATAGATCCAATGTAGCCCTCAAGCGGTTACAACGGTAGGACTTATCTCCGAAGCATCTATATTCTTGTTTCCTATACTTGTCTCAATGCTAATTTAAGATTCATAAGCTTCAAAACTCAATGCGTTTGTGAATCCCGTAGCTACAGTGACTCAGGCACTGATTCAAGTAGTTTCTACCTGCCTTGTACGCATATATAAACAATAGCTAGATCCTGATCCTGTAATCCTAATAATCAACTTAACAACATGTCACTGCTATTCTAGGAATCACACGTTAGGGCCGAGCATTATACTCTTATCGAGATAGGCGATATACTCAGCTAGCAAATCGATACTTCTGGGTCTTAAGTCTTGTGTGTGTTTATAGGTAGATTCTCAAAAAGTCACTTGCGTTACTAGAAGAATATTATGACGAAGAAACGGCTTCGTTGTCGCACGAAATCTCATGAATCCTGTCTATTAGAGACTACCTATGAAGCATACATACAAGGAATCATCTTTGTCAACTATGTCTCAGGATAGGCCCTCCCAATCTCTACTCTTCTGAGATAGGCGCCTTATAAGGCTACTACCGTTGAACAATAACGACTCTTGCTGCAATAGGGGCGGAGCGTATCTGTTAGATATCATGTCATATAACAGCTGTAAATGACTAACGAGGCTCGGCAGAATTGTAGTCGAGAGCAACGGGTGTACCAAAGTTCGGAGACCCGTCTGAATTGCTGCCCAGGACTTGGACCATGGTATAACGGCTATCATCGCAAGCTCCGTTGCTGTTCGAGGTTGCATGGTAAACGTTCCAAGTTTGTGAACCGTCGGGGCTGCGGAAGAAGCCATTATGACCGGTGCCGTAGTGGCCATTGACACCGCCTTTAAAGACGCAGCCAGATGACTTTTTCCAGGCAGCGGCGGAGGCCGGGTCTGTGTTGCCATCCCACTCAAGTGTCGCGAGGCAGTAGTCAGGCGTCCAGCAATCGTTGGCTGAGTATACAATGTACGTCTTCCCCGTTTCTTGGATGTACAGGGCAGCGGGCCCCTCGTTTACAGGTGTTCTGCTGCGCTCCCATGACTCAGTCGGTTGCGAGATAACCGAGATGTTGCCCTTTAGTGATACGTTGTCATCCCCTAACTTCTGTATACATAGTGACTGGTATTGTACTCCGTGAAAGCACGAGGAAGCCAGGTAGTTACCCCATTTATTGAATCGTACAACGGTTCCATCAATGGACCATTCATCGGTGAGTTTCCCGGCGTAAGTGAAATCATCCCATGGTGTAGGGCCGCCTGCTGATGAATTAGTGATACACTTATTATTTCACTGGCGTATAAGAGACGTAGAGTTTCAACCCGAAGTCGCCTTATTATTTTCCTTCAATGCGTGTAGCATGTCTGAGGGTGTAAGTCCAATGCGAAGTAATAGAAGAGATACCCACCCTTTAGAACGTGCAGGTTCTGACCGTCGAGGTTCTTCCCGTTGCCCGCCGTGAAGTAAATATACCACACTCCGTCAAGATAATGTGTTTCCGGAGCCCAGACGTTACAGCAACGGCTCGCCTCGGCCGAGCTGTAGACGACCTTCGGCGTCGCCGTCTTGAGGCCATCGATTGTCGTAGCCCGCGAGATCTGCACGTTCTTCCACGACGTAGACAAGAGGTAATAGTATCCACCTGAATATGAGATTTGAGGATCACTGCCTCCTGGCCGGCGAACCGGGTTAGTAAAAGCCGCAGCTGGGCTGATCAAGAGGCAAGATGCAGCGCCGAGCAAGGCCGTGATGAGCCTTCCTCCAGTGAAGAACATGGTGATATACTATAATAAATATTGGGTCTTTTCAACTAGGTAGTATATAAATTGCATCAAGACCCAGATTAGCCGGGCTGATAAAGGCTATACTCGTCTTTTTAGACGAACTTAGCATTCTTATATAATTCTATTTGTTCAAATTATCCCCTACATCACGTACCTAACCATGCTTCTTCGCCTTGAGTGCATCATATTTCCATTGCCAATGATACTATCAAGAGGGGTGGTGGCCATTCCATTGGAGCGCATATAACCCATTCAATCGTACCATCATGGAGTGAGACCCATAGTATTCAGGGAACATTGCTTAAAAAGGTTCAACTTCTCGTTTTGAACAGAGGTGAGTGGAATTGGGAGGACCCCAAAATTACGACCATGTCTCCGCTTCTCCAACTTGCTAATGACATCCAAGATGCATACATACACGGAATCATACCGATTTGGTTAAATAGAACGGGGAAACTGGGGAGTTCGGGTGGTTATAAGAGATTCCCTAGTAGATTTTCCACCTCTAGGCTATATTCACGAAGCGTTGCTAAGACAGTTCTCCGGGAACTCCTGCTAAGATTACCTCTTCAAATACTATCATACTAATAGTTGAATCCAGTATAGGATGCTCTATCTTCGGATATATGAGCTTCAAGTTTTAAGCCTCCATGTATACCGTGTAGACCTTGTTTACAAATATTCAACTAGAACTAAAAGCGAATTACCTCTACCTACCCGAGACGATTGGCGCGGGAGCCCAGATCTTTACCGCGTGTTATTCGTATTGCGTCCGATAGAACACTGAAAGACTAACTTGATATATATCGCACCAATAGATGTCTCTAAGAGGAAGACCTACATTTTCTTGCTACCTATCATTGCAGAACACTAACTTTTCAACCGTGTTTCTTCGGGAACCCTATTGAGGGCTTAAAGACATTAGCTGCCAAAGAGACAAGATCTTGGTGAGACAAGATTACGCAGCGCAAGACAGATATACATTCATTCCAACTTTCGTAAATACGGAGTTGAGTACTTCCTGAAACTAGTAAGTGGTGTGCCGGCGTATGTCAATCCAGCGTACTCCGATTGGTCTTTGCCACCTGCACACCTGCTGATCGTCATCCCCGGCGAGGTTGCCAAATCAATTTCGTGCATGGCATTTCTTCCCGTTCGACAAAGCTCAATATTTGGTCTGAGTGGAGGTGCCCGATTACATGTAGCTCGACGAAAATGATATTGGCAGCTGGAGATTGAGACATGCCATAGTCCAGCTCACATCATACGTGCTGATAGAGGTTAGTTATCGTTCGAATCGGCTCCGGAGCCGTAAGCAGAAATACTGTATACATTCTAGGTATAAACGTATTAATAGCCTTGGCGGTACTTACGCTTAGAAGAGGAATAAACTACCTAGCTGGGATAGACTCCGGTGTAAATCACCCGATGATAGAGTCCATATTCTCGATAGTTAATTGGTAGTGATTCATCTACAAGTACCTTTGTTGAGGTTAAACAACTGGAGGTTCCGAAATTCCGAAGTCCCCGGCCGCCATAAACACCTTGGATGAAACTGGCCGTCTATCAATATAATGCTTGAGAGACGAGTCGCCTCGGCTTTCCGTTATTAGCTAGGTCCCTTTCATGATCGGCCCTCTGTCGTGTCTTTAGCGCCTTTGATGTTGTGCTTAAACCATGGGTAGATCGGGTGGGTGGTTGTGAATCTGGAGCCTTCCTGGTTAGATGTCCTACCCGATTCGCAATCCGAGACACTCATTTTCGACTTAAATGTCTCCAGTGGCGCTCTTGCAGACTCATTAATACGAAATATGCCGACCTGCATCCAGTGACATTAAGTGTCCACTTCTGGGCACTGATGATCGTCTACCTTTAATTCGTCAGATAGCTGAAGGAACCTTTAGGGTGGCCGTGTTTAGGTCTTGTGATTTTCATTAGTGGCATATCTTATTCGCTCTTCTGGCATCGATGTTAAGAATGGCTAGACAGAGCCGCTACGAAGAACTGATGGGGTGATTTAAGAGGATAGGCAGAACATAGGCGCTTAGTAGGGCTAGGCGGGATTATCGAGCTTATCATGAGGACCTCCTTTTTGAAATATGAGAGGATCCAGTAATATTACTCCCCACTGGGTGGGAAACAGTGCGATGTTGCTCTCTAGGTCCTGCGAAAGCGGTCAAACTGATAACACATGGTCTTACTTGGGAACATGACATTTTACTCCAAACATCAGTATCAGAGGCAATGGATAAACTGCTCTATTCTATGGTGACTTTACGTTATTACCGTAAGGTGTGAGCATCATAAGTCAGTAGTATGAGATATGCCCAAGATAATCAAGTAACTCCAGATACCGGAGAAAGGCTTGACGAGCTACACAATCTTTAGCTAGCTAAAAGAAAAAGGATACGGCAACATCCAGCGGCGCCCCATACGCCACATAATAAGCCATAGTAGCCAACGACAGCTCTCTTTGACATGTAAGCCTTACATTCATTAATTGTTACGTTGAGTAGTTAGCCAAGACGTCTTGTTTATGTTTATGTTTATGAGGAGCTTTGTTGCATAATATCTGCGTTGCGATTAGATGATCGTTAGCAAGTAGCTTTAGATGAACTGGATACATGGAGATTATACTAAGTACCTAGGTAGTCAAATTATGTTGATGGCCTTGTTGATGACACTACCTATGGATCATCTACTACCTCTCTATACTGAGTATTGAGGCTCGAGATTCTCCACAAGCTTCGTATAGTAAGGACAGGAGTATTTCTAGGCGCTATTAGTTTTTGCGACTAAAGCACATTCTAAGTTTACTAAAGATACGACACATATATTGGATGCCCGGGTACATATATTCTTAGTGATATGGACTAATAGGTTGTATGGCAATTCAAGCACTAACCAAGTCATCCATGCTTACCTAGCGTGTATAGTATACCGATCTAAACATCAAACTAGATCTATGTAAACATATCATGATTCATCGGCAATGTCTTAACATCCCTCATATATTAGTTGTTCCTTGTTTTGGTTATACTTCGTGCTCGTAGTAATATATGACCAACAAGCCAAATATTTGTGAACACGACAATCTCTGAAATCGATGTCCATGATACAGACGGGAACCTAACGTATCTAGAAATTGCAGACGACCATGCTAGAGTCTAGTGTGAAATTAATGGACAATATGCGCAACATGGATTCGATGACAATATGCTACTGTTGGCTCATCACGGCGATTAATCTGATGCTGTAGAATGGATGTACGACGTGGAAAGATGACTATTACAGGCCCTATATCTAAAATAGTGAGGGGTTAGTCGATATCTCCAACTTGGCATTTTTATGGTAGCTATCTAACATGTGATGTAAAATTGTCTCGCACGCACAGATTTTGCTAGACATCTGACGGTCGGGTATAATGTAGATAAATATCATCAAAAGGTTGAGATATTCCACCCCCACCAAAGAGTATCGTACCCCGGGTAAAGCTGGGACACTGGGTAGGGGCTGGCAGATAAACTGTTTTGATAGACTAAAGCACTAGATTAGTTCTCGCATATAGTGTATATTTTAATCGAATTTAATCGAATTATTATCCACGTCGCTGACGAAATAGGAAGCTTTCCCCCCTACCCCTACCCCATCTTCACGGGTGTCTGTGGGTCGGTTTGCATCGATTTGAGGTGGAGACTAGGTTAGAGATCTTCAACTTTTCGGAACCTTACCGAAGCCATAAGCAGCCAAACCGTTCTAATGGATGGGCGAATCATCAACAATGAGGCTCAATTATTTGTCCAGGATAAGTCTGTGGCTCATGCGGTGTGCCAGCCAAACTGACCCAGAGCCGTGGATGGATACACGGATACACGACGCTTATTCTGTCTTCGGTATTAGTGAACTCAGCAGAGAGTCAAAGAATGCATATTCCCGCTTATTCAGATGAGAAACTCGAACAGGGTAGTCGAGTTTCCCTCTTCCCTCCGAGTGCTATGGTACCATGTGCGCAATTCCCGCTGGTGTGACTATAAAACCAGCTATTATTAGCCTATAGACTTTGACCCGCATTCTTTTTCCGAACGAGGTTAAGAGCTGAAGACCGAGAGTAGCTGAAAATTGTCATAAAAGGATATCAGAGTGTCAATCTCACCAGACCTGCAATTTGGAGATGGAAGACTAGCACTAAAACCAGGGGTGATCGGTCCTGTCAGCTTGACAGATATAGCTATTACGAGGTTACGAGGACTCCAGCTAGGGATTTGATAGTCTCTGTATCTACATACATCCCGTCGTCGCGCAAGAGTTTCGTTTCTCGTCGGTTTATGTTCAGTATGATGGTTTAGTATGACGAATCGAGACTTACGAGTCCCTTCTCGGTTAATGACCCGAATTCGGAAAGCGGCCGGTTCGGGGAAGTAATGCGTGGCACTATTTCACGGTAACGGTAACACACAATGCGGTCGGGCTTGGCTTGGCTTAACCGCAATAACCTGTAAGCATCCTCACCTCACGTACCTAGGTATGTATATTCCTGTCGCATGATGTGGCTCGTGACCGCGAATGTACACTTGAATGGCGGGTTTCAGTTACATAAGTCAGGTAAGTCCTCGTTGTCGGAGCCGAGGCTTCGTATGTGACCAGTTCCGGAGAGTTACTCCCAGCAAGCACTGCCTCTTTTTGACCATTGGACTTGTAAATGAAACCGGCGTTTAGTTTTGAAGAAATAATATGGCAATAATTGCGCTAATGCACCATAGGCAAGCTATCAGACCGGCCATTGAATCGCAGCGACTTGAGATAGATAAATAAGCGGTAGAATAGATCGAGGTCCGGACGTGGTCCGAATGGAGAAGACGGAGTCTAGACAACAGAGTCTAGACTCTTACATAACATACCTAGGTAGTTAGGTATATATCTGATCTTTTTGATCTGTCTGTCGCGGAGTAGTCTGCACTATTATAATATGTCTATCAAAGTAGCAGACTTCTACTTATACGCTAATACTTGAGGAAGTGTAAAATATGGAATAATATTGAAAAAAGGGGCATTTTGAGTAAAACTCGCGA